GGGGGCGTCAGGACAATGCGTAAATGAAACTTTCCATGTTGTTTGCCATTGGAGTGGCCATTAAATTTTCATGCCTGTGTCCGAATATCTGTTTCGGCTGCAACATAGCAAGGACATTCCATGTCCTCTCCCCCGCCCCCCACTGGGGACTTGTTTTATGTTTGGTGGGAAAAAGTTAATTGAAAAATTTGTCATATGCAAATTACTCGAACTCGGTGTGCGGCCAGAGTGAGTGTGAGGAAGTCAGTCCCTTAAAAATGGCCAACATTATTTTCACAAAAATCCATACTAGGCTCCGGACAGCAATTTCCTCTAAGCTGGGGCTCAGCAGCAGCTATCGGTGAATGGACATAAACAAGCTGCTCCTGTCTAAGGCACAAAGGAGTCGGCTTCTGTCCGAACCTAATCCAGACAATTTCTTTCGATTTTCATCCGGAATGTTACAGTTGAAGGCGTCTCAAAAGGGGTTTCTCAGCTTTTTTAGCTAATGTGTAAGAAAAACGTAGGGATGCCATGAGAGTCCTTTGGTTTTAGCTAGATAAATTTTTTGAAAACTGAAATGGGTTTGAGGTCTCCCATGAATATGACAAAAAAATCGGCTAGAGATATGATATAATGAATGCCTATAAATATTAGGTAATTGAGTAGACTTAAAGAATACGATTAACAATACCCTAAAATTTGTTTATTTATATTTTTGTTGGGTTTCAAGGTTTTGATTTTTAATTTAAAAGTAAAGTTTAGTTATTAAATTTTAGCTAAACATTATTTTTAATGGATTTTTCTTTCAGAAAGAGTATTTATTAGTCGTTATTCTTCTACAAGCCTCGGAACGCTTCTTGTTTTTATGTGACCCATCCATTCTGATTGGATTTGAGTCTTGCCATAAAAATGCCAAAGCCCGATGGACACCAACCGAGGCTACAACAACAACAACAACGATAACAATTTCAGCAGGATGCGCAGGATGAGGACTAATGTCGTGCGTCCTTTGTTGTGCTGCGCTGTTATCACTGGCCAAGTATCAAAATCAATAAGCGTATGAAATGCCATAAACATCAAATTCGTAAGGATGCTCTCTTTAAATCGACTGTGGCCCAAGACCAAGTCCCAAGCCCATTCCCATTCCGATACACGCCATGCTCCATCGCTTTGTAATAAACTTTGGCATTGCGTATCCGCCGCGTGGGCCGGCACCCACTCACTGAAGTGTGTGTGCAAAGCCCAGACGCGTGGACGAGGTAAAACCGTCAAGTTTTTGCCATCAATAATCCATGGGAAATGTCCGAGACATTTGCCCCGATTGAAGGTAAGTCACAAGCAAACATAATGAGCTTAACTCGAGACAAGCGGCAGGCAATTCATGAGCTCAACTGTTCCATGCATAAGGGAATGTCACAGCAGAGGGAGAAATGTTTGAATTTTTGTATTAACAAAATAGATGTGTTAAAAAAAAGATTTGCAAAAAGAACAACTTTTTTATGAGAAGAATATATGATATATATATATATTTTAATTATTTTTGTAGAATCCTCTTAATATTAATAAAGCCCTTAAAAACACTTACCTACAAAATTAGCATTTAACTCACTTTAAGCAAATATTTAAAACCACTATATTTTAGTACAAATTGTGATAGCTTCATACTAATTTCTTGACATGTATTTTCCCTTTCACGCACTTTCTCCCTTTTTTTAACTTGAGGGTATTATAATTTCAGTCAGAAGTTTGCAACGCAGTGAAGGAGACGTTTCCGACCCTAAAAGTATATATATTCTTGATCAGCATCAACAGCCGAGTCGATCTAGCCATGTCCGTCTGTCCGTCTGTCTGTCTGTCCGTCTGTCCGTCTGTCTGTCTGTCCGTCTGTCCGTCTGTCTGTCTGTCTGTTTCTACGCAAACTAGTCCCTCAGTTTTAAAGCTATCTGAATGAAACTTTGCATATAGTCTTCTATATGCTCTCACTGCTATATATGTCGGAACGGGCCGGATCGGACGACTATATCATATAGCTGCCATACAAATGTTTGATAAATTTTTAGAAAAAAAGTATAACTTGGCTGTTTTTCAATATTTTTGCATCATTTTTGAGATATAGCCATTTTATATTATTCCAGAATTTTGGTAAAAATTTTAGAAAATCGGACGACTATATGATATACTGCCATAGGAACGATCGAGAAATTAATAGAAATAAAATTATAGCTTCGTTGTTTTCAACGCATTTTTATTTACTCTGAGATATACGTTTTTTTTATTATTCTAGAATTTTGGTATAAATTTCATAAAAATCGGACAACTATATCTTATAGCTGCCATAGAAGCGATCGGTAAATGTATAAAATATATAAAGCTGAGAATGTAAAACTGTAACTGTCAAACTGTAAACATAATAAGTATAGGTAAAATGTAATGAAACTCTGTTTTGTGAGTGTTTTCAGCATTTAAATCTATAAAATAAACATCAAAACCAATCTGCAGGGTATACAAACTTCGGCGTGCCGAAGTTAGCTTCCTTTCTTGTTTTTTTTTTGGCACACTCAAAGAGCATTAAACCTCGGGGCTTAGGGCCCAAATATAGAACATCGAACAACAATGTGCATTGCCGTTTTGTTTCAGTCAAAGTTTTTCAAGGATTTCGTTTCGGGCCGGGCGACTGAGAGCGAAGAGCTTTTCATTTGTCGGAATTTAATTATTTGTGGCGCCTTTTTTTTTTGCGCACAGCACTCGTCACCTACACACAAAATGTGAGGCTTTGTGTGGAGTTTGCGATAAAACAATTAGTGAATTTTGTGTGTGAGTTTGCCAAAAGCCCTTTGAGCTCACTGTGGCATTTGTCTATTCCTGATTGAAAGGGAATAATTACATAAGGTCAGCTGAACTGCGCTGAGAACGTGATGAATTTGCCTTTAAAAAAATCCATTCAAATTGAAAACACTTTCTCGGGACCTGCTGATGGGGTTATTATATAGTTTTTCACTGGAAGTGCTTATTGACTGCTATAATTAGGTGCAGCTTTTGCCAATCATTTTCCTGTTGGAAAATTTATTTCCAAAGAAATGCAGTTGTTTATCGTATTTTGAAAATGTTCATAAGAAATATTTCAAAAAGTTGAACCACCAAAAGTATAATATTAAAAATATATCAAAATTAGTTTAACATACATTTAATTTTCTTAAAGACTTAAAATCAAAAACCCCTGTAAACTCCTTCCTTTCTTAACAAATTATTTGCGCAAATGACCTGGCGGCCTTATCGAAAGAGTAAACAAATATTATCCCCCCGTGTAATTTTCCATTGAAAAACAATTGAGTTTCGATTGGCAGAAACCTCAAGGACATCATCACTTCGCTGAGCGACAAAAACAGAAGCCCATTGAGTGCGAATGAAAAACAAATTAACAGCCTAATTAACCCGGCAGAAGGGCGACCGAAACAGATTCATCATTGATCAAATTAAAGGGATGCCAAGTGAATATTTATTTGCTGGCTAGCTTTCCGAAAGTTTGGCCCCAGCCTTCCGTTTTCATTATATCTGTTTCTGTTTCTGTTTATGTTTATGTTGCAAACTTTTGAGTTATTATATGCCATAGTCGTACTTGCGGCCAGCTCATTAATTTCACTTTGCGGTTGCGAAAGACAGGCATTAATGGTCAGCAGAAAATAATTACAGTGATTAAAACATATTAAAGCATATTTAACCCGAGCTCAATCGCCAAGGACCCATTAATCTTCTTAATTATCCGTGGTTGCTCTTCCCCGGCGGAGCAGGAGCAATCGCTTTCGAAGTCCCAATTTATTGGTTAAATATTTACAATGCTTCGGTTTGGGCTTAATTAAGATGGTTCAATTAATCAACGCCATAATAAATGCTATGGACAACAATGCTTTAAATTTTAAGTGAGATGTAATAATTAATTGAAACTTTTTTGTGGAAGTGACTTCTCTAAAACTTAAATTACACCGCTAAACCCCACAATAATACTGCAAAATGTTGAAAAAGTTAATTCATTTTATATAATTTTTTTCCTTTTAATTACTGAATGCTTTTTATGTATTTATGTTGCCCTTGTCAAAGCAATTATTAGCTGATATATATGATTTATAGAGCCTGTTTAATCCTGCCACATTGCAGAGAAATTAATAATAAAAAATTAAACATCAGCAGTGCTTACTACAAGGACACAGTTAATAGGCAAAAAACACTGTAAAAAAATACGTTTACACTTTTAAACCTAACCTTATGAACTCAAACTTTAAACCCTTATAAAGTGAGATTATTTAAGAAAAACTGTAATAAGGCCCAAACAAATATACTAATCTAAGTCGCATATCTTAAATCTTTTAAGAATTAACCCTCTTCCTATTCAAAATACACTCAGAATTTTATTAATAAATTTAAAACTATGTTCTAAGAGCTATAGTATAATTTCAGAGAGTTCAGAGTGTGCCAATAGCAGTTTCCAAGAAATAGATCCTTTAAAAAAAAACTTTTAAAATTATTTTTTTTGTTTTTTTTTTAAGAATTCCTAGATACAGGGACTTGATTTTATTTCAAGTGCCGCGACCTAATGAAACCCGACCTCGCCTTAACGAATGGCAAAGACGTTTATCAGCTGTCAGACCGGCAAACTTTATTCAATTTAAGCGCTCGCCACGGATAATCAGTTGGCCCTCATCAGCGGCAACTGGGCGAGTACAGAGAATCGGTCTTAACTCCTTCCTTTAATTTGCATAACTTTCACGGAGGTTTATAATGGCTTACCGCGAAGGAGGCTATAAGCTGCTTCAATGAATTGTTAACGAATTCCGAGATATGCTTAAAATATAGTTAGGAATTGGCTTTAAATTGCCACACAATTAAGTCATTTAATATAGCGAAACATTAAATCATATAAAAGGTTTCCTTTCGTATTTACAGAATTTGTATTTTCATTCTCTGATCTATTCCTTGGATTTTAAATACAAAAATAATATTTTTAATAGGCTCCCCCAACTTACTTGGCCTCATTGATGCTACCAAGATTATCGGGGTTGTCGATGATGCTGGAGAGAAGACTGACCACCTCAGTTCTGTTGAGGCTGTTCAGCAGCGTGGTGTTCACGATGCTGTTCAGCTCGAATCGCCGGACGGCAAGTATTGTGCAGTTGACCAACAGCTCGGTGTCCACGATTTCCGACATTTTCCGCGAAATTCTGGGAAGGCGGCTGCGTTGCGTTACGTAATATTACCGCTGCTGCACTTGTGGCACATTTAATGCTCCGGCGCCATAGAAACCTTTATGGTGAAATTGAGAGTCTCTGCGACTCCTCCGGGGCTGCAACCCTGGAGGCTTTGCACACACAAGCCTTAATTACTTCGTAAAATGTAACCTTTCACTTGCGTGGCATTCGCTTCTCCGTTTTGCACTTGATCCTTTCCTTTCAGAGGGTCCTTCAATGGTTTATTTTATTTTTTGTTTCGCCTTAATCGCTTTGAATTTGGGGGCGTGGTCTGAGGATAAGTTGCACTACCCGCTGAATGTGGCAAGTTGGCGCCATTTAGTCGCGGAAATTGCCAACGCTTCAGTCCTTCCGTTGTTAATCACTAACAATATAACGTATACGACACGGTGGTTGGTGGTTATTAAATGTCCACTTTTCGAGTGAATTTTGTGACATAAGTTGCATTAAAATGGAGTTTTTATTGAATAATAAATGATAACGATGGTTTGGTATACGAAGAGATTTCATTGAATTAATTTTGTATATTTTATAATGCAGGATAAATTTAAAAAATGCTCTGGATATAGTGTTTAAATATTATCTATTCAAATTAATTTTCTTTAAATAATAGGAACCTCTACTAGTTATTTGCTAAAAACTAATACCGCACATTTATATATATGTTTTATTATACTTCGTGAATTAATTAATTCATTGAATTATGAGTTATTATCTGTTTCATTCTTAAACAAACATTAACAGTGTTTCACTTCACCTCATAATTAAGTTGCATTAATGGTTATCAATCACAACGCACAATTACGTTTTGTTTAAACTGTCACACCTTAATTGAAGCTGCTTTTTTTTACTATTTATTTTCGGTTTTTTATGCAGAAACCATTTGAAATTCAATTATAATAGCTTAATCAATTGCTATTTAAAAAGCCGCACTGATTAATCACTTAACGCGTATTTAAATTTGTTATTTTAATCACATTTCTTTTTTTTTTTTCATTTAACATTGGTTTATTCAAAACATTTTTTTGCCATATCCAAACTGTGGTTATTTTTTTAGACGGACGATTTACTGCATTATTTTACACACCCATCCACACACACACACCGAAGTTAGACCGTTAGACGGCTATGCGTTTTTAAAATGGCTCCCGAATTTCACCGTTAACTCGCGCGTTCTTTAGGGCTGCAAGTGCCGCCGCCGACTGAGCGGGCTTTACATGAAAGGAACTACAAAGTCAGCAGCATGATGTGTGGGTAGCAAGGTAGTCTCGTCGGCTGCCAAAGCGTTCGGGTTTGAGGACCTTAACGTTCAGTGCGTGCTTGAAGGTTCTCTACGATGAGGCTACCTTAAACATACTTAACAGCATAGTCTTTCGTTGGCTTAGCCACTGCCTCTGCTAACGGGATGGCGTGGCGGCGCCAAGAGCAAGTCTACACTCACACACACACAAACAGGAGCTTCACCCCCATGCCCTTACAAGGACCCCACAACCTGTTGAGAGAATCCTGGCAACATTATGCTGCACCAACATGTTTCTAAATATCCCGTTTATAGCAACATTGTTTGATTAAATTTATATACAGATTTTTTTAGAATTTTTAAAAAGGTAATTAACAACATTTACCGTTTAAATAAATCTTTAACAATATTTTGAGATTTCTTTTACGTTTATTTAGCTTAAAAGAAGATATGAATATCAATATTAAATATAACGCAAAATATAATTATACACGCATTTTCAAGTGTCCTATTAAAGTGTTAACCATCCTTGCAACACATAAATAATTGCATACTTTTTGAGTGCTTAAAAAGAGATTTAAGAAGATTTAAGAGAAACACTAAAACATTTCTTATAATTTAATTTTTTTTTAATTAAGTTTATTGGCGACGCATTCAAAAAAAGGAAATTTCCCTTTTTAAGTTAAAAGTTTGAAAGATGCCCTTAACATGATCAATAATGATTACTTTTACCTATTTTGCAATGCTTAAAATAGACAAATAGTAAGAAAATTGATCAAAAATAATATATGTAGGAAAAAATTGATGTTTCAATATTGACCCCGACGTGATTTGAACACGCAACCTTCTGATCTGGAGTCAGACGCGCTACCATTGCGCCACGGAGTCCTGTTATAAGATTAGAACTGACTTGACTTTCTCACAGAACTCAATTAGTAATATTTAAACTAATCAAGCACCTAGCTATCTAGGTCTATAAATTAAATAATATTATTTTTCACTTATCAGCATAGCATAGCCCTCTAAATGAATTAATTTAATAGAGGTTGAAAAATGACAAGTTAAGTGCATTAAGCTTTATTATTCTTTTTCTACTTTTGTTTGTTCTTTTAATAGCTGGAGTGAAATAAATTAATATTGACATATATGAGAAATTATTAAAATTATTATATTTAAGAGTATATATATACTTTTTAATGCAAAACTTTTGTACAAAAATACAGTTAATTATTACAGAGTACATCTTGTAGCATTCTACATATATTTTTCACTTTTTCACTTAAGTTAAGCAATTAATAAATCAAAGAATGCTTGTCACATGTATATGTACAATGCCATCTTTAGTTCATATTTTATGTCTGGTGTTCTGTCCCTTGGGATTTTTTAATGGTTTTTTGTTCAATTCACCTGTTATGCCTTTGGTATTTTGGTTTATATTTCATTTTCACCTTCACTTTCGGATTCGGGTTTTGCTTTCGCTGTGGCTTCAAATAGACTTTGAGATATGATGAATGACCTGTAAATGATGGCAAAGGACACGACCCACACACAATGACAACTTCAAGGATTGTTCAAATGAACGATTGTGATTGTATGTGTGTGTGCGTGTGTGTTGTGCGGTGCTTTGGCTTTTTTGTTGTATTTTGTGTTTGCTAATGTCTGGAAATGTTTATGTCTGCCTCTCTTTGCGTTCTCTCTATCCCCCAAACCCTCTAACCTTTGCCCCCATGTGATTATGACTGTCCATTCAGGCGAGTCCTGACACCCTCAAACTCCTAGAACTCCTGGCACTTGCACACTGAGCACTAATTTTGCTTCAAATATAAAATATAGGCAATATATAATTTTAGTTTTTATTTTCATACTTAAAAGACTAGATTTAAATTTAGTTTCTGTAGGATAAGAACATGTCTTAAATATTTTGTGAAACATAATTATCTTTCTTTACTTTTTCCAAAGAACTTTCTCCCAGTGCCCAGTGTAACTATGGGCCTCATTTTGGTCCAGGGCACGCACACTCTTACACGCATATGCATTGCCATGTTTAGCTTTTATTACGATCTTGTTTCGTTTAGTTTATAGCCCACATTTCGGCCCCGCCCAACGCCTCTCTCATCCCACACATTACGCCCTAAGCATATTTCTGCACATTTTCCGGGGGGATTCCCTTGCTTATATTCACGGCGATTTATGCATGTTTATTATGATAAATTTATGCGCATTTGTTGTTCGTGGGTTTTTATAGAGTGCGCGGGGCTATGGCTATGGGCTATGGGTTCGCCCAAATAGAAAGCTCTAAAAACACAGAGCAATCTGCTAGGATTTTTAGCCCACACATTTATGCATTAAGCAGGCTTTTAGTCAAATTTTGTAGCCATAACTAGACGGTTCGAAGCATAGTAGAATTCTACTATGGTTCGAAGCATCAGGTTAGATCGAATATAAGATACCTGCTAATTAATTTTTAGCTAAGTAAAAAAATACCTACAGCGAAAAGTACACATTCTTTGCTGATTTATATTATTAATTTAATAACTTTAAATACCTAATATATGCAATGGCATTTAGAGAACTCTGGCATACCCTTCTTCCCTGCAGAACTGAGTGCAACAAAAAAAAACAAGATGACTCACAGTTCAGTGTCTGCCTGCGAGGGCTTTGCCAATAAATTGAACCGGAATAAGTGCAGCCCAAACTACGGACATGTCTCAATATAGTACATACGTACACACACCACAGACATACATACATATATATTTTCACGTATGGAAACTCGCAGGAAAGTCGCCAACGAACTGGCGAGGGAGTCGCCCCAAGTCAACATGTGTCAATTACCGCTTGACTTTGTTTTGACAGCCTGAGAAATAGGTTAGTTTGGCTGGGGGTCAGGGGCGAAAGTGCCCCAGAAATTGGATACTCTAGTGCGGCATCAAGCATACGCCATGTGTGCATCACTAAGAGACTTCCATGGAGAGTGAGCAACAAGGCGTAGTGCTGATTTATGGTTGCGGAAAAGCACATGGAAAAAACAGACAGCTTCTTTTGTGAAAAATTACTTTGGCAGCCATTGAAGCGCGAGTTGCGATTCATTTTTGCATGTGCAAATTAATTGCCGACCGCAAAACAAAATTACTAGAATATACAAACACTACACACATGCACTCCTCCCCCTCTTATAGAAATTAATCAAAGTCGGCTGACTGCGGGATTAAAATGTAATTAAGTTGAATTAACCGCATGGCACACAGTTGATTGCCTTGATTAATAATTCATTTATATTTGCGGCCAGCTTAACTTCTGTGGTACTCTCTCTAGCTCTAATTCAGGGCCTGCTGATCGTCAAACTTCAGGAACAGCGAGCACAGAAAGGCAACTGTGGGAGAGTTTGTTCGATTATAGCTAAATTTATAAATCACTAAGAAAGATATAACTTACTGGTCATCAAAGCAATTAAATACAGAAATGGAGCCAGGCAGCTGAGTTGCATAAACAGAGGCAGAAGGATATTGCCACTCACAGAGCCCAGCCTGCCGAAAGTCATAATCAACAGCAGCACCATAGTTCTGTTAGAAATATATTTAAAATTAATCAATAAAATAAAAAATAGTACAATTATTAACCTCATCAGAGTGGGAAATATCACCACAGACATCCCTATAACAGTCGTGGCACAAATGCCCATAAGAGTCAAGTAAGTGGCTGAGACCATCACCGTTACCAGTGAAGTCTTCACAAAGTACAGGCCACCCACCAGGAAGATGCAAACAAAGAGAAACACCTCTACAATGATTTAGAATTAATTCAGGTGTTCCTTAATACCAAACCCGACCCCCTACAGTACTCACTCACTATGTGATTCGCCACAAAACTGATTCGCATCAGTGGAAAAATTACCAGGTAGCCGGCCAGGCCAATGGCCGACACTATTATGTTACCCAGATAGCTGTCCGCATTGTGGTGCTGTTCGATCGATTCATTATTTTAGCGTCAGTGAAGGCAGGGCCAAGCGATATCCTACCTACTAGATTGCACTCCGCTTTCCTTGCGTCCGAGTTCCGGGGCAAGGCCTCAGCATTGTGATCCAGCACGGCGCACACGCTCGTATCGTTGGCGCCCTGCTTTTCCAGTGCGTTCATCGTGGCAAAGATTTGCGGCATCCACAAGCGCACCGAATTCACACTGATCACGAGAAAATTATATTAAAAATAGATGATGGATTATGGTTTATGCATGACATTTACTCACCACATGATCTGGCAAAAGTGCAGAAAATAAACCTTCAGGGAGAGGCCCAAATAGGGTTGAGCGCACATGGGTTTCAGCTGCTTGAAACCTTCGCTAAACTGCTTTTTCGCCCGATTGAACTTCTCCTTTCGCGTGAACCGCCTGTCAGTGCCATCAAGCTCAGCGGATCGATCTGGCGTGGTATCGGTAAGGCGCTTTACCTGGTGGAAATCAATCTTATAGATAAATAATAGTAACCTTTAATAAATACCCACCGGATAGCTATCCTTGCTCTTGCGCTTGTTCATCTTATATATGCGCTGCAGAGACTCCATGGCCTTTGTGTAGTTACCCTGGGACATAAGGAATTTGGGGCTCTCGGGCAGGAACATGTGCATCAGGCCGCTCATCAAAGTGGGAATTGCGCTGGCTGCCATAAAAATTTGCCACGTTCGGACTGCGGACGAGAGAGAAGCTTAAGATTTGAGGTCACATCGACCGGGACTCACCTACACTCCAAAGTGCCCACCTTAAAGAAGATGTTCACCGGCAGCAAAACGTACGCCATAAGGGGCATAATCATCGATCCGGCGGAAACGCAGAGGCCCACAAACAGCATGATATACGGTCGGTGCTTCTTCCCATGGAACTCGGCCAAATAGCTGACCACCACCGCAAAGGGGCCGCAGATGCTGAGGGAGAAACTCATTAGTTTGAATATCGATTGAGCACTCAAAGAAAATAGTTTGTATATAAATCTAACAATATTTATTTTAAATGAAATTATTTTTACTTAAGAATAATTGTTCATGATAATCTAAGTATATTTATATGTTTTCAGTTAACTGTAAATATAAGAAACATATTTTTAGATTAAAAATAAGCATTTTCCATTTCAAGATATCATCATTAACTTTGATAATGAAATATATTTTACAAAAAGTGTTGAATATACGCACACGAAACCGTCAAAGAACTTAAAGGCCATCAGTTGGGCCGTATCCTGACTCAAGGAGGCGCACAGAACAAAGAAGCCGTCAAGCCAGCCGCCGGAAATGAGAACCGGACGGCGTCCAAAAGTGTCGGCAATGAAACCCCAGGGTACTGCCGAGATGATCATTCCGGCATATGTGGCCGCATTGAGCAATCCCTTGTCCAGGAGACTGAGTTCCAGATCGCACTCCGCCGAGGGCATCACATAGGACAGAGCGGATGCGGAGAAGACCATGGCCGTGAGGCAGGGCATTGCGCTGCACAGGATGAAGACGTTAAACATACCGAAGCCGCACTCGGCAATCGCCGTCTCAAAGTCGGCCGCCTCCTCCGCATTGCCAGCCATTAGAAATATAAATATATATAGATATATATGAAGTTTTTGGGGAACTGTGGAAATTTTGACAAATACTTGAAAGAGTCCTGGATAATAAGACTGATATGTGAATATTTTGACAACTATTTTTGTTGCTTAAAAATATTTCAAAAGTCCTTATTTCAATAGTACTTACAAATTTCGCATTTTCTTCATTTACACGCAAAAAAATTCTATAAATTTCCGTCAACTTGTTGTATAGAACGTTATTATATAATATTATACTTAAAACAAGAAAGGAAGCTAACTTCGGCACACCGAAGTTTGTATACCCTTGCAGATTGGTTTTGATGTTTATATTATAAATTTAAATGCTGAAAACACTCACAAAACAGAGTTTCATTACATTTTACTTATACTTATTATGTTTGCAGTTTGACAGTTACAGTTTTACATTCCCAGCTTTACATTTTCTCCACATTTACAGATCGTTTATATGACAGCTATATGATATAGTTGTCCGATTTTCATAAAAATTTTACCAAAATTCTGAAATAATAAAAGAAGCTTATATATAAAAGTAGATAAGAATATGTTGAAAAACAACGAAGTTATAATTTTTTTCCTATTCTTTTTCCGATCGTTCCTATGGCAGCTATAAGATATAGTGGTCCGATTTTCATAAAATTTTTACCAAAATTCTGTAATAAAATAAAATGGCTATATCTTAAAAATGATGCAAAAATATTGAAAAACAGCCAAGTTATAATTTTTTTTCTAAAAATTTATCGAACATTTGTATGGGAGCTATATGATATAGTCGTCCGATCCGGCCCGTTCCGACATATATAGCAGTGAGAGTATATAGAAGACTCTATGCAAAGTTTCATTCAGATAGCTTTAAAACTGAGGGACTAGTTTGCGTAGAAACAGACAGACGGACAGACGGACAGATGGACAGACGGACAGACGGACAGACGGACATGGCTAGATCGACTCGGCTGTTGATGCTGATCAAGAATATACACTGCGCGTCACCAGATTAGCGCCCCCCTTGGTGCTTGCGTTTGAAGTAAAATATTATCAAAACTATTAAAGATTGAACTGTACAATTATTATCCAATATAATTCGATTAATTCTCTAAATAAAAACATATATTAGAACGCAGTTGGTATTTGCATAGAATTGTATTAAATTAAAAACTAAAGAAACACGTTTATTTGGAAGAAAAAACTGCGTCATCAGATTAGCGCCACCTACATTAACTTAACTTTTTTTGATAAAGTTCTTACAAAATACTATCTTTAACAATTTTATGATTAAGTTTAATCATTTTTAAGGAAATTTAATAATGGGTTGCCCCTCCCTTGTTTACAAGGACTTCACAAACTCGATTGGGGAGAGAGTCATACAAGTTTTTGAAATATTCCAACGTTATTGTTGACCAGGCCTGTTTTATACTGTGAATTAAATCCTCCTTGGTAGCATATTGCTTGCCACCCTCGTACACCTTCCTAGCTAACCATCCCCAGACGTTTTCTATTATGTTCAGGTCTGGGGAGTATGGGGGCCACTCCAGGACACTGACATTTTCCTTTTGATTCCATAGTTTTACGGACCGGGCTCTGTGGATTGGGGCTTAGTCGTGCTGAAAATGCTATTTCAGATTTCGAAATAAGTTTTTAAAAACGGGAAATGCTGTTTTTAGAACGCAATTGTAATTTTCCGCGTTCATCTTTGGGGTTAAAAACTGCAGTTCGCAGTTGCCATAATAGGATATGGCTCCGCATACCATTACTCCTCCAACCCGACTATGTAAGCGATCCAGATGATGCTCTTCCTTGCGTAAATAGTGGAAATAATAATTATATCCGTCAGGACCCCCTAGGTTACATTTTTTTCGTCTGAAAATACGACGTTATGCCTCTCATTGGATCATGTCATATGCGTGTGAGCAAACTTTAGGCGGATTTCTGTTCGCACTTGGTTAAGGGGTGGTTTTTTTTTTAGTTTTAGCTTCTTTAAAGGGTCAGCTTTCTTGATCACCTTTAAAAAAAGTCGATTTTATTGTCTTAACACAAGTTTTTTCTATTATTTTGGCGGTAGAGTCGTGGGAGTTACACGCCTGTCGAAGTATAGCACTGCGATCTGCGGAACTAATAACACTGTTATTACCTCCTTTGTAATTTTTTCCATAGCTTTTCTTATTTTGAAGAAAATTTGCAATGGTTTTGCGATGTCTTCTCGTTTTTTCGACGATTTTGTGAAGAGAAAGTCCACATTCATTAAACGCTTCGATTTTCGATTTTTCCTCCGAAGATAAGATTGTTCCTCTGCCCATATTGTATGTCAAATTAAAGAAAAATGTTTAATTTAACAGCAAAAAAAAAATAGTTGCTGTGCTCAGCAAGTTAAGAAAGATGTTTAAATTTATATTTTGGGGGCGCTAATCTGATGACGCAGTTTTTTCTTCCAAATAAACGTGTTTCTTTAGTTTTTAATTTAATACAATTCTATGCAAATACCAACTGCGTTCTAATATATGTTTTTATTTAGAGAATTAATCGAATTATATTGGATAATAATTGTACAGTTCAATCTTTAATAGTTTTGATAATATTTTACTTCAAACGCGAGCACCAAGGGGGGCGCTAATCTGGTGACGCGCAGTGTATATACTTTATAGGGTCGGAAACGTCTCCTTCACTGCGTTGCAAACTTCTGACTGAAATTATAATACCCTGCAAGGGTATAAAAACAAGATTCTACTCACTAGAATATTCATTGCGATGATAATTTCGAATGAACATCTTTGAACAATCTTCTCCTATTTATACTAAAAGTATAAGTTCATTAGTCAATGAAGCGTTCTATCTAATAAATCGCTGCCATTTAAAGTCTGCCAGATAAGTCAAGTGAGGCAGCACTAATTTACTCTTCAACCCGTCGATGCAAATCTGGTTAATGTTGTCTGTATCCGATCGCTCACCTGCCAGGCAACTCAACCACCACTCTCACCTGGCTTACAGGCTACCAGCTAATTGGCGCTAATGAGATTTTCATGTCGGCTACTTCCACCTGCCTTTTGTCCTTGCTTATCGGGCGGAATTATTCCTGTTCACCGCGTTTAAAGATAGTTTGTAGTGTTAGTTTGTACAACAATAAATATTCATAAGTATATTTGGTTCGATTACTTAATGTTTATATAAATAGTTGTTGAGCGCCTATCTTTTATCTCTAATTTGTACAACTAAACAAAAGCTAGGCTAGCTAATGTAGCAAAGATCTGGTTTTAACTAGAAAGGCATTTAAAATTCACTTATAAATAAATATTTGGAAGAACATTGTCAATCTGCTTAGGAAAAGGTGGCCTTGGCTGGATTGGGCACAAATATGGAAAGGGTGCCGGATACTAGAAATATTAAAAATAAGAATAATTTAGTAACATAGTAAACTAAATTTTACATATGATAAACTTACATAAAAGCACCGAAGAGACCATTATAAACGGCGGCAAACATCCTATTTGAACGAATACGGGGAAGAGCAAGTTTCCAGACAAGGCGCCAAAGCGTCCACACATCATGGCAATGGCAACCACAACCGTTCTGTAAAGCGGTATCCCTATTAATATTATTATTCACACAGTATATGCGAACACCTCACCTCAGTTGTGTGGGAAAAAGGGCCACCACAGCCCCCAAGAGCGAGGAGACGGCGATACCCGTAATGGTGAGGAAGGTGGCAGCCACAATTAGGGTCATCAGACTGCTGACGGAGAAGTATAGGATAAGGCCAAAGGTCCCTGATAGAAACAGTCCATAAGCTGCGAAAGGAAGTCAGTTAATTAATCAATATTTATAGAGATCAAACTTTAAGAGCAACTCACTCATCATTCGCTTGGGTCCGAGGGCACGGATAATTCCACCAGCAAAGAAGTAGCCCACAAAGCCAGTGGCCGATACTATAATATTGTTAATATACATGTCCATAGAGATCACCTTGGGCTGTAAAAGGATATACATACTTCTTAATCAGAGAGTAACAGTACGAGAAACCACCAATGCAATAAGATAATGGAATAACTACGTCACATTCATGATAATTGGGCATTAAAACCCTGACAGATTAACACTAATCTTTAGATCTAGCTCTGCTATCTCCGGATTTTAATATACACATTACCCACCTCTGAACAGGCATCGGCGTAATTCAAGGCAGTCTCCGCCGTCCGATTGACACTAAACTCAAGGATTGTGCACATGCTGGCATCCACGCCCTCGCCCGCGTGCAGTGCCTCGAACTCAGCCATTGAGGCAAAGAGCTGGGGCAGCCACAGTCGGATGGTGTTCATGCCCAGGAAGATGCCGAACTGCATTGTATAGCAACAGAGTGCTAGTCCCAGCAGGGGCTTCCTTGCCAGTGGCTTCATTTGCTCCAGGCCGGCTCGGAGGCTCTCGGAGAGAGTGCGTGTAGGTTTTTTATCTGGCAAATTCCCGGTTTTTTTCTCCTCGATGGTGTAGATGGCCTCGTCTTTGGCGGCCTTTCGATTAGGAACCTCTTGCACCAGGGCTTTGATCTAATAAAAAATGTTTAAAATATGAATAAAAAAGTTTTTAAATTTGTCTAAAATTTAAATATGTTCTACGTAAAAATATTTACTTTTAAAAATTATTCCTAATTATTATATTTTTATATTCTAAATTTCCAAGTACTAAATGTATTGAAACGCTTATTTGATTTAATTTCCCACTTACTGGATACGAGTCCTTGGGCTTTCGACTGTTCACATGATAGATCTGCTTAAAGGCTTCCAGTGCCTCCTCGTTTCGTCCTTGGGCCATTAAAAAGCGAGGACTCTCCGGCATGACACAAAATATCAGGCCACTGATTAAACTTGGAATGCCCAAAACAAATAGGTAAATTTGCCAGCTGTGAACTAAACGAAAAAAGAATTTTTAAAACATAACTTAAAACGTTAGCAAAATTTATGAAATAATTTTAAAAAATCAAACAATAGATATAAAGGGTAATAAATATATCAAGTGAATATGGTAAACGCCTTTCTTTTAAATGATAAATAATAAACCATGATTTGAACTTACTATTCAAACCCCAAAACTGAAAGTCCCAGTCTCTGGGAAAGATGCCCCAGGCCAAAAGTGGCAGTGAAACCGTAGCCGTTGAGGTGACCATGCCAACGATCATAAGGACGGAGGACCGGTGCTTCGGTCCATGCATTTCGGTCAAATAAGTAAAAAGCACAGCTGCTGGACCATTTACCCTAAAAAATAGAAATCAAATTAAATAAGAGTTCCATTATAACCATAAAATCAAGAATAAACTTACACCAATCCTCCCAAGAACTTAAACACCACCAACATGGTGAAGTTCTGGCTGAGAGCGCTGCCGAACACGCAGACAGCATCGATCAGGTAGCCCCAGTAGAGAATCTTCTTGCGACCCTTCGTATCTGCCAGGTAGCCCCAGGCTATGGCAGATATTGTCATGCCGGCATAGGCCACGGCATTCAGCACACCCTTATCCTCCAGAGTCAGGCGGAGATCACACTCGGCCACGGGCAGGATGTAGGACATGGAGCTGGACTCGAAAATGGCGGCACTCTGGGCGGGAATTGATACGAAGAGCAGGATCAGATTGAAAATGCCGAAGCCTGCGCCCTCGATGGCCTTATCAAAAGTGGCAGGACCCTCCTGGCTGGTCCCGGTAGCCTCCGCCTCCGCCGTACTATCCGAGTTCCCATCCTCACCCTCATTGTCTTTTTGCAGCTCTGTAACTAGGAAGGGAAAGCAGAGTTGTTTGATGGCAGTTTGAACTAGTTTTTATGGTCCAGTGAGAGATATAATCTCTGGGAGAGATTATTTAAACTTAAGATAGCCGTTGCACTGTTAAACAAGGGTTGCTATTATTGTTTTCATTGTAGGTTTATTACAAGATTACAGATTATTTATCTTTACTGTAATATTGCGTATCTAATTGCTTTCTAAATTAATCTCAAAATGTTAAATATACATGTATAATGTGCATTCTCTTTGTAACATTAACTATATATTGTTATTATTTTTATTTTTGTTTAATAATTTATATATATTTAAATTTTCGGTCAAGTTTTTACATTAAAATTTTCCACACTCATTCATAACATGATATCGTAGATTAAATAGCCTTATTCTAGTTATAAATAAGAATATATAAGAGCAAACACAGATTGGGGTTTTGGGAAATATACAACACCATTCAGATTAGTTTTATAGCCAATAAAATCATTTGTTTTATGGCTATTTATATTATTTTTCACTATTTTCTTAATGGAAATTTTCTTTCTTAGTTAACACAAACTTCTATTTACATTATAATTCCTTGTAATTTAATTATTACTCCACAAAACACGTAACATTTTTTATTTCAACACGCTATTACCTTTTTGCTTCTCAGCATTCACACTTTCAATATTCTTTTCCGACATTTCTAAGTCTAATTTTTATTTTTATTTATTTTTTATTGTGTTGCTCTTGAAATTGATTGTTCAATTAATGTGCTGCAGCTTTTCGATGCAATCAAAGATTTCAGTTCACTGTCACCGCACTATATACATATGTAAATATATTTTTTCTGATTCAACCGACAATTGCTTGCACTTGCAATGCTGCGCGAGAAATGATCTAGAGCGAGTGCCACCTGCTTTTATCGGAACCCGCATCATTTAAAACTGAAGATTCACTCAACTACAACTCTCTTATCTCTGGCTTTACAATCTCAAGAAGCTAATAAACTTATAAATCTGTGTTTATCCAACAGAAACACGTTGCTTAGCGAGAAGATACTACATTGCGTTTTAGGACAAAAATATGAAGATGAGTACACAAAATTTTAGTTAAATTACATTTAATATGTAAAAAAGGCGTTTTAAAAGAAAAATTACAAACATAATGAACCATAACGAAAAATATTATATTTATATAAATAAACAGCAATACAAATAATTTAAATATTCACGCATGTTAGCAAAAAATATCGAAGATATTGAAAATTATAGTTAGTATATATTTACGATATTTTTATAAATTGTACGATACTTTACTTCCCAATGCGTTATTTCAAACTTCATTAAATCAAAGTTTGCTATATTTGCCATATATCCTGTGGAAGTCTAAAGTCTTTCCCATGCCCGCGAGACAAACTATACTATACTATGCGGTGTTACCACGATAAAGACATGAGGTAGCAACCATCACGACCCATAAAACGTGTGGGATAATCACGTTTTTTTTTTACATTAACATTCAATGAAACGGAAAGGAATATTTCAAATAATATTCCAAATAATTTCAATTCGGCAAGGAAACAAAGCATACAAATAAATTTAGTTTGAAATTAACACGCTTCCAAGTTGCCTACGTCATTTCAATGGTGAAATTTGTGGATGCTTGAACGACGTCTGTCTTACTTTTATCTCCAGCCACACGACATAGGGGTGATCTTATCAGCGTTATACTTATCTCCATCATGACTAAACATATTTGGGGGCAGAGCAAGTGAATGAATTACTCATAAGACGTGAAAGATTCTCATCACACACACAATTTGGGTTTTATTTCTTACACTAAAAGCAGTTATAAATATATAAGAGGTTCCTCTTTTTCAAGCCATTCACAATGATTGACACAAACTCTTGTCCCGTGCCGGTGTCCAGTCTTCTGTCCGTCCACCTCATTCGATGGCGTCCACTAGCTTGCACAACATACGATCATGCTGGTAGCTGGGATCATTCTTGGCCGCTGCATTCGTCTCCAACGGATCCACCTCCGTCTTGATCTTAGCCCCGCCATTCTCATCGTCATCGCCCAGAACAGGTAGTGCTGAAAAAGCCGTATTTACTATCTCGCGCACCCGCTCCAAGTGCTTTTCAAAACGAGTGGCTGTCTCCACGCGCTGTCGCTTCTGCATTTCCATCATGACGCGCAGCGTTTCCCTAGCCTGATGGGGCCGAAATTCGTTGAGCAGGTGATGCATGTTCACAAACAGAAGACTCAGATCGTCTATCTGAAAAATACAAGGGAGATGTTTAGATTATTTTCAAAAAATCCGAAGGCAGTATCCAAATTATAATTAAAGCAAACTTCCTTAAGAAACTATTGAATTATAATTGTGAAGGAATCTGTTGCTTCATATGATTTATTACCTTCTCCGTGCGTCGAATACTGTCGGGATTTAAGATGAGGAAGTCGATCAGGTCCAGAAAGTTGACCAGCAGCGAGTGGTTCAGCTTCTTGAGCTCCTTGCGCCTGTCGAAGTGAATGGGAATCAGACGCTTGATGTTCTGCGACTCCAGAGACCGGATCATCTCGTCGTTGTTGTACTGGATCCCAAACATGCTATATACTTCGTGCTGTGACGGCGGGGGCGGCGGACGGGGAGCGCGGTTCCGCCGAATGTTTTCCTCTGTGTAGTTGCTGATGTAGCGCTCCGGCGGCATCGGCAGGCTGGACACCTGGGTCTCCTGGTTGGACATGGCCGTTTCCTTTTGCTTATGCTTACTTAAGGTCAATATAAACGTTAACTTCGAATTTGTTATTCCAAAATAATTTTCACAATAATATTAGGCCACGCAGTGTTACCGTAGGTTATTAGTGTAAAAATCTTCACCTGAAACGGCAGCTGGGCACACTGAAACGCACAAAAAGTCTGGCTAGCTCACGCACGAGGCGTTGCCAGACGTCCCAGTCACGAGTCACGACTTTGTTGCTACCATTCTCTTCTCACGTTTGTCTCATCTCTCATTCGCTTCTCTGATTTTCGCTCACGGAGAGCAAAACAAAATGGGAAATACATATCAAGAGTGAATAGGAAATTATCCCTGCTCCGATTCGCGCCAATTCCCTGCGAAAAACAAAAATTCAGTGATAAAAGACTCGAATCAATCCAAATAATATTTAGCACAACAGAAAAAGACGGCGTGCTGCCACCATTTTGTTTTTGTGCCTCGTGCTTGTTTGTGTGTGTGTGTAACAAATCGTGCAAGCCGTCCCCAGAATGAGCAGGAGGAAGTATGAAATTGAAATTATGAAAAAGACACTTTATAGTTTTCAGCACTAAGCCATGGAGCGGGCATCTTCGGAAGAACCGGGTAAGTAACGCAGGGCCATGTGCCATGACGCCATCGAGGTCTTCAGCGCCTCCGGCGATCGTCGGATCATGTCAGCGCTATTTCCAGTTTACGGCGTGTGTGTGTGTTAAGTGGTGGGGTGTGTGTGTGAGTGTGCTTGTGTGTGGAAATGGAGAGAAGAAATAAACAATAAAGCGGATCTGCGATTGGGCGTTTATAAGAAATTCTTTTTCCCTTTCGCCCCTTTTTTTAGGCTGCAGCAGAACAGAAGCTAGAAACCTGATATTGGAAGTCGCGAGAAGTCGACCGGGAACGAATGTTTCCAGGTGCATCGAGACCTACGAAGAACAACAGGATCTGGACTCGCTGGTCAACCTGCTCGAGGAAGTCTCGAAGAACACCGACTACTCCACGGACCTGCGGATATCGATGGGATATGTAAGTGGGCATAACAAGAACAGAGAAGGAGAGAACTCTTTACTGAATGAAATGAAAATCATAATTTCAAAATTACGTAATTCTTTAAAAAAAATCTAATTTTTAACTAGTTAATTAATTAATTGTATATTCGTTTTACAGTATGGTGACGATTTCCTGCGCCACTCTCTGGCGGATAATGATGTCACCCGGCGAGCGGCCCTTCTTGCCGCTGGAAGAACCATCCACTTCAGCGGCAAAATCTATGGAGATCGCGTTGAATACGTGTACCAGGGAGTGGAGCATCAGGTCGATTCATTGCTCATATCCCAAGTGCAAAGGGAGCCGGCCGGCGAAAGCAATGGGTGAGTACATGAATGGCCAACAATAACAGCACTTCGCATGGAGTTTTTGGCGAATGGCGTGGTGGGAGATAAAAGATTTTGAAAGCCATGTGCTCGCAACCGGCGTGTATGTGTGTCGCCATTCCGTCTGCGTAGGCGCTATCGGTTTATCAAGTGCCAAAATACCGCTTATCTCTGATTCTCCTACACCCCCATCTTCGGCTTTATTTACGCCCAACATCAGTGATCAGTGAACCCGGGCTTCGTTTCCCGTTTCCTAATCACATGTTAATGAATGAATTCTCTGTGATAAACAAATGCCGAGTGCTTTAAAGCTTGAGTAATGAGAGAAAAGTTTAAAACTAAGATAGCAAGTCACATTAGATCATTCATAAATTTATTTCATATGAAAAAAAAAAAAACGTTGCTTTCTGATAATGTAGGGAATTTAGATAGGAATTTAGAAAATAATAATTATAATTCTTATTCACCTGCATTTTCACTAGGATTCCCAAAAGCTTCTAGATGCTACTGTTCCTATAATCTCTTATTTTCAACTTTGAGAAATATGGGATAATTTGGTAAAATAACAACAATTCAAACGAAATACCCACATTAATTGTTAATAAGTTACCCTGACCCTATCAGAATTTCGATTAAACTTTAATTTCTTTCTTACAGGCCAGAGAACACTGCACCCAAACCGGAGGAACCACGCAAGCGTCGCGCTAAGAAGCTAACCAAGAAGGATGTAGATCCTTACATGCTCACAATGGAACCGCGTCGATTTAAAACCATGTCCGATGACAAACGTTTCAACACGACCGGCTTCGTTAAGTGCATGAAAAACCGCACTATAGAATACCTTTACCAGGATCACATGCCGCCCAACCTGTGGCGTCACGCGCCCATTGTTGATCCCCAGAATCCCCTGGATCAGGACGAGAAGAAGCAGTACAAAATGTTTACCTATCATGTGGAGCATCGATACAATACACTCCTGCCCGACATTCCCTTCGAGCGGTTGAATCTGATCAAAGAGTACGTGCACACAAATCAGATGAACACCTCAGAGATCCTTAACGAGCACATGACCACCAAGGATTATCTGGAAGAGTGCATAGCGCTAGAAAATAAAATGCTTGCTTCTCGTTACGGCGCAACCGTCAGGACGAGAAGAAGGATGGACGATCAGGGAAAAAGATTGCTAGATGTAAGCTCCGAAACGAGTTTAGCGAAAAGGACGCGTCTGGAAGAGGATCAGGCCTTGGAACCAAATGAAGCAGGACTTACCGAAGCCATGGATGTAGATCAATCGACGCTGGGCGACATCAACGAATCAACCGGCGAAGCTCTGCAGAATCAAGTGTCTATAGATTCTGGTTTTGGTGAATCAATGAATTTGACTCAGCAAAACAGCGGCATTGATTCCACTCTTGGCGTTAGCCAGACGGTCGACGATTCCTTGAGTGTTAGTCAGGTCGAGGACTCGTCCTTAAGCGTAAGCCAAGTGGCGGACTCGGCCATAGGCATTAGCCAAGGGGAGAACTCTTCTCAGGTAGAGAACTCTTCCCTAAGCATTAGCCAAGAGGAAAATGGTTCGCTAAGTGTTAGCCAAGTGGAGAATCCACCGCTGAGTAGCACGTTAGCCCTGAACGAGTCCAGCACATTTGCCATAAACGAGTCAAATGTCCTTGACAGCACAAGATTGGACTTTCCCCCCGTGACGGAGGCGGAGCTGTTGCAAATCGATTTCGGCATCGGTATGGACGATGTCTCAGATTCTCATCATACAGGTAAACCAATAGCAATCCAAATATAAACATGCTGCCCAAAGCGTTTTGTTTTTTTTTTATTAAGGTTAAGGTTTTTGTTAATCTTTGTGTTGTAGAATTTGGATTACTTACACTTTGGTTTCCCTTATGTCTTTTTTTGTTTATTTTGACACTTCTTGATCCCGCCACTTGCATCCCTGCATTGTCACGGCAGGCCAGTCATTTGAAGATGAAGGTGTTGTTCTTTCAGATTTTGAAGATCAGAAGCAACGCCGCCAGTTCGAAACTGCGGTGATAGATAAGAATGCCGTGATGACGGATCTCAACGAGATCAAGGTGGAGGCACAACCTCCAGAGGAGACCGAGGGAACAGCTCCCATCATTGTGATGCATGCCGAGGAACCGGTAAATGTTCCCAGGGAGGTCTGTTATCCCATTGTGATGAATATGTTCGGATTTCCTAATAAACACGTTCGTCGAAAATGTTTTTTTAAACTGCCCAAGGAGTATGACACATTTAAGAAGGCGGTAAGTGATTTTTTGTAATATAACTAAATGTTTTTTATATAAATTGTATAACAAAAAATAAAATGATTTTAGCGCCTGCCTAGCAAGCGAGGGGCGGAACCGAAAACGCAACCTACACCGAGAGCCCTGGTCTTGCCTAGCAAAAGAATCCAAGAAAATCAAGAAGATGGGCCCGCGTCACCGGTGAGCGTAGAGTTTGATATGGATATGAGTAAGAGAACCTTAGATTAACTTAGATTATCTGTTATTAAAGACTCGGAAAAATGTTTTAGATTTCCTTGGCTATCGACGACCAACTATGGACTCTGGCTTTGCCCTTGATGAAGTACAAAACCAGTCAAGGACTCTTACCCCAGAAGTAAAGAATGAAGTCGATTCCTCCGGAAATCCAGTGAATGGAAATGGACCTAGTGAAACGGCGAATCCAGAAGCGCCCATAGATATACCTTCTGTCGATCCAGTGGAGGGAAATGCTCCTAGTGAAGCGGCGAATCCAGAGGCGCTAATAGAAACCATTGAGGCGGTGGTCTCAGAAACCATAAATTCCGAATTAAACGCAACCACTGAACCCTCTTCAGAGGACATAACTGAAAACTCGGAAATAGGATGTGGTTTAGAGGGCACATTAAATACTAGAATAGATAGCGGACTGGGCGCCGAATTAAATGCCACCGATGGCGCACAACTTGACCAGACAACGTTGGAGATCACAACGCTGCTAGAAAAATCCACAATAATTGACGAAGCACCAGCAAATGATGACGACGGCATAGAGGAAGGAGTTAGCCAGGACATTGATGATGAAACCAGTCTGGACATCGAAAACGCAGATTTCACTGACTCCAGCACAATGGTGGGTTTATCCTTCACATGTTTTTAAATTTAAATGTTTAACCAAATCTCTTGGTAGATCCGTGACTGGCATATGCGATTAGCACCCACCCTGGAGGCAGCCCATGCGCGGCAAAACTTCAACATCAAGGATCTGGGCACTGAGATTTTGAATGTCTGCAAGGCAGGAGACAATGGCCAGGCCACGTTAGCCGATGTAATGGCCGACAAGGACCCCAGTATCATGTGTCGCTACATGCTGGCCTCCCTCGTCCTGGTAAGTAAAGAGTTTATCGGGCAGAGAGATTTATTTATAATTTTCTATTATATATATATATAAATTTATTTATAATTGCAGACAAATCATGGCAACGTATCGTTGGATTTCGGAAATCGCGACAAAAGCAAGCCCATCGAAATGTCACAATTTTGCATGCAGCTGAAGAGTACAAAACGACAGGAAATTCATCCCGAGGACGATGTGGGCAACATGAGTGCTGCTGCTGCTCCTGCTGCCGAGGACAAGAGCAAACCGGCCAAGCGGAAGTCATCAGAAGTGGCGTCTCCTGAGGTGTTTGCAAAAACAGTTCGATTGATACAGTCAGTCCCCAAAATGAGCCAGTCTGCGTATGACACCGACTCGGGAATATCGTCGATGTGCTCTTCACTGGCATCGGCGTCCCAGGAAGTCTAGTCTCTACTTGTAGAAGACTGTGTAGTATATGTGTTAAATGTTGTATATTAGCTGTAGATTGTCGAAGATCTTTGTGTAGATCCTTTGCGTCCTGGTGGTGTTCTTCAGTGCGTGTCCCTCTATCACAATTGTAACTAAACCCCTTGCACCATTTTCAGGCCCAGCGGCAAATGCACTTTTCCCAGAAGTACCGAAAGATCAAGAGGCTTAGCTAGAGCCTATTGCCAGAAAATTTTCATTAAGTTTCCGTGCAAAGTATTAGGGTAGATATCCCTTAAGATGGTTTGCAATGTAAAAATCTATGTTTTAAGTTTCAGACGCAATATTTGTGTATAGTTTTTAGTTAAACAGTATTATTTAAGCTCTGTGTTCCTAAACATTGTGAAAGAGATCAACATGCATTTTGGTTTTCCCTTTAATTTTCTTCAAAATTTTATATTTTCAGTTTTGGCATTTGAAATTTTATTTTCTTTTATATACATTTTCTTTAAATTTCTCTTTTCTCTAATTTTTCTTATTCTTTATCAAATTTATTTTCTTTTTTATTTCATTTTTTCTTATAACATTAACACACTTTGGTTGTTTCCTTTAATTTTATATAACATTTTATTTTCCTTTCTTTACATTCTTAAACTGTATTGTAAATGTAATTTAATTTTGCATCTTGAACAATCACCAATTACGTTTTGGAAATTCATATGAGCTGGTAGTACTACAATCAAGTACCTGATCTCGTATTGTACAAAATTATGAAAAGAGAAATGTATAGATTTCTTCTGGCTCTATGCACTGTGAATAAAACTTTAAATTAAGATTGTAAATATGTGCAGGGCCAGAGAAGTTTGTACATATATATATGTAAGTACCAGAGTGCAAGAAAGAAAATTCTATTTACAAATTGTGTGCAAGAAATTCGTTTTTTTTTCAGTAGCCTAAGATTAGTTTTTAAGGAATAAAACAAAAAATCATGCAATCACTTAAATATGTTTTTAATCATAAACAAATTATAGAAAATCTTCTGCTATATGCTATTCGGAATCGCTGCTGCCGGACTTGTGCTCCTCCTCCTCCTTCTTCTCCTCAGTCTTGTAGTGGCGATACTCCTTCTTGAGCTCCCACATGTTTTTGTGCGGATTCTTCATGTTGTAATCGCAGACATCCTTGAGAATCTCCTTGAGGTAGCTAATCGGCTGATTGGTGATCTTGACGAGATCCTTAATATTGTAGTACTGGTGCTTCTCGAAGGCGTGGAATAGCATGTCCATCACAGCATTCTTGTCGTCGCGAGACTTCTTGCCCTCGGCCTTCTTGCGGTCCCGATATTCGATCTGAAAAGATAAAAATATAGTCTTAGCATTCTGTTTTTGACTCATAGACAAAATAACAATATTAGTTACATTGTGTGCATGATCCTTGACGGGCTTGAAGTTCTGCACAATCTTATCAATGGGCTGCACCCGACGCTGTGGTTCCGATGCCTTGCGAATGGACTCCAGCTTTAGCTTCATATAGCAAGTATCGGCGATCGGACGGCACTCCAGTTTCTGTACAATGCGACCCTCCATGTAGAGCTTCTCGTTGTCCGGCTGCGACGACGACGAGTTCTCCTTGCCAACGCTGGCAACGGCCGCCTCAGCCGGCGCCATGTGCGAGAATACCCCCAATGTCTGTTTCGTGACCTGCGACACATCCAGCACGTGCTCTGTGGGTATCTTCTCGTCTGGATCTAGAGCCAGGACGGCGGGTGTGAGCGAGAGCGAAACCTGGGCCTTCTGACCGGGCGTCTTGCTGATCCGCAGCTTGCCCACGTCCATGCTCGACGGAGCCTTCTCCCATTTCTGGGCAATGTACTTCGGTACCTTGACCAGCCACACGCCACGTCCGGCGTTCGACAGATCCAGGTCTTTGTCGATTATCTGAACTTTATCCTTGTCGTCCTTAGACATTGTGTTTTGGCGACGCGACTTACGGAGGGATGGCACTTGCAGCGGTGGACAACAAACAGTTTTTCAGGTTTCTGTTTCAGTGTTGCAAAAAGTGTTTGAAAAGGTTCGATTTCGTTACAGTTGCGGTAAAAATAATAATAATAACTAAAATACTAAATGGGGAAATGTATTTAATATCTATTTTTCAACATAATTGCATCTGTTTTAAAATTTGTAAGTAATTTTTTTGTTAATGTTTTTCAAGTAATAAAATAATTAACTAATATTAATTAATATATTTTTATTTATAACAACAAAATTAAAATGCAAGGCAAATAAGAAAAACTCAAAATTTTTTAACATATACACATATATATTTTTCATTTCACCATAATTAATGCTATTATTTTGGCCGCACTTGTATGTGGTATTTTTAACCGCTCCGGATATGGCCACACTGCTACACTTGCACTTGCAAATTCTACTTACATTTCCCACGCCGGCACTTTTCCATTTTCCGGATCATGGCGCCCCCGGCAGCGCGTGCACGCTATATTGCCAATAAGGCGGACAACCAGATTCTGTCGAAGAAGCCGCCCAAGCGGCTGGGCCTCAATGGCAGCAACAAGGACCCGGCACCGGCCGGCAAGAAGGATAAGAAGCAAAAGGATTCCAAAAAGCGGTAAGAAAGACAATCATTCTCTGTGAATTTGACTAAACCAAATTACACAACTCTTGCCTGCCCGCAGCAAGCAATCGGCTACTGGGAGCCAGGAGAAGAGCAGCAACCCGAATCCCATTATGCCCAGCGTGCAGACCGCCTTCAAGACCTTCGTTAGCGCCCGGCTATGCAGCGCCATTTGGGCGTACATTGCCGACTGTGACGAGACCTTCAACTACTGGGAGCCGCTGCACTACATCATCAATGGCCACGGCCTGCAGACATGGGAGTATAGCCCGCAGTTCGGGCTGCGTTCCTACACCTACCTACTGCTGCAGGGCGTGCCCGGTTACTTCTACCAGAAGATCTTCAACCCGAGTCCCATACTCATCTTCTATATGGTGCGCTGCATGCTGGGCTTCGGCTGTGCGGTAATGGAGCGGTTTATGTACAAGTAAGTCCCGCAGGCCAATCGAATCTTGGAAAGAATACATTAATATAATAACCATATTCCAGGTCCATTTGCCAGGAGTTTGGCATACACATCGGTCGCCTCTGGCTGATATTCCAACTGTTCAGCGTTGGCATGTTCGTGTCCAGCACTGCTCTGTTGCCCTCCTCGTTCTCCATGTACTTTGGATGCGCTGCTCTGGCCGCCTGGTGGCAGCGTAACTACTGTTTGGCCATATTCCTTACAGCCATTTCGGCTCTGTTGGGTTGGCCATTCGCCGCTCTAATTGGCATACCCGTGGTACTGGAGATGCTACTTAGACAGCGAGACTGGAAGACGTTTGTTCAGTGGACCCTGATCTCTGGCGCCTCGATTGCCATTCCCATGATTGCCATCGATACGAGCTACTTTGGCAAGCTGACATTTGCCCCGCTGAACATCGTGTGGTATAATGTGTTCACCAGCCACGGACCGAACATCTTTGGGACGGAACCGTTGAGCTACTACATCGTCAATGGTTTCCTCAACTTTAACATTATTTGGGTGAGAGTTGGAGCTGTTCTTGGTTGGAACAAGATTATAATCCTTTTTACTATATCCTAGCTACTGGCCCTGCAACTACCCATTATGCTGGTCATGGATTACCTCATTGTGCCTGCCAAGTCCAAGTCTACGCTGAACTTTCCCCATTACATCTCGCTGGCTCCACTCTACCTTTGGCTCCTGGTCTTTTTCGCCCAACCGCATAAGGAGGAGCGATTCCTGTTCCCTGTTTATCCATTGATCTCGCTTTGCGGCGCCATCACCGTGGATGTGTACCAGCGCATCTTCTTCCGTTTCAAGTCGCTGGTATTCAAGATCAAGGCGGGCGTTCATTATCTGGACCACAGCATGTTCATTGCCATCCTGGTGATGGTGACAAGCACACTGCTCGGACTTTCGCGAGTGTTTGCTTTGTACAGGAACTACCATGCACCCATGGATCTGATGCTGGAGCTCAATCAGTTCAAGGCGGACCCACAATATAACCCAAACTTCATATACAATGTCTGCATTGGCAAGGATTGGCATCGTTATCCGGGAAGTTTCTTCTTCCCTGCCCGGAACTTTCGCCTGCGCTTCCTAAAGTCCGAGTTCCGTGGCATGCTGCCGGCGTACTATGTCAATGGTGACAATGCCACCCAGGTGGTGCATCCCTACTTCAATGATCTCAATCAGGAGAACGAGCACATGTACTTTGACTACAACCAATGCGATTTTCTCGTCGATTTCGACGAGGGCAAGTACACGGCGCTGGAACCCAACTACTCGAAGCGATCCAAAGAGTGGACGGTGATGAAGAGCCTGCCTTTCCTCATACCGGAGAAGTCGCACAAGGTGTTGCGTGCCTTTTATGTGCCATTCCTCACCGACAATCACATTCAGTATGGTGACTTTAATCTGCTCAAGCGGAAGCCGAAACGCAATGGAAGGTAAAGGTGAAGATTGTCGTGCCATTTAAACAGCATTTTTTCCTTAGCAAAAGTCTGGGAGGATTTTTATAGTTAAAGAAATGCGATGACTAACGGCAATTCCATGTCATCAGATTTTAAAATTGTAGATTTTAATTTAAAATTTAATCGACATTTAATCTTTCCATTCCTATGATAAATCCAGTTAGGATCCTTTTAACCCAGTGAATCATACTCTATATGTCCCATGATTTTTGTTTTTTATGTTGTGTCCATGCCAAAGTTGTGAAGTTCAATGCTGAATATCGAAGTAGAAAATAAGCCTCAAAAAAAGTATATAAACAACGAGATTCGTACATGCTTTTGTTTTAATATTCGAAAACTTTATTGGACGCACTCGGATCGATCCACATAAAATCGGGGAAGCAAAACTTTACAATGGAAATCGCTCGGACTTAGCCTAGATCATCAAAGGTGTGTGCTGGGTTCTGTTTACAATGCTATATTTGGTCTACTCAATGTACAATACACGTGTGCGCGGGGGGGGCGGGGTCCTAAACCTAATCCTAAACTGACTTAGCAGCGATATTTACAAGCACTCCGCGAGCAGATAGCTGACTGTCACAGCTCTAGAAGTAGACCGTCAAGTTGTTCTCCGAGGAGCCCATGGCATCGGTGGCAGATAGAAGATTTGAGCCGTTGGCATTGGCCGACGTGGTCGTGATGGTGGTGACCCCGCCGCCACTTATCGCTCCGGTAACCGCCACCTTCCGGTTGTTATTATCCGTCTGCAGCGAGTCGTGCTCGATCTCGTCCTCCTCCTCGAAGAGCTGACCGTTGGCAGAGGCGCGCGAAACGATGCCTGGCAAAAAGACTACTTATAGTGAGTGTTTCGGGTGAGTGGCGGGATATAACTGTTTTTTATAGGGAAAATAGTCCAACTTACTGCGCACTGTGGCCGCATAGCTCTCCCGTTGTCGCTCTCGATCCCGCTCGCGCTCTCGTTCCCTCTCCAGCAGTGCGGCGGAGCTGCCGAGAGCCATGCTACTGCTGGCTCCACTGGCCACATGATGCAGGCCATTGTTCATTGGATTGGCCATGGTGATATTGCCGCCGTGTTTCATGTGCAGCACGGAAACTCCACCGCTGGTCACGCTGGCGCCGTTGCCATTGCCATTCCCGGCCAGCTTCTCGTGGGTGACCAGATTGGCCGAGGACACGCTGCTGTGCGCCTGGCTGTGCACACGATTTCGGCCAAGACCCAGACCGCTGGAGGCACTCTTGCCCTGCTTCTTGGACCGCACAATGTAGCAGCTGAGCGCCACAATGATCATTAGGAAGAGGCCCACTATCATACCGAACATGCCCAGCATGCTGCTATTCCAACCGGACTGGGCCAGGGTCAGACCCTCCATAGTCACGCTTACTGGGACTGAGGTGCTCCTGGGCGGCACACCCGTGTCCGTGGCAATGGCAATCAAGTGAACCGTAGACTCGTTAAGGCTCTGCAGCTGCTCCGGACGCATGAAGATATTGCCGCTGGCATCGATCTCGAATAAGCCAGCATGCTGGCCCCGCAGTGAGAGCTCCAACTTATCGTTGCGATCGCCATCCGCCGCCTCCACCTTGCCGATGAGTACGCCCTCGAAGGAATCCGCTCGGGACTGTAGGGACTGCTGGAGACAGACGGAAAGATGAAAGGTTAAGAACGCTACATATTTTTTTTCCCCCGAAAATCCCTCCTCCCAAATCGTATAGAATACTTACGCTCTTGGGCACCATGAACTCATAGTGTGTCTCCCTGAATCGCGGCTCCCAATCATTGACGTCGATCACATCCAGCGTGAGCTCAGCGGTGCTATTGGTCATTCCATCGGTGGCCATAACCTGGAACTCATGTTTGGTCATCTTCTCGTAGTCGAGTGGCTTGGCCAGGACCAGTTCCCCCAGAGATCCCACGCTGAAGAACTGAGAGTTTACAGGATCCGGAATGGTGTACTTTAAATGTTTGCCCGGTTTGTTGGTCGGCAAGGCTAGTATCCGGTTTCCCACAGCCGTGTCCTCGCGAATGCGCATCACAAACCTCTTTTGGACAAAGGCCAGGGTGCTGAGGTCACTGTGACTACCAGGCCGCGTCAACTGGACGGTGGTTAGAGCATAGCGATCGGGGTTATCGATCTGGGTGGCCTTCACCACCAGAGTGGCGCCATTGGCCACGTCCGCATAACCGATGGGAGTCAGCAGGCTAATCGCCCCGTTGTGTGGATGAATCCGGAAGTATTTGGCATCCTGGGATTGAACTATCGTATACTGGATCGGCGCACAGATGCCTTCATCCTGATCCACTGCCTTCAGTGGCTCCGGACGCATGCGCAGCTCTCCGGGCCTTCCATCCACTGGCAGCTCCGCTGTATAGGATTCCCGCTGAAATCTTGGATTCTGATCATCTGCGTCTGTGATCACCACCCGGAGCAAAGTATCCGAGTGGCGTGGCGGTGTGCCCTGATCCTGGGCCCGCAACTTGACGGTAAAGTTCTGCAGCTGCTCATAGTCGAGGGCCTTCTTCAGCACCAGGGTGCCTTCGAGGGGATTTAGGAACTGAACAAACTCCGAGTACGGACCAGGCAGCACCTGGTACTCCACGGTGGAGAAGGGTCCCGGCTGATCAGCATCTTCGGCCCGAGCTCCTTGCAGTATTCGCGTCCCAGGCACGGTCACCTCCGACAAGGTCAGCGTGTACGGAGTGCCAATCCACTGGGGAGCATTATCATTCACATCAGTAACGCGGACATTCACAGGGACGACGAAGCTCTGGAGGATTAGGGGGAAAAAACAGTAATAGGTAAGTGACAACTATGAACTAGGTTTTCTTAATTATTAAAAAGTTGAAAAAAATAAAAAATCAATCGATTTTGAACCTTCCTTTGAAATCCGTAAGAAATCCAGCTACTTTGACTGATGACTAAACAATTTTTCAAGTGTGTACACTGTACACCTTTCAGACGAACACCTTACTTTTAATCCTGGTCACTGACCCCTCGAGAGTTCAAAGCCCACCGCGAATGTCCTGCATACATTTGCATGTTTAGCGGACCTCACATTCGCCCCGAAACCAGGACGTTCCCCAAACCCAAGGCAAGCAACCACCAGACCTCCTTTTCAGCCCCACAAACGGAAGCCTTAATAGCTAATTTATGGCCACCAAGCTGGGGCTAACCACAAAAGCCGCTCCTGCTCCTGCTCCTCCTCCTTCGAATGCTCTTCGACCTGCAGCTGCAGTAGCGAACTAGCAGAGTCGTTGAAGTTGTAGCCGGCGCTTTGTTGATTCTTAAATTGAAATGGGCGTTCATTGTCTGCGCAAAAGTTTTCAATTGTTTATAGAGTTCCACGAATAGCCGCAACTTCAGAAGCTTAGAATCGTGTTTACCGAAAATTTAACCGGCTTAGTTAAGCGCCCCCAGGGAACACGCACTCTCCCAGTGGAGAAATGGGGTTCAAGGAGGTGGCAGTACCTTAGCTCAATATAGGTTAATTGGTTTGCCGCTGCCCATTGCACGAAGAGTTCCTTCGCAGCTGCGGAATGCGGTTGCTCGACAGGAAGTGCGGTCGATGTGGGCCACTGACCAGGACGGCCAAAGTACTGATTAATAACGGTTTTAACCTGATCGACAAGTGCTTAGCCAGCACCATCATGGTGGTAACTCTATTGATTCACTTTGTGCTTTACTTAATATTCCTAGCCAAGCTGTTTCCGCTTTGATTACCTTTGTTCTACATTTTATTGAACTACATAAAATCTTTAAATCATAAATTTCCTATTTATGTACCTTACCCTTTGGTCAGATTGTTTTGCTTTAAGGAGAAATAAATAGCTGGCAACAGCCAAAGCGCATCTCTCATATTACAACTTTATAGCTGAGAAAAAAAGCTTTGATATAGTATTAATTATAATATTCAAAGCTATCCGATCGATCGGTTTGGTTGCTAACAAAGTTGATGTAAGATGGAGGGTATCCCAGTGCTCTTTTTTATATTTGGGCTGTTAAGTGTATTTTTAACACGTAAGTTTGTCAAGTATATTGTTGCTGTTACTAAATTGTATGTATAAACTTATTTCTATTTTCCCTATCTAAATACTCTTACAAATCTTGTATAACAAAGCTTGTATTGAAGCTTATAATTATATACATGTATATTTAACAAAGCTGGGTTTCTCCTCAAGCTTCTAGAATTTTACTCAAAAAACTTTAAATATTTTTGAAATATTTCTATAAATTTCAGAAATCTACGCTCTAGAGCCGGAGTGTGGCAAGCTGAGAGAGGCCCAGCTCTACAATATGAAACAAATCACGGAACCGGACGAGTACACATGGATTGGACGCGTGGGCTATGGCAATTCCAGTGATCCGGACCCTGAGATAAAGTGCTCGGCGGTGCTGATCCATCAACGATATGCACTTATCTCTGCTAGATGTGTGCTTACACCTGGACTTGGAGATGCCACGTTCATTCTGTTTGGGGATTGGCAGGCCACTCGTAATATTCGAAAGGAAGATTGTCGCCCGAATGGGAACGACATCAAGTGCGCCCCGCCTCCGCAAGTGGTGAATATCGAGGAGCTGGTGGTGCACCCAATGTTTGACAGCAAAGGCTTTGACTATGAAATCGCACTGGCCAAGCTGGCGGAAAATGTAAAGTTCTCGGACTTTGTCCAGCCCATTTGCCTGCCGCCCGCCTATAAAGTTGAGGGGAATCACATCGCTCAGCGACTGGAGATGACGGGATTCAGGGGAGAAACCTTTAATAAGGTCGAGCCGCTGGCTGACGAATACCGCTTTCGGACGAAGCTGGTTGTGCAGACAGCCAGTTCGGAGTATTGCTCCTGGAATTGGCAGCAGGCCCATATGACGTTTAATTACGAGAACCAATTGTGTGCTATGGTGGATGTAAGGGACTCTGCTCTGACAAGCGGAACACTGATGGGCATTGAATATGAAGGGGAAAAGCCAAGGAACTTCTACGTCATTGGCATAGCGGGCATTACGCTTAAGACGTCCTCAAAACCACCTGTAATCATACACCAAATTATGCGCGTCTTGCCGTTTAGGGATTGGATTTTAAAAAACATGGCTTAAACGACCTCGTAATAGGTTAATTTTCAATTTTAATTTAATAAATTTTTAAAACTTATAAGTTACTTAAAAACACCTCAATCTTTGGAGCTTTTTAGTGACTAAGTTATCTTACCGGATCCGTTGAGTGCCGCCTTATACAGATAACATTAACGTAGATGGACGAGGGACCCCTCAGACCCTCCTTATCCAGTTCCACTGACAGGGCCAGCTCCTTTGTGCCGGCCACAATCTCAACTGGGGCGTTCTTCTCCCTCAGCGACAGGTTGATATCTCCCGTCTCGGCAGTGGGATCTCCATTTATCCTTAACTTTCCAATTATAGAGCCCACCGCCAGATCTTCGGTGGCTAGGAAACTTTCCGCTGAACCACCGCCCTCGAGATAACAACGTGAGTCCAGTATGGCGCCAAATGAGGCTGAAATAAGAGAGATTATTTAAAATATATATATTAAGTCAAAATTAATAAATATAACTGGTTGGAAATTAACTACCTTAGCTTATAATACTTAAAATTGATATTTCAACTAAATTCTGGTTATCTTTGGTAAAAAAAGGAATACTTTTCTCAAACGGACTCTCTCCCTTTCAGATTTACTTTCGGACTTTGCTGCTAATTTCGAATGAAAAGCAAATTGCAGCGACAGGCAGAGGAAGCCACCACTGGAGAGCGGAGTGTGTGCCTGGTCCAGTGTTTGTGTTCCAGTGAACCACCTGTCCGAATCGCCAGACATGTTTGCTCGTACCTCGGATACGCTCTACTAAGCTTCCGTTTTCTTTCATTCCGAGTGCTGCAATTTTCGGCCAGAGCTTCGAAGGCGAAGACCAACCACCAGGCACACAGCTGGCCACATGGAACACAACATCTTTAGACTGTTCCTCCACATTGGGCTGCCTTGCAGCTGATTTGAGTTTCCGGACAAGCTCTGATATCTAATTGTGTTAGTGTGCAAATGGTTAAACCTGAGATGGTCATGCAAATTGCTCTGAACGGACACCACATGCCTTTCCCTTCCTCGTATGCAAAGTGGTAAAAGTTCGTCCATGAAATGGAGAAGGAAAAGTTGAATCGATTTTGTACTTTTTGGGCTGCGTGTTTGATTAATTTCGGTATTATTTTCTTTTAAAAAAAAACACTTTAATAAGACTCTAAGTCGGGTTTTAAATCTTTTTATATAGTTAAGATTTTCTGCAAGTTGTTAACCCTTATCACTTTGACTTATTAATGGCAGTATTAATAGCCTGACCTCCCCTCACTTTCATAAATTTGTTGGTTAAGTGCCTTAGCCCAATTACCCAAGTCCCATGGGAGCATGACATAACACCTTTCTTGGGCAATACCATTATAAAATCTTACAAGTATGTGCATACATATTTCCCAAGTCAGGTTACGGTTACTACCTTCCCTTGACCGCCTGAAGAACAAGTTCTTGATATGTGTTAACAGTATAATTTCAGATGGTTTGTGTTTTTTTTTTTTATTATTCTTTTTTTCAGCTCGTTCTGGTAAACGGTTTGCAATTGACCCTGACTGCGGGTCGCCGGTCATCTCCGGCGGGATTTTCTCCAGATGATATATGACGGAGGAGTGAAATCTTCTGCTCGTTTTCAAGATCTCAATTGTAGGTTAATTGTTGTGACATTGGGCAATGCACATGGCAATGGAGGAGATCTCTGTACTGGCGGACTTTCTTTGGCAGTTAAATGTGGCTTTGGAAATTAGTCTAATTGCTGAGGATTTATTACCCAACAATCTCTGTGATGTGTGCTGATAACTCACGTACATGAATCTTGCGCTACTTTCTGCACAAAAAGGAAAGTTTTCTAAAGCACACGCATTGGCATCCATTCCGCAAAAACTATATTTCGATTACCCAACTTTGAATCCCCTCAACTAATTAGTAGCAAATGCATGTGTGGCAGGAATTGCACACACTATTAAAAATAAAACCCAAGACTAATTAGAGTCATCGAATAAAACAAAGTGGGTTCCGTAAGCCATCGTCATAGAGTCATCCATAAGGTGCAAATACCTCAAGCGTAAATCCTCGAAGCTTTGTAAAATTAAAGTCGAGATTAAAGACCAACCTCCCGATTATGTAAGTTCTACTTTTATTTTATTTTTATTTTTTGCAAAGTTGGGAGGGAGAGTGTGTAAGCCAAATGAAAGTGAGTTGAACAAATTTGGCCAAAAAACGAAGATGTGAATGTGAATATGAATATGTGAGCATATGGCAAAGAAAAGTTTCAACAATCAAAAAGTTCAGAAAAACAAATTTTCATACGGTTTGTTTTGGTTTTTTCTCTTCAGTTTTTTTGATAAAACAACGAAAAGAGAAAAAGTGCCCCGTTCAGCTTGGTGATTTTCATGAAAACGCCACCGAAACGACAAACTCCTCGGTCTGGGCCACTGACTTTGCTTCGCTATCTATCCAGCAAAGGGGTTTATTTTTGGGATTCCAAGTGGTAGTCGAAGCCACAAGTTGCTCCGCTCCGAGCGAGTTCTGTCTGGTTAAACATCGTAAGCATCGAGAGAGGCAAAGGTATATTTTGCAATCAATTTTTCCGGCACGGGTCAAGCTATTTGAGGGGGTATCTTAGAGCCCGTTAGGGAAGAACTTGAACTGTGACAGAGCCATTAAAGCCCCAACAACTGCTATACACATTCTTTGCCCAAGTAGAGTAATGATTTCACTCAACTATGACAATGTAATGAACCGAAATTAATGCACTAAATGGAACTTCAAACTGGAGCAACAACTTCATGACCACAAGTCTTGGTAGCTATAGGTATATATGCGTAAATGCACTCCAGAAAAGGCAAACTGCTCCACAGGGGGGACTGGGATTCCGATACGGTTTTGGGGTATGGTTATACACGAGCCAAGCAAGTCACGTAAAAAGTTGTATCAGTCATAAATCGTTGGACCAGAACATCATTGTCGTCGCTGTCGTCTCCGTTTGTTTTCTTTGCAGACTTTTCTCTGGTTTTCCGAAACTATCGCTTGGAATTTCACTTTTTTTCAGTTTTTATTTTTCGAGGGTTACATGCGGTTAATTACTTTGTTTGTTTTCGATTATCAAAGACAACTCTCGGATCAGCAGTTACTTAACCAACATACCAATCTTATAACTATACTGTTATTAAAGGTCTTTAATAATTTGTCAACAGTACAAGTTAATAAATTATAAAGATAGTTATTTATATATGCTTGACATATGTATTATGAGATAAATTATGGCATAGTAAAAGCAGGGAAAGTTTAAAATTACTCAAAGAATTTATGACTGTAATTACTAAGTTTTCTTTTCTTAAGTATTTATATAACTTACCATTTTTAAGCCAGCACAGAGACCAGATCACGTAGTATATCCCATAAAGTTTTATCCACATTTTGTACAACAATAGTTTTATCAAGTCAATTGATGTATTTTTAACTTCTCAGAGCAACATAACACTTCCACAGAAATCATATAATTAACGTTCACTTCACTCGGAATTCCATATTTAATTTCCCTGTTTAACCGGAGTGTCTTTCGTTAGAGTTTCTGATTTATTGTATGCAGTTTTATCTTTTTTTTTTCAGCCATAAATTTGCGTATATCTGCGATGTGCCATAAACGTTCTTGCCTGAATTTTTCGTGCAACTTTTCCTTTGTTCTTTGCTCTATAATTGACAAAATGGCAAGTTGAAATGGATAATGTCTACAGGGGGGAGTCTGCACAGTCTTCTAGACTTGGTATTACAAGATTATTAGATAGACAAAACACTTTGGCACAGAAACCAAAGCAACTGGAACATTAGCACCCCCTACTTAGCCCCCACGAAAAATATATCTAGCAACTAAAAGTTGTGTTCTTCATCTTTAGCATAGTGTTCCTCCTCATTCATTGTCTTTTGCTTGTGGGGCAAATGTCGCACACATGTCACCTCAAAGAGTTGGTAGTTGTTGGTCGGGTGACTTGGTCGGTTGCCACACATAGCCTTAGTTGTTGTCACCAGCGGAATTGGCGGCATTTTTTTCCACCAGGAAAAACTCCAAGAATAACACAATCAAGAAGCAATACGTTTCGTTTGTCAAATTGGAAATACTCTTCTTATGTTTAATATAATTTTGAGATATTATTATCTATTCTCTTCTGGGCTTTCAGGATTATTTACTCTGCAGAAAGTCTTTTCTTTCTCTAAACAGAATATTAAGGGGGGATATACATGTAAGCGGTCAAAATTTGGTCATTTTTCGTGAATTTTTTTTTATAAGAAATAGTCAAGCAATCGTCGTGAAACTTTGGATATAGTTAAAAGTAGAATCAGAGATGATAAAAAAAATTAGCTATAAACAGTATTTTACAAAATGGCGGACTTATGGAACATATGCCGTAGCGCCTCGAGCTTTGAGTTGCCGTGCTATGGAGACGATAGAGCTCGTAATTCCTGTCCGAAATCCGTAAACTAAATTTTTTTGTATTCACTACACCTTTATCTTCTATTTGAACCTAAAAAACCAAAAAGAAATCAAGACAAAAAAAATAAATTTTGATTTGAAGGAAAAAATGTTATTTTCAGGTGATCAGTTTTCACTTCCCACCCTCTTAAAAAATAGTAATACTCAGTTTTATAACAACCATGTAGGTTCAAATAGAAGATAATTTCATGCTGATCATAATAATTTTTGATTCACTCCGATATGTTACATAGTTTTTTGTGAATCGTGTCCATAGCATAGGTAGAAATGCAAAAATTAGAAGCTGAGAAAAAGACGTTTAAAATTTTTGATGTGCCCACGTTTACACTTGTGAACCTTGCGTGCATACTTGATTTGAGGCACTTAGAGTTGGAATTCGATAATGAAACTTACACACTATATTCTTTAAATAATAAACTATTTTTTAAACAAAAAAAAAAATTTGCCCAAAAAATTTTGGTTTACATGTATATCCCCCCTTAAGAACTGCTAGCCTTGGAACACCAAAAGATTTTACCTGGCTACTCAATATAACCAAGTCATTGATTTTACAGAATTTAAAAGCTAAAGCTACCAAATTTGGTGACAACTCTAAATTAGATTCTACAAATTCAAGAGATCTTAGATCTTTTAAACCCTCCTCAACCAAGCTTAAGCTAAAAACCACAAGACACCATGAAAAGGGTATTAAGACAACAACAGCCACTAAAGGCGGTTAAAAATGTTTTTGTTGCTGTTTCCTTGGTTCCGGAATAGTCGGTCCCAGTGGAAGAATTTCCAAAGCCCGTTAACATGGCGCGCAGGAGCTTCCTTCTGGCCAGGATTTATGGCATGCCACACACAGCTAGCCGCGGGTGGGGAAAGTGTGTGTGCCCAGAGCGCAAGGCGTGGAGGATGAGATGGTGGCTCTATGAACGTATTCCAAGGGGTTTTGGGAGGACAGACAAACATTTGCATACAAATCAGCCGCTGGCCATTGGCCGATGGCGAAAATGAAAACGCTTTTTTTGACCGGAAGCCCGCGGAAGCGCACAAAAAAGTCATTCACCTGTGGAAAAACGTTTACATTTTCCGATATTCGCTTTGGGCGGCGAACTTGTTTTCCCTCGGGTTTTTCTTTCGCTCTGGGGGCGATTTGGGAAAAAAGTGTTAACTGATTTATGGCAGAGGTGAAGTTTAATTGGGAATAATTATATGGATTCCGGGAGCGATAAAAAGGTGTCATAAACAATATTGAAGAAATGGAAAGTTTCAACTTTAAGTGAGAAATGTTGAGATTAATCAAAAGATGGAATAAAAAACTATATACGATTTCTAATATAAATATTTTGAATTTGTTTTCTAAAAAAATATTTTTTAAATTTTATTACATTTATTTTCGAATTAGATTTTAGAAGAGCATCCAAACCCTTCTTGATAACTTTAATATTTTTTTTTTTATTAATAAGTTGATATTTGTCAAATTCTTTGTTTTCAAGAAAATACATTAAAATAAAAATATTAATAAAAAAATTAATTTGGTTTTTCCCATTTTTATACCCTTGCAGGGTATTATAATTTCAGTCAGAAGTTTGCAACGCAGTGAAGGAGACGTTTCCGACCCTATAAAGTATATATATTCTTGATCAGCATCAACAGCCGAGTCGATCTAGCCATGTCCGTCTGTCCGTCTGTCCGTCCGTCTGTCCGTCTGTCCGTCTGTCCGTCCGTCTGTCCGTTTCTACGCAAACTAGTCCCTCAGTTTTAAAGCTATCTCAATGAAACTTTGCATATAGTCTTCTATATACTCTCACTGCTATATATGTCGGAACGGGCCGGATCGGACGACTATATCATATAGCTGCCATACAAATGTTCGATATATTTTTAGAAAAAAAATTATAACTTTGTTGTTTTTCAACATTTTGGCACCATTTTTTAGATATGACCATTTTATATTATTTCTGAATTTTGGTAAAAATTTTATGAAAATCGGACGACTATATCATATAGCTGCCATAGGAACGATCGGGAAATTAATAGAAAAAAATTATATATTCGTTGGTTTTCAACGTATTTTAATCTACTCCGGGATATAAGCTTATTTTATTATTCTAGAATTTTGGTATAAATTTCAAAAGAATCGGACAACTATATCATATAGCTGCCATATAAACCGATCGGTAGATGTATACAAAATGTAAAGCTGGGAATGCAAAACTGTAACTGTCAAACTGTAAACATAATAAGTATAGGTAAAATGTAATGAAATAATATCTGCAAGGGTATACAAACTTCGGCGTGCCGAAGTTAGCTTCCTTTCTTGTTCAAATTGAAACATATCCTTGTCCTTATTCCCTTTTTTATTTTTGTTAATTTAAAGAATAAACTTTCGTTGAAAATCTTTTTTAATGAATTTTGAGCCTTAAGTGAGCCAATAAACTGTCACTTTCTTACCCATAAAACCCCTTTTCTTAATGCGACTCGTAAGTTTTAAATCACAGTAAGCATTTTGCTATTGCTATTGTTTTCACATAATTAATGCTAGTTAAGCACGCACTTTATCCTTTTTCTTGGGGGTTAAATATGCACTCCGAATTCTTTGGCTTATAGTGATTGTTATGATTGTGATTGCATTGCACACAAAACAAAGTTGACCAAATCGCTTTTAGCCAACACACTCAGCAGCGCTGAACGAACTCTTCGCGACGCGATCCAAACACAAACTGATTTTCCGTAATGTTGCCAAAGCCGTGCCCCCTAACAACCATGCAACGACGAGTGCTAACACCACCAGCACTAAAACACAACAATAAAGGCAGCAACAGCCTGTAAAGCCGGTGTGCGTCGGTTGGACTTGTGCCCACTATCAACATGCAAGCACACATGAAGACAGCACGGGCCAGAATGCTAGTGTCATTTGGTAAAATATAAAATGGTATCGAGGGCTTAAGATGACAGATTAATAATTTTAAATATTAAAACCACTAATAACTTTGCTTAAAATTAATAAATAAATCCGTATAGCATAATTTTTGACACAATTTGGAATGATCCCAAGAACTAAGCTGTTGGAAATCACTCCCACAGAAAGACATTCTTTGCAGATTTAAAGTGGAACTGTTACTTCGTTCCTTTCTGTTCGCCTCTAAACGTTGGAAGGCCTCTCTGGACGCTGGCTTTTACTTGTGTGTTGAAAATGTTTCCACATCACTCGTCAAGCGTTTCCATTCGAGAGCTCCGAAGCTCCTCTCTTCGCGAAAGAGCCGAAAAAAAAATATAAATAAAAGAAACGGAAAGCGGTGGCAGTGCCATGACAACAACAACAACTACTACAGCGGCTTGCTGGCAGAGCGCACGCGCCCCAGCCCAAATTGATGAGTAGAATCCAACGGCCAGGCGCTTCTCCCGCCCGCCACTTGTGCTTTCGTTTCGCTCCACTGAGCCGGCTTTGCAACCCCTTTCGTTGTCTCTCTCTCTCTCTATTTTCTTTGTGTGGCTCTCTCTGTTTACATTGTGTGGAGTCGCCATGGGAACCAAGTCGGCGTCCTAGCCGGTTTATTGAAAGACCTTCCAGGCTGGCACTCTCCTATTTCACTCCACTTCCATGCCGTGACTCAGCCCCAGTGACATTGCATTTGCATGTGACTTGTCGTTAATTGCTGTAATTTTTGGACTGGACGTCGCCGACACATAATTGCACTCTCCCGCTCCACTCCCGCTGTTGCTCCCGGTTTCCTTTCCTGTACAGTTATAGTTAGTTTTGTGCCAGGCTTTCCTTGTTCTTTACGCTTCCCTTACTTTCGAGTAGTTTTTTGGGCCATGCTTTCAATTGGTTGTTGCTTTCCTTCCGACACTTTTGACTTACTTTATAACCTGGTCGATTATGCTTGCCGTCTTATCGAGCCTTAAATGGGTCTTGAGGTGTTTTATGGAGGGGTTAAAGTTTCACATGACGTTCCTGTGTTTCTGGATTTGAATAGAATTTTTGATTTAAAGAACCATTCTTCAGTTGTAGATTTTTAAGCAATGGAAATGGCGGTCGAAAGTATGCAAGAAAGCAGTGTAAGATACAAAATGGTTGTTTTTTTAATGAGTAATATTTTGCAGCAAATCTTTTGATTTTTTTAAGATCTTCTATATTTCTTAATATTTTTAAAAATTATTTTTTTTTTAAGATTTTTCAGCTCTCGTTTTAATTAAAAATCATTTTAGACGTTTTCCTAAATAACCCATTATAAAATTTATCTCTGACGTGTTCCTATGTTGAAAGTAAGATGTATTGCAACAGTAAAATGTTGTACAAACCACTAAAAGCCTTTCCTCATTTAAACCCTTTCAAGTTAATAATAATACCTGATCTTTATTAACATTAAAATTAATGACAGGGTCTTTATATTTTACGCAGAAGGAGCATTACTTCGCATCACAAGTACTTGGCAACTTAGTTTGTTTTAGCTTAAGTTCACTTAACTTACCCTGAACAATTTGGGTCTATGGTTTGGCTACGAATTACATTCAAAATTAGCTTAGAATAAATAAGAACTTTAACTAATAATTGGCTAGGCTTACAGTTCGGTGTGCTTGGGCTTGTTGAACAGCCTCTCGCAGAGCTTGGAAAGGACCTGTGAGACCTCCAGTCGGTATTCGTCCTGGCTGTTGGCATACCGATTGCGGACCGTTAGGAGGGCATGCCTCAGTCCCGAGCTTTGTGACCACGAAGCACTACAAAGGTCCTCGGTAGTCTCCAAAGCAGTGGCAAACTGTTCCACAATCTCTGGCTGCTCCAGCAGATGCAAGTAGTCCTTGGCAAGCACATTGTCCAACGCTGGGCAGTATCCGTGCGTTTGCAGCCAGGGCTGGAACTCCAACAGTACATACTGCGCCATCGTGGAGGCGGCATCTGGCGCATCTTTGCTTGTCTCGAGCACGAAACGCTTCTCCTGCACCAGGTCACTGATGAGAGTTACTACCTTGGACTTGCTGCGTAGCTCCACGTCGGGACTTTGAAGCACCTTGATCAAGGCCTGGGTGCCAGAGGTGGATAGTATTCGCTGCTGGGCCAGCGGAAACTTCCGCAACAGAGCTCCAAAGGCATGGAGAGCTGCCGAGATCTCCCCGGCATTCCCAGAGCTGCTGAGGATCTGCGCCAGATGAGAGCCAAAGTTTTTTTCGAAGACCTTAATCTGCGCCTTGGGATTATTGCTGGCCAGGGAACCCAGGACTCTCATTGCTGATATCCTCAACGCCGTGTTGGTATCGTTGACCACAATTGGCAGGAGGACGTCATCCAGCCCGCCATTATCGATGAACAACAGGGCATTATCTATCTGATGCAGCAGGTACTCCAGGTTCTCAAGGGAGTCCAGCTTGGAGCGCAGCTCCGACTCCAGCGGCGTCTTGCTAAAGTTCCGGTACTGATCAATTAGCTGCACAATCAGCTCTCCGTCCGTGCGAAAGTTCTTCTGGAACTCCTTGTACGCCTTTCTCAGCTCCGCGTAGCTCTTCTTCTTCTCCTTGACCCGACGCAGCGACTCCTCGATAATGTCCGGCTTGTAGTCCAAGGAGAGCGGCTCGTTCTCATCTGCCGCCTGGCCCTCTTGTTGACTCTGCAGCGCTGTGCCACGTTCGCTTTCGTCCAGAAGCTTCGCCTCCTTGAGTCCCGTCTGCAGATTGATCCGCACATGCAGACCCTTGGGTATAGCTTGTCCTGGAAAACCAGAGTCCTAGATTAGTACACGTCACCGGGGCAAGTTTAGTTGGCAAACCATTACCTTCCGCAATCACCTGCCAATCCTTGGTGGCCACGAATTCACCTGTTTTGTTCTCAGTTTCAGTTGCTCCCACTTGCAGGGCTCCCAGGATTAGGACACTGGCCACAAAGGTGAAGAACTTATAGCCACGCATGTCGCTTCTCTTGCTCTGGATTATGAATGACTCTGAACTGTATTTCGCCTGCTATTTTAAGAGTTTCGTGAGAAATTTAAATCAAAACTTAGGTCTGATGTGGTCGTGCTCAGCAGTGTGACCAACAATTTTGTCGCTGAAAAAGCTGATATGAAAAAGCGCGGGCTTTCCTTTACCCGGCGCACAGGTCATATTAAAAAGCTCATCTGTGCTTAGTGGGACCATCTTCCTTTTTTATTTAAAAAAGTTCGTTAGTGATAAGAGAGCTTTTGGAGAGCTTTTGGAGAGCTTTTAATTTCTCTAAAAGAAAGTTACGAAATATAACGTTTTTAACGGTAAATATACGTTTTTATTTTATATTAATTATATTATTGTTAAATATAATTGCGACTTAAAGATTAATTTTAAAAAATGTATATTAGTTTTCTATATTTTAACACTAAAATATTTTACCACAAACCCAACAATATTTGAAAAAATAGTTCTTAACTTTAGAAAAATATTAATAAAATGTTAACTTATTTATTGCTACCCCATTTTTATACAAAATTTCAAAATGTTTCAGAAGGGTGAACTTTGAAACTAAGTTTCGGGAAGAGGAAATTAAAATAATAGAACAATTCCACTGGACCCAGGCCCACAAAAATGTTCAAACTCAGCATGAATTTATCAAAAACTAAAAAGTTACAGCTTTCCACAACAAGTTACAAAGTGGTTATACTAGTTCACAAACTGAAATTATTGATAGTATTACCAACAATTTTGCCGAATCACGTTTACGTCAGATGAACCAAATGCAAATAAACATAAATATTTAAGGCATGATCGAGCCGAGAGCCGGGAGATGCAAATTAATTCCTAGGGCAGCTGGCCACCACAAAGTAAACTCGTGTTTGCATACCATTAACTGGTATTCTATATATTTCGATCGCCACTATAAGGAATCCGCTGTAATCCCGATCGGTGTCTACGACAGCGTCTAGGAATTGGCTCGGCAAACAAAGATATGAAATATGTGAACTCATCTGGCGCCAATTGGATGGCCAAATAATAAACAAAATGCCGGTTTCGCATAGTATACGCCATACCACATATGTATAAAGCAACAGCCCAGAATATGCTAATTGTCGATGACGAATGCCAGAAAGAAGTTTAAAGCTATAGCTTTTGTCGAATTAAAATTAAATAAACCCCAACGGCGCTTGTCAAAATAGTTTGAAAGTGAAGCCATCTTCAGGTAGGGGGCAACTTTTATGTGGTGAATCCATTAAGAATGCCGTTGGAACCAGTTTACGATGTGTCGTCCGCCATATGCGATAATGTCTAATTGGCTCAAGTTTGGAATTGAGTTATTGGCCAGAAGATCAATTAGATCTTTTACTTTTTGGAAGGGGATATGGGATAGAAAACGGAAATTCTTTCGGAGATTAAAGTTAAGTCTTGAGGGCAAGCACACAATCTCCTAAAAATGAGAACAATATTAGAAAATTGAAGAGTTTTAAGTAAGCAATTAGGAAGAAGGTGGTGGTTTAACTAAAAAATAAAATAAAAGTTCTTAAAGGAGTCCCCGTATCGAATTAACCTCTGACACAGCTCTTTATGGGTTCTTCCAATTCCATTCCAAATCCATCGTGACCACTTAGCACCCATGACTTCAAAGACTCTTTGGAAATCCCCAAAATGTTCTAAGCTCTGGGCTGCTGCTGATCTCAAAGCAAATATAGGCACTGATAAGTACGAATTATTATTTGCACTTCATTATAAAGTGCGAACAAAGCGCAGAGATGCCGGGGATCTCGGGGATCTAATAAAAGTACAAAAAGGCCAAAATAGTCTGAATAATGCATTGTGCGAAAACAAAGTATATTTGTATATATAAATATTGTATGTTGGATTCGATTTGGCAACAGACGGGTTTAAGCATTAAAATTTATAAGAATCACTTTTGATTTTCTGCTTGCCTGCTTGCTTGCCAGCCACCAGCCTTTTTCCTTTGTTATTGTTTATTGTTATTTGTTGCTATTCTCGCGAAACCGGGCACATGCTAATAATATTAATTAATAATATTGTTGCTGCCAATTCTGGCTAGGGGTGCCTATGATACTGATCATGACCAAGCTGAACATGATGACGCTGATAATGATGATAATGATGATGATGAGAAGCCAAAACACAAAACGAAAGAGACACTCGAATAAATAAAAATAGCCACCAATCAGGCGACAAGCAACAACAAAAACGACCACCAGGCGGCAGCGGGCGAGACAAGTCAGGAATGAATAAACTATGAAGTGTACTGGTTGTCGGCGACTCCAATCCAACCGATCCGTCCAATCTCTGGCGGTCAGAAATTTTATAAATGCCGCCGTCTGTCCAGAGCCAATTTACAGTTTGCCATTGAACTTGGTCGGGGCGCTTGCCAAATCAGTTGCCGTTGCCGTGAATTCGTACCTGTGAGTCCGGTGTTTCCTGCTCCCGGTGTTATATTTGATCCATAATGTTGCTGCTCCAGTTGAGCTGCGTGGCTTTGCTCGTCTGCCTGGCCTGCGGTGCCTCCAACTTCCGTGAGTGTGCCTCTGTCTCGGGCAGGAGCGTTGCTTATCCTCTGGATTTATCCTTGCAGCTCCCGAGTTGCCTCGCTGCAAGATTGGTGACACCGCCTGCATCATCAATGTGTCCCACACGCTGGTGCGTCAGTATGCCAGGACCGGCTATCCGGCTGCAGGTTTCCCCCAGGTAGAGCCTTTCCTGGTCAAGCGCTTCGACATCTCCGATGGACGCTCTGGATCGCTGAATCTCAAGTTGAACTTCAAGGATGTGAATGTGGAGGGTCTGTCGGGTGTAAAGTTCGATAGAGCAGTGTGAGTATAAAATCAGTAAAGGATTATTCATATATTTAAGGATTTGTGGAAACAAAAGAAACGGATTTGAAGAGTAAAAAGTCTCTTTTATTTATTTTAAAACGAAGAAAAATGATTATAATCAATTCGCAAATTTAGAAAGTAAAAGTCACACCTTTCAATGCTTAAAAATATGGGTGATAATTAAATTTTTCTAATCCTTGCCTTAATATTCCCAGACTTCTAATTGAATAATCCCTTAATTTTTACTTTTCTCTTAGTGGCTTTGGCCCCGATCCTGCCACCAGCAAGTTTGAGATGTACGGCTCCTTTCCCAAGATCGTTCTGCGCGGCAAATACGTGGCTGACGGTCGCATCCTGATCCTGCCCATTCGCGGCGATGGCGATGCTGAGATTATCCTGCACAACCCCAAGTTCTCGGTGAAGTTCAAGCCCGGAACCCAGCAGCGCAATGGACGCACTTTCCTGAGTGTGGACAAGCTTAAGGTGCTGGTGGAGCCACAAAAGTGAGTCCCTATTCTCAACTTTAGAGTTCGGTTATATGTATATTTATTTTATATCTGATCTTCCAGGATGAACATTCGCCTGGCGAATCTTTTCAATGGAGATCAGGCTCTGGGTGCCAATCTTAACCAGTTCCTCAACGACAACTGGGTGGAGGTTTGGAGCGAGCTGCATCCCTCGATCCATGTGGCCATCGCGGAGATCATGAAGACCATCCTGTCGCAGCTGTTCAAGCGGTTCGCCTACGAGGACCTCTTCCTGGAGAACTGAACGCCACTCGTTTGGCTTTAGGCTAAGTGTACGAGTATTTCCTCATCGGCATTTCATAACCACACGGGGCGTTGCATTCCGGCCATTGACATACCATATCATCATACATATATTTGCTAAGCTAAGCTTTAAAACTGTAGAATAAACAAACATGATACGATAACTGGTTGTGTGCGTCCATTGTTTAATCAAGCGTAGATCTTGTCACCATTTCCGCACAACTGTCGCATACGACTTTTGGCAAACAATCGATTGGCAAGCAGCTCACGTGATGGGGCCGTTTTTGTTGGCCATTTGCATGACACAGGCAAAATGGGCAATAACTATTGAATAGTATTAACTATATATCACATTTTTAGTTTGATTGATATAAGTGGAAATTAAATGCCTTTTGTATTCATGAAAAATAATTTGAATATTCGTGCAACTGTATTTAAAGACATCTCTCTCTAAAAGTTAGGGAGAAAATCTTTACATTTGTCATAATTGAATTTTTCAGGATTATTTGTTATATTAAAATAATAATAAATTATTTAGAACTGCTTGAATAAACAACAAAAACCTACAAATAAGAGAATTAAGTTTAGAAGCTATTACTGTGACCATGGCTGTATACCTTATCTTGAATCCCTCACCTGAAAAGTTCAAGAGTACCAAACGGTAAACCTGGTTGACCTTGGAAATTGCATTAAAATCTTCCACGAGTCAATCAACTGCAGCGAGGGGCCAACAAAAACTAGTTGCTTTTGTTCTCCACGGAGGCTGGGCTGTAAAACGGGGCGTTGTTTTTGGCCATTAAAGGTAAATGAAGTCGAGGGACCTGTTCTGTTCTGCTTCCAACCTCTTTATTTCGTCTCTTTAATTTGACATTTCACGATGACTTTGTTGTTTTTAAAACGGCAGCTTTACTATTTGGCTAGCCCTTGCGGTGTAAATTATGTATGTTGTTCGAGTTAGTTAACAATTAATTTTATTTCAGAATTACAAAGAATTACCAAAATTTCTATTATTTTTGATTTGAGATTAGGAATTATGAATTATAAATTGAGGGACAGCATTTCAAATATTATTTTCCCCTTTCAGTTAGATAATTAGTTCGCGTAACAATATTAATACGACACCAGACAAAATAAATAAACGATATATTATTTAATAATAGGTTAATAAGGTTAATTAATCAGTTGATTTTAATAATATATATAATAATATATGTATAATCCTAATAATTCAATTTGTCGGATAAATGTTGTAATTCTGTTACGAGAACAAATTATGCAAATAAGAATAAAGGCGACTATAAATAATCGATGAAACGCTGTATCGGAAGTTAGTGTCTCCAAGTTATAGCCGCCTTATCATGTTCGGAATCGCCTTTACAGTAATAATTATCGGACTCATTGTCTCAGCGCAGGCCCTTTTTCGTAAGATTCTGCCAAAAAGGATACAAACAAAATGTAACTTTTCATTCAATCCCCCTCAGCTGAAGATCCTGTGCCCTGCAAGTTTGGCGATGGCAAATGCATAGCAAAATTCGTCAATTCCCTGTTCAGCAGAAGGTCGGGGGAGGCGGATCCGAGCTTGAATTTGAGACGGTTGGATCCTTTGAAAGTGCACAGGATAGTTATTGAGCAGCCAAGCGACAGTGGTGTTGGCCTAACACTAAATTTCACTGATAATTTGATGTACGGAATCAAGGACCTACGAGTCGTAGGTGTTAAGTAAGTAGGATATTTATTTATCAAATTCCGGCTAATAAGGATTCAATTTTCAGAGGATTTGGTAAAAATCTCAGTGAGCCACATTCACTAAAGATGGTCGGGAAGACCCTTTCCCTCGTGGGTCCCTACAAGATCAATGGCAAAGTGCTTATACTTCCCATTAGTGGATCTGGCAACAGTAACATTACGATGAGTACGTACCCACAAATGATTAATAACAGTTAAACTGATTAAACACTTATTTTTAAGGTAACACCAAGTCGGTCGTCAGGTTGTCTGGCCAGCCACTCGAAAAGGATGGGGAGACGTATTTGGACGTCACCGATTTGAAGTTGAATATGAAGGCGGAATCCATTTCCTTCCAATTCGCAAATCTCTTTAACGGGGACAAGGCCTTGGGTGACAACATGAACGCCTTCCTGAACGAGAACTCGCAGGCCATTTACCAGGAGACGCGAGCGGCCTTGGAACGGGCTTTTCGCGGATTGTTTTTTGGCCTAATAAAAGGTGTCTTCGCCCATCGGCCATATGCCAAGTTGTTTCAGGAGGAATAGTTATAGTCATACATATATAAATACAAACTAGATAATTTTAACCCGCTTAACCCAGTCAACGCTTATTAATAAGGCCTTTAAATGAGATGAGTTCAAACCATACAAGTTTTATAATTATAATTATTGTGGTCTTGACAGTCTATACTAGCATCTACAAATGTATCTCAACCTAATATACTTTAATCTCAGCATTTATTCAATTAATTGAACCTCGGTATTACTTAATAAAATAAACAAATACAAGATTATAACAAGGGCTGTATGTATTAGTACGCGTGACCGGAATGTCTAAATAATTGTGACCTAAATGGTGTTGTGTAATTTTCATTTACATGAGTCAGCAATACTAAAGGTTTGTACTTGTAAAGTAAACTAATTACAACCTTTAAACTTTACATGTATAAACATATATGTATATACAAAGTAAGTTAGACTTTTGAACAAAAATTGAATATAGATGAGATCCAACACCAACTAGTTTCTCTCTTTGAAAATGAAAAGTATCGAGAACAAATAAGTCGGGCCATTAAAGTGCTACTATAAATAAAAGGCGAAACTCTGGGCCGCAAGTTAGTTTCGCAAAGTTTTAAGCCGTGTTAACATGCCCGGAATTGCAGTTTCAATCCTTTTCTGCCTTATCGTTTCTACGCAGGCTCTCTTTCGTAAGATCTAATAGGATATTTAGTGAAAAAAATAATACTATTGGTGAAAAACGACATAATTACCTCCTTCTCGCCTAATATCTTTGGACTACAAATAATTCCAACTTTATTCCCCGCAGCTGATGATCCTGTGCCCTGCAAGTATGGCGATGGCAAGTGCATAGCTAACTTCGCCAATACCTTGTTCAGCAAGAGGTCGGGGAAGGAGGATCCCAGCTTGAATTTGTGGCAGTTGGATCCTTTGAAGGTGGACAAGATGGTCATTAACCAAGCGGGCAATAGTGCTGTCGGGATAAAGTTAACTTTCACGGACAATATGTTGTATGGAATCAAGGACCAAAGAGTCGTAGGCGTGAAGTGAGTTGTTAAACGCATTTGTTTCAATAATATAACCTTTATTATTATTTCACATTATTATTTATTATTTTTAGAGGATTTGGCAAAAATCTCACAGAGCAACATGAACTAAGGGTCCTCGCAAAGTCATACTCCCTCGTGGGTCCCTACAACATCCAGGGCAAGGTGCTTATACTGCCTATTAGTGGAACCGGCGTCAGTAACATGTCAATGAGTAAGTGACCCAAACTGATATCTGCCAAATAGATTGACTATACTATATTTCCTTAAAATATTTTAAGGTAATATTAAGATGATCATTCGATTTTCGGGTCAGCCACTCGAAAAGGATGGGGAGACGTACTTGGACGTCACCAATTTCAAGTTGACTTTGAAGCCGGCATCCAATTCCTACCTATTTACTAACCTTTTTAACGGAGACAAAGCTTTGGGCGACAACATGAACGCCTTTCTGAACGAGAACTCGGATGCAATTTATCAGGAAACAAGCCAGTCCACAGATCGGGCCTTCAGCGATTTGTTCCTTGGCCTGGTCAAAGGCGTCTTTGCTCATCGGCCGTATGCCAAATTATTTATGGAGGAAAAGTTATAGATATCTATATATAGTTAGTAGTAGCCGACAATTATCATTAGGTTTAATGAGATCCATTAACACAATCCATTAAATTTGTGGAATTATCGTAGCCATAACAAACTACACGAAAAATCATAACCCAACCATATAATCCATTATCTAGATCATTAACTTAATTGAAGTGACAATAAACTTAACGAACTTTAACGCAAAGAAACAAAAAATTGCATAGAACAAAGTTGAACTTCTAGAATTTAAAATGTAATTAGATCTATAAAAAGTGGGTTTCCTGAATTAAAGTATTTAAGGGAGAGATAGGCTAACTCCAACTCCGCCTGAAAGTATGTGTCATGAGAGTTTACAAAATAAACCCCTAGACGGATGGTCGATCTCTATAAAAGATCTATTACATCACAAGCTCAAAACTCACAAGGAAATATTGATACATATTAACCCTCCCTCTAGCCTAACCCCTTGGGGTAAACAAGCTGTTACTCAGCCATTAATTAGGCGCCATTTAAATATGTCAAAGGCATCCGATTAATGACCGATTTTTGGAAGGCCAGGCCAATTTGCATATATTGAACGAATTACATGCAAAACGTGATTAGGAGAGATGGGACTGAATCAAATTGAAATGAAATGGATGCGATTGGATGGCCGGTGTCAATGGCTTGCAAGTGCGACCGGCAACCCAACGGGTTCAAGTTCAAATCGGAGGTTCATTAAAGGGAGTCATAAAATAAATTTTGCCGGCAATAACAGCACACTTCGCCTGCCTGCCGGTTTGGTTTATTATAATCCATTTAACTGACTCAGCCGGGCACTTGTGGTAGCTGGTGACGGTCTAAAGTCACATTCCCTGTCAACCTGAGACGCAAAAAGGCAAAAAAGCGGTTTACAGCAGCAGCAAAAGCAATAACAGCAAAAACATGTTACAATTTGAGTTCACACCCGAATTTTTCAATTGACTTAAATGACTATATAAGTGGTATCAACCGCGACTAAGTGTATCAGTATTCAATTGTGTTTCGTCCGCATCAATTATGGAGCTGCCCCTTGTCCTGCTGCTTCTGCTCGGCTGTGCTTCGGTGTCTGTCAAGGGACACGCCTCCGATTTACGTGAGTCTCAACCCTTTTTAGGCTCAATAACTTTTTCAAAATTTCAATTGGCTCAACGGCAGCGTCGGGTATCCAAAGATGCGAGATCAAGGACCAGAATTGCGTGAAGGACGGTGTCAACTATGTGCTAAAGAACTTTGCTGAGACCGGCATTAAGGATCTGGGCCTGGGCCCACTGGATCCACTGCGTGTAACCAAGTTTAAAATCGGACGTAATCCCAACAGCCCGGTTAATATTGATCTGAGCTTCCACGATGTGGATATTCTGGGTCTCCATCTGGGAAATGCCAAGCAAGTAAGGTAAGAAATCGAAATAAAACCGCTTTATATCCACTCAGATTTATTTATTTAGTTATATTTTTTTCTTTGTTAAAATATGTAAATTTCCTTTTTAATCAGTGGCTTCACGCCCGACCTCAGCCGTAACATTGAGCTGATCATGGATGTGCCCGAAATTATCGTCAAAGGACCCTACGCCGTTGACGGCCGAGTACTAATCCTGCCCATTGTGGGCAAGGGCAGGGCCGAGATCCGACTGAGTAAGTTATTCAAGCTGCTACTTAACCACTTTACCGATCTTATCTGTGACCATTCAAATCCCAGAGCACTGCAAGATTCGGGCCCAGATCAAGTTCAAGACCGTTTCCAAGGGCGAGCACCAGACCTTTGGCGAGGTCGTAAGCGCCATTGTGGATATCGATCCCTCTCATGTGACCTACCATCTGGAAGGACTTTTCAACGGCCAAAAGGAGCTGAGCGACAACATGCATGTCCTCATCAACGAGAACTGGAAAGAGATATTCAGCGAACTGAGGCCGAGCATTGGAGAGGCCTTCGGGCTGATCACCAAAACAGTGCTGGGCAGGATCTTTGGCAAGGTGCCGCTGGAGCAGCTGTTCGTGCTATAAACCTTGAAAATACAGTACAAAAAACATTGAACCTTGTGGATATTTATTTAAATGTTCCTCTTATACAAATTATATATTAATAACAAAATAAAAGCAGGCACTGTAGGCATTCATCAATAGTTTAACAAATTAAAATGATAATAAACTTCTGTTATGACTTGGAGGAATAAATGTTTGTTACATAATGGTTATTCGTCGCCAACATAGGATTTCTTATTTGTAGAGTTTAGTAAGTCTTGTAATTTAGCCAGAATAAGTAATACTTCATTGTTAATGGCCACTTGGAGCTCCATTCTGATCCATTTCAGCATCTGAAGCGTATGGGACGACACTTGCGTTCGGTTTGTTTTGGCGGCGAAGATGGCGGCACCTCAAGAACATCGCCATACACCATCCAGTTAAATGGTTCCTCCTTCATGCCTGCCTCAAGAGCGCCAGCTGCTTCAGTTCCCACCGACGGTGGCTCACACATGGCCACAATATTCGGCGGGAAGTACGCCTCCGGATGAGCGAGCAGAGCAGACAGGTAAGCCTCATGCTCGACGGCACACTGCACGACATTTTCCAACTGATAGCGCTTGCTAATAAGTTGCTCCTCTGGGCTGAGGAATACTGGCTGAGCCACCTGATGCTCGGCGGCAGCTAGTTGAATGGCGCGTGCATTTAGGGCATGATGGCTTTGAATCATGGCCGACGAATAACGATGCTCCAGATCCATTTCCCAGTTAAAGACGTGAATTGTCAAATGCGACGCCTTTAGCCATTCGCGCAGACTCCCCAGCAAGTTCTCTAAGCGATGGGCATTGTCTGGAAAAGCAAAAATTATCAAATTGAAAATCAAGAGAGGGCAATCGCTAAGGGAAACTTACATTTGGCCAAAGGATTGACAAAGTTTCCACGATTATGGCGCATTTCGGCGGCCATGTACTGCTTGAAGGACTTTAGGCAGGCATTCGATCCGTTGAGCAGCTTGTCGCACTCGGTGTACTTCTCGTAGTCAAAGTGGCGATTTGATTCCAATATGCGTCGCTGGACAGTGAGGAAACGCTCCACTTTGGTGCACAGCACCTGCAGCTGATAGCGCACGTTCAGACTGCGGGGCATTGTCGCTCTCGCTGGCATGTCGAACAAGTAGTCCGATGGCATCGAATTTTGGCGCGAGCAGCTCAGATCGGCCGATATATGATCATGCACGGACCTAAACAGGTCCATTAACCGCAGCACGGCATTGTGCTCCAGGCTGCAAATTATTAAAAATAAACGAAACACGATATTAATAAAATAAATATTTTACACATCTTCTTGGGATAAGTTTTTTGTAGCCCATAACCTATGTATGCACAAGTAACTTAATAGTGAATTTTTGTTAAAAGTCCATATTATTAGAAAAAATAACTACGCCGATGCTTATATTGTTTTTTAAACATAGGAATTATTCAACAATGATGTTTCTGTGTAATAACTTCCACAAAATCCACATTTTTGTTAGCAACACCATGTTGCTCAACATGTCCCAAACAACATTGACTCTAATTGGGTGTTGCGCAACATGTTGTTTAGCAACATTTTTTGTTCATTAATCATACATCTGTATGTATGTAAGTATGTATTTGTTTTAACAACTCACCAATCTCCATGCAAACCAATCGATCGCAGCTTTTCCACACTGATAAAAGGCGCCATTTGAATTTGAGCAGGATCGATCATGCACAGATTCCATATATTTTCCTTTTGCAACTGCACCTGCTTCTGCTCGGAGACCAGCGGGTTGTTTTGCCCGTTGCCCGTTGTCTTCTGCTTCTTCTCCGGAGCACCCACCGCCGATCGCTGGCCGACGCGATGTCTGCGCGATCTCTTCGGCTTGTGCTGCATGTTCTCCTGCAACGGGCAACCCAAGCCGTGGAATTCCAAGGTCGGCGCGTTGTTATCCAACTGGAGCACCCCGAACGAACGCTGTAGCTCAGAGAGAACATTGTGGGCCGAGCAGCGCGGGGGCTCTTCTGGCGGTGTCTGCGGATCGATCTCGTGGGATTCCATCATGCAGCAGAGCTGCTCCTGCAGGTCCACCAAATTGTTGTCCAACTGATGATCATCCGTGGACCCGTTGTCACCCGAAGAACGTGGATTAAACATTTCTTATTATATTTTTGCACTCGAAATTACAATTGGCGCCGCCGCGTCTGTCTGCAAGTGCTTTTTTTACGGTTCGAAAAAAAGCGCGGTGCCACGCTGTCTGGCGAGTCAGAGGGGAAGGGGGAAACAGTATGACCGTAAAGGCGTGATCCATGCGCATTTTTTTTGTAGGCTTTAAAAGACAAACTTATCGATCCTACGTATATATCGTAAATATATATTTAGGGGACTCTTTAAATGATTAAAAAATATTTATACGAACCAAATAGTTGCTGTCTAAAACAAAGGGAAATTCGCATTAAAAACCTATACAAAAAATTTATCTTAATTACTCTTTAATTGTTGTATAATTTCACAGGATATGTTGTCAAGCCATTTGCATTCCTCGGGCACGCAATCTTCCAACCTCTAAAGCGATTCCAACATCACAGATTTCAAACTTGGCGCACAAACATGGTTATACTTAATTTTGTGGTGTGTTTTCTAGTATTTTCTTGCTGCACTAGCCAATGGTCACATTGCACTTTTTTGACCTGAACAGCTATCGATAACATAATAAAATACATTTAATAAACTAATCCTTTTATAAATTGTGTAACCTTAGCTACTTTTACCCTTGTATATTTAATTTACATAAGAAAACTTCTGCAGAATAGTTTGGATTTTTGTTGAAACTATCGCGATAGTGGAATAATCGATAGCACCAAGGTAGTGGAACCAGACAAGGTGTCAGCCCTGGTCAGGAAAAACAAAACTTAACTGCAAATTAAAAGTTTTCTGATCTGCAGCCATGTCTCTTCAGCAATCCCCCTCGTTTAGCATGATTATTAACCAGTAAGAGGCCAGGGAACACTCCCATAATAATAAACGAACCGAACTTGACGTCCATTCATTTCCCCCCGAATAGTTGCAGCATTTCGCGCTCGAACAGCCAGACCTTCTACTTGGAAACTTTTGAGAATGTAAGGGAGCAGGCCGGACTCTTCGACAATGAATTGTTCCTCATGCCAACGATGGTCACTTCCAACAGCAGCGGTGGCTTCAATCCCCTGCAGGATTTCATGGTCTGCGGCGCCGGTAGGAACCGCGTAATGCAGCCGTCAGGAATGCATCCGTCAGGAATGCAGGGATCGGAAGTGTACAATCCCGTGCACTGTGCTCAGAATGATCACGGCTTCTATGCACCTAGTGCGGAGGACGTCATGTTCAAGCGGTAAGCGATTTAAAAATCCCCGCCCTTCCGATTAACTATCGTCACGCGATCCACGTTTCGTGGTGACTTACCAAAACCGACCTATCGCTAATTGTCGTTTATTCCGTCGATTTTTGCGTTTTTGTTTAATATTCCGGTTTCCTGTGCGATCGGACTGCCCCAGATTAGTCTTCCGGGATGTACATATCACAGCCGATGTCGTGGCACAAAGTCAGGTACCGTGGCTTCATGTTGGCGTGTAACCGTGCATGTAGCAACACGCTTGTACTTGCACCGTTCACGCACGCAGCTCCCTTTATCGTGTTTGTTCGACTATCCAAATCGCAATTTCTGGAGCTCGACTTTTGTAAACCTTTATTTCTGACTTCTCTGCTCCAGCACTGATTCTGACGAGGAGCTGCAGGTGACCAATGAAGCCTCCCTGGACTCGGCCGAGTCCAGGCCGGAGGGTGCGGGCGCGGGTGCGGCGGGCATCGAACAGGCGGTGGAGGGAGCGAGTGACCTGTGAGTTCCTGGCCAAAGGTGGTTGTGCTATTGCTAACTAGTCCGTTTAATTCACAGGAACGCGGAGCCGATGGCCTTTCTGCAGGGATTAAATGTAAGCAGGACTTGAGTCCATAATAATATTTTTACTAACTTGCATTTCCGTCTTGCAGTCCGGAAATCTGATGCAGTTCAGCCAGGTGAGTAGGACTAGTGCATCCTGAAGCGCTGCGACAGGTCCGCCTGCACCAGGATGAGCACAAAGCTGGCCACTGCCGAGAAAACGTTGCTGATCAGCTGCATATCGAGCTCATAGAGGCCGAGGGGCTTGATCTTGAACTTGGTGACGGCCACCAAGAGGGTGAAGGCGTGAACCGACTGCCGGTAGCGGCAGTCGGCATGCCGCAGGTCTATCTCCTGCAGGAGGAGCACTGATCTCTTGGTGGCCACCAACAGGTTGTTGCACAAGTGCGTCAGCATGGTGATTTCCGACAGCGAGATGGTCAGGAACACCGAGTTGATGAGCGTGCCGAGGCCATCGAAGGCCTTTCCGGCGATCAAGGCGTCTGCTATGGAGTAGTAAATGCTGTAAAAGCCAACTGTGATGCCGAGGAGGTGGCAAATGAGCGACAGGATCATCGACAGGGCCATGGGAGTCAGGTACTTTCCGGCGTGGAAATATATCACTTTGTAGCGGCTTGCCAGCTTGTCCAGCTCGTCCGCCAGCGAGCAGAAGCGCTGCATGCGGTAGTAGGCGGTGGTCAGCTTCAGTTGATCCTCCCTCTGGAGCAGATTAACCTCCTGCTGCTGCGCCTCCAGTTGGCGGTTAAGTGCCTTCAGCATCTCCTTCACCACGACCATGGCTCCGAAGTAGCAGTTGTTCAGCAGATTCGAAATGACCAACGGAAACAGCCTGTAGAGGGTCCAGATCAAACTTATCTCGGGGTGTGTCCTTCTCTGCTGCAGGAAGAAGGCCACCTCGAGGGTCAGCGGAAAGGCCATGGTCTTGATCAAGGCCAGGGAGACCGATGTGTACAAGGACCGGCTGTCGAGACGTAGGGTTTTGAGGGTCTGAAAGAAGGGCACTCGACTCATCATCTTGGCCACGTGGTGACTGATCATCATTTGGGTGACGTAGTTTATAACGGCCACCGTGATGTTCATGTAGCTGTAGAGCGTTGTGGCATCCTTCAGGTTGATCTGTCCCTGGCTGTACTCCTTGTAGATCTGACGGCCGTAGACGGTGCTGAATGCGATGGTCCACAGCATCGCGTACGCCAAATAAAACTTGTTGAACTGGAACCTCTGACGGCTCCGGGGATGATAGCTGTTGGCCAGGAGTCCGAAGACGGTCATGAAGAACACCAGGGTAATCGTGAGCATTTTCACCATGCTCCGGTGTGTTTTATCGCTGTTGAGGTTCATCTTTCCCAAGCAATGGACAGCGACTGGAGGAGCGTTCTTTTAGAGAGAGTGTTAATTACAGTCAGCTTAATTGTTTTTCCCTTATCCAACTGACGGCATCTAAAGGACCTGTCAAGGTGGAGGACACTATCTGGACACATCTCGGAATGCGTGCTGCTTGCTAGCCGACTAAAAACCAACTAAGCATGCGTTGCGCCTGCCAGTTGGAGAGTTGGAAGGACCAGTAATATCGCGAGAGCGTACTTATCCAGCGAATAATCATTAATGACCATAAAATTAATTTATATTTATTTTACTTTTGTCATGCTCTTTAAGGGTATTTTGATTTTAGTCAAAAGTTGGCACGCAGTGAAGTCAAACAACGAAGTAATGTGAACTTTTATTACATCAACTTTTAAATGTACAGTTTTATAGCTACAGCTCTCGATCTACATTTCAGCATTTTACTCTACATTTACCGATCGTTTTAATGGCATCTATGTATATGATACAATACTACGATTGCATTAAATTTGAAACAGAAATTTTAGACAAATAGACATATTGTAAAACGGCAAAATTTAAGTACTTTTATATTCATTTCCCTACCTTATGATTGAATTTATAATATTTCGTCGTTCGATTCTCATAAAATGAATAATCAATTTTTTAGAATCTTGAGATATCTCAAGTTATATGAAAATATGTTGATAGACAGCGAAATTAAAATATTTTTATAATAATTTCCCTATCGTTCCTATAGCGACTATATGTTATAGTAGTTCGATTTTCGTAAAATAAAACCAAAAATTGTAACCTCTTATTAAATGTTGAAAAAAGAGTCAAATTTTTGGGCCAAACCCTAATTTCAAAAATCCACCTAAAAACGCATTAAATTCAGTTTGGAAAGGGTCCAATAAACTGCATACTACATTTAAGGTTTTTTCTAACTTAATTTTTGCCAAATTTTTTTAAACTTTTAACGATGTAACCCTTTATTTATGTTTTAAGAAAAGATAAAATTTTTGGGATAGTTAAAAAAATTTAGATAGCTTAAAAACGAAGTGATTAGTTTGTATAAAAGCGGTCAGACGGCCATAGTCAGATCCATTAAACTATTGATGCTGATCCTCCTCCTCCTTTACGTTTCAAATTATAATACCCTTAAAAATGTCTTTACTATCACAGAGACATTATAGTTGTTAGATCCATTTTGTTATTATTAAAATATATAGGTTATTTTCCTTATCAGTGAGGTATCATTCGTGTAACATGCATAAAAATGCGAAAGATCAAGTTCCTTTGTCTCTGATTCATGTATAAGAGCCATCGGTTGTTAATAAGTGATTAAATTAAATTGCCTTGGCTATTCAGAGTCAGAGGAGGAGTCGCCAGGAGGAGTTTTCCAGATTCCCTGAAATCGATTCACCTTTGATTGTCGCCAATTGACTTAATTCTTTTTACAACTTACAGAGCTCCATTGGGGGAAATGCATGCATACGAAGACTCACGCATGAATGAATAATAACCCATCCCAAACGAGAATGCATCGTCTTCTGAGCTCTCTACACCCGGCGCTGCTGCTCCTGGCCACTGGTACGTGACCACCCAACCAGACTTATTAGGGTATTGCTAACTGGGGAAATTCTTATCTTCTCTCCAACAGTTTCCCTGGGAAATACGCAAACAACATGTCGACTCACATGACATTACCGTTCTTCTGCACTCAAACGAGTCATTTGTGGTCTTTGCCAAGTGAGTTGCAACAACATAAAATAAGGAGAAGCAGTATCATGAAATCGTTTATTATAGCCAACTGTTGGACAACGCTGTCCAGGTGTCGCTAAAGACGAAATCTGAAAAAAACTTGGATCTGGATCCTGTAACGTTCCTCTATCAGGCCGGCAGCACCCAGAACCAGGCCGTGGTTATAACAGGCCTGAACGCCGGCAACGTTCAAGTTACCGCCGAAGCCAATTCTGAAAATGCGGAAATGTGAGTGAAAAATCTCTGATTCTAGTTTTTATTTTGAGGAATCACCGATTATTATAGGGTATTTCATTATTATTATTTATTTTCTAATTAATTCCATTTTTATCACCCATAGTCTCGAGGGTGTCTGTGAGCTTGACTGTGGCCAAGTCGCAGGGGCTCATCTACAACTCGGTTGTGTTTGGTTGGGTGTACTTTGTGGCTTGGTCCGTGTCGTTCTACCCACAGATCTGGATCAACTACCGCCGCAAGTCGGTGGAGGGGCTCATCTTTGACTTTCTTACCCTAAACATTGTGAGCTTCACCCTGTTCAGCTTGTTCAACTGCGGCCTCTACTTGATCAATTAGTAAGGTAAGAAATAACTAATATAATCGTTTGGGAAGCGAAAGTGACAAACCATTTCTTTGTTTTTCTTTTCGTAGAGGCGCCAGCAGAAGGTGTCGTTTTCGCCTACGGAATTCTGGGAATCTTTGCAGTGGTCGTGATTGTGTGCGTAGGCTTGGACTGGCTGGACTTCCACTACTACTGCAGCTACGTGAAGCTAACGATCAACATTATCATCATCATCATCACGCCGCAGGCGCTGATGAAGGAAGAGCACCGTCGGTTGGAGCATTGGCCATATCCTGCTGGACCTCATGGGCGGCAGCCTGAGCATGCTGTATATGCTGGCCACAATTATGGTAGGCATGAGAATAATTGATTGCTCAAGAGCTATGGCTAAAAATGTAATTTCTATCCAGATGACTTGGCGTCCATATCCCGGAATCCTACCAAATTCGGACTGGGTCTTCTCTCTGTGCTCTTTGATATATTCTTCACGCTGCAGCACTATGTGTTTTACAGGGAACATTTTAAAATATTCCAATGTTCCCATAACAATTACAATTTTATATATAATAAGTATTTAGTAATAAACATCCTCACTGTACACTTCTCATCGGTTCCCTTTCTCCACAGACATGCTAAAGAGCAATGGAGCTCTGACCTCACCATTGTGACGGAGGCGGCCCAGAATCAAGGGAAAAGATTAGTCGCCGAACGATTTGACGAATGGAAAATATTAGGGCTTTAATCTGTGTGTGCTTAATAATACTTTTGTGCAAGTAGCTATTCTGTACATTCAGTTATAAATATATTTGCTTAAGCTTTATATAAATTTATAATCTTTACATCAAACCCTTTGGTCCTGTCAACTCGAAATCCTGAGATACTTGTCATTTTGGGAGCCGCCATCCCTATGGAAAAGTAACCAACCAATTCACAGGATATGTTGTCAAGCCATTTGCATTCCTCGGGCACGCAATCTTCCAACCTCTAAAGCGATTCCAACATCACAGATTTCAAACTTGGCGCACAAACATGGTTATACTTAATTTTGTAGTGTGTTTTCTAGTATTTTCTTGCTGCACTAGCCAATGGTCACATTTCACTTTTTTGGACCTGAACAGCTATCGATAACATAATAAAATACATTTAATAAACTAATCCTTTTATAAATTGTGTAACCTTAGCTACTTTTACCCTTGTATATTTAATTTACATAAGAAAACTTCTGCAGAATAGTTTGGATTTTTGTTGAAACTATCGCGATAGTGGAATAATCGATAGCACCAAGGTAGTGGAACCAGACAAGGTGTCAGCCCTGGTCAGGAAAAACAAAACTTAACTGCAAATTAAAAGTTTTCTGATCTGCAGCCATGTCTCTTCAGCAATCCCCCTCGTTTAGCATGATTATTAACCAGTAAGAGGCCAGGGAACACTCCCATAATAATAAACGAACCGAACTTGACGTCCATTCATTTCCCCCGAATAGTTGCAGCATTTCGCGCTCGAACAGCCAGACCTTCTACTTGGAAACTTTTGAGAATGTAAGGGAGCAGGCCGGACTCTTCGACAATGAATTGTTCCTCATGCCAACGATGGTCACTTCCAACAGCAGCGGTGGCTTCAATCCCCTGCAGGATTTCATGGTCTGCGGCGCCGGTAGGAACCGCGTAATGCAGCCGTCAGGAATGCATCCGTCAGGAATGCAGGGATCGGAAGTGTACAATCCCGTGCACTGTGCTCAGAATGATCACGGCTTCTATGCACCTAGTGCGGAGGACGTCATGTTCAAGCGGTAAGCGATTTAAAAATCCCCGCCCTTCCGATTAACTATCGTCACGCGATCCACGTTTCGTGGTGACTTACCAAAACCGACCTATCGCTAATTGTCGTTTATTCCGTCGATTTTTGCGTTTTTGTTTAATATTCCGGTTTCCTGTGCGATCGGACTGCCCCAGATTAGTCTTCCGGGATGTACATATCACAGCCGATGTCGTGGCACAAAGTCAGGTACCGTGGCTTCATGTTGGCGTGTAACCGTGCATGTAGCAACACGCTTGTACTTGCACCGTTCACGCACGCAGCTCCCTTTATCGTGTTTGTTCGACTATCCAAATCGCAATTTCTGGAGCTCGACTTTTGTAAACCTTTATTTCTGACTTCTCTGCTCCAGCACTGATTCTGACGAGGAGCTGCAGGTGACCAATGAAGCCTCCCTGGACTCGGCCGAGTCCAGGCCGGAGGGTGCGGGCGCGGGTGCGGCGGGCATCGAACAGGCGGTGGAGGGAGCGAGTGACCTGTGAGTTCCTGGCCAAAGGTGGTTGTGCTATTGCTAACTAGTCCGTTTAATTCACAGGAACGCGGAGCCGATGGCCTTTCTGCAGGGATTAAATGTAAGCAGGACTTGAGTCCATAATAATATTTTTACTAACTTGCATTTCCGTCTTGCAGTCCGGAAATCTGATGCAGTTCAGCCAGGTGAGTAGGACTAGTGCATCCTGAAGCGCTGCGACAGGTCCGCCTGCACCAGGATGAGCACAAAGCTGGCCACTGCCGAGAAAACGTTGCTGATCAGCTGCATATCGAGCTCATAGAGGCCGAGGGGCTTGATCTTGAACTTGGTGACGGCCACCAAGAGGGTGAAGGCGTGAACCGACTGCCGGTAGCGGCAGTCGGCATGCCGCAGGTCTATCTCCTGCAGGAGGAGCACTGATCTCTTGGTGGCCACCAACAGGTTGTTGCACAAGTGCGTCAGCATGGTGATTTCCGACAGCGAGATGGTCAGGAACACCGAGTTGATGAGCGTGCCGAGGCCATCGAAGGCCTTTCCGGCGATCAAGGCGTCTGCTATGGAGTAGTAAATGCTGTAAAAGCCAACTGTGATGCCGAGGAGGTGGCAAATGAGCGACAGGATCATCGACAGGGCCATGGGAGTCAGGTACTTTCCGGCGTGGAAATATATCACTTTGTAGCGGCTTGCCAGCTTGTCCAGCTCGTCCGCCAGCGAGCAGAAGCGCTGCATGCGGTAGTAGGCGGTGGTCAGCTTCAGTTGATCCTCCCTCTGGAGCAGATTAACCTCCTGCTGCTGCGCCTCCAGTTGGCGGTTAAGTGCCTTCAGCATCTCCTTCACCACGACCATGGCTCCGAAGTAGCAGTTGTTCAGCAGATTCGAAATGACCAACGGAAACAGCCTGTAGAGGGTCCAGATCAAACTTATCTCGGGGTGTGTCCTTCTCTGCTGCAGGATGAAGGCCACCTCGAGGGTCAGCGGAAAGGCCATGGTCTTGATCAAGGCCAGGGAGACCGATGTGTACAAGGACCGGCTGTCGAGACGTAGGGTTTTGAGGGTCTGAAAGAAGGGCACTCGACTCATCATCTTGGCCACGTGGTGACTGATCATCATTTGGGTGACGTAGTTTATAACGGCCACCGTGATGTTCATGTAGCTGTAGAGCGTTGTGGCATCCTTCAGGTTGATCTGTCCCTGGCTGTACTCCTTGTAGATCTGACGGCCGTAGACGGTGCTGAATGCGATGGTCCACAGCATCGCGTACGCCAAATAAAACTTGTTGAACTGGAACCTCTGACGGCTCCGGGGATGATAGCTGTTGGCCAGGAGTCCGAAGACGGTCATGAAGAACACCAGGGTAATCGTGAGCATTTTCACCATGCTCCGGTGTGTTTTATCGCTGTTGAGGTTCATCTTTCCCAAGCAATGGACAGCGACTGGAGGAGTACTCTTTTAGAGAGAGTGTTAATTACAGCCAGCTTAATTGTTTTCCCCTTATCCAACTGACGGCATCTGAAGGACCTGTCAAGGTGGAGGACACTATCTGGACACATCTCGGAATGCGTGCTGCTTGCTAGCCGACCGAAATCCAACTGAGCATGCGTTGCGTTGGTCAACAATAGCGGGGAGAGTTTAAAGGAACCATATCAACCGACAACCGACATTCCCCGTGTGACTCAACAGCTCTGGATGGCCGGCCTGCTGCAATTTCATAAGAGCTACATGACGTCACAGTCTTACAGGGGTTCAGTTCTAGCGCGAGAGCCACACAGCGTACTTATCTCGCTGATTAGCAAGGAACGCTTCATTGTGTCGTCACAAATCAGCAAAAATTGCAAACACTTGTGAAAGACCATAACAAAAGAATAGTCAAAACCCGTCCATTCAGTCGATAGCTGAAAAAACGCGACATGAAGCTCTATCAGTTCTACGTGCGCAAAGTGTGAACTTAAAGCCGGAACCAGGGATATTTACGTATTAATACTACTTTCCTTATTTCCAGCAATCTGTGCTGCGCGAGATGATGCTGCAGGATCTGCAGTCCCATGTGAATACTTTGCCCAAGCTGGAGAACCACAACCTTGGCGGCTACAATTTCAGCATGGTATTGGATGAACCACCAAAATCTCACTGGATGTTCTCGGTGGCCCTAAACAAGCTCTACATCCGGATGGACAAGATCTTTAATGTGGACGTTCAGTTCAAGGCGAAGATGCCCATTCAGCCGCTCAGTCTCCGTGTCTTCCTCTGTTTTGTCAAGGATGTGAGCGGTCCGGTGCTGCGATGCCAGAATCACCTAAGCGTAGAGTCAAGTAAGTTGATTTCCCGTTGGAAGGCAAGAAGTACTCCGTCTTATATGTCACTCCTACCTTACAGCGAGCATCCCGAACATAAAGGAGCGCGAGAGTTTGCTGCGCTGTGAGAATCCCAACACTGTCTACTGTGGATCTGCCCAGGGAAAGGGCATTTCCGAACGCTACTCCGTTCTGATTCCCCTGAATATGTGCCGATCTGGCAACCGCAGTGCCGGATATGTTCGCCAGACGCTGGCCTTCAAGTTTGTCTGCCAAAATTCGTGTTTTGGCCGAAAGGAAACCTGCTTGGTGTTTTGTCTGGAGAACGCTAGGTGAGTTTTTTAAAAGAAATTTATAGAAATCAGAACTTTATATAATTTTCTACTTCATTGCAGTGGCGATATTGTGGGACAGCAGGTTTTGAATGTTAAAATCTGCACGTGCCCGAAACGTGATCGCAACCAGGACGAGCGCCAACTCACTGGCAAGAAGCGCAAATCCGAACCGGCTTGCTCCGATGAGGAGGACGAGCCGGATGTAAAGCCGGCCAAGACGCGTCGCCGCACCGCTTCATACCGGCGGAAAGTAAAGGAGGAGACTGAGAGCAATGACAGCAACGATGAGGAGATGCCCGCCTCCGAATGGCAGGTGTCGCGTACAGCGGATGGCGAGTATCGTTTGTCGATTACCTGCCCGAAAAAGGATTGGCTCCTTCAGAGCATTGATGGTATGATTAAGGAGGCCGCTGCTGGAGTGCTACAATGTCCAAACCAGGCGAAACTGCGCCGCCATGCCCACAAGTTGGTCAGCCTGAAGAGTAAGCATAAGACCGGTTGCTCCTCTAACGAAATTTTTAACTAACATGACATTATTTGCAGAACGTGCCTGCGACCTTCCGTGACTGATGGACTGACTAGAGAAATCTCTTACGGCCTCAGCAAGTTTTACCATCAGAAGCAAGTGTTTTCCACAAGACACCTTTGTATTGTCGTGTGTGAGGCACTATGAAAATGTACTCGGATGGAAAATGTACAATTTTTAAGTTCGTATATAATATAATTTTAGTTTGTTAGGTATTTCCAAGTGATACTACAATACTACACATTGATTGGCCTGTGCGAGATTCGAAATAAGACAGTTTTATATTTTTGATATTATAATACATACTACTGTTACCTACAATTTTATAAAGCTACCGATAAGTAAAACCAACGTCAAACACATCAAAAGATTAAAGCTCTTAGTATTTTTCAAGGATATCAGCTTGGAGTGCGCCAATGCCCAGATCCTACTGTACTCCGGCAGAGCGCATGCTATGGCCGGGCGATGTGACATGTGTGGTGGCTTGTGTTTGCGGTCAATGCTCTCGGGATCCATCTCAGCTAGTCGGCAAATATGTCAAAATCGCTGGGCTGCATTTACATATTTTATTTATACCCCGTATCTGCGCCTCTTTGGTTTTAGTTCTATGCTTAAAAAAACAACCTCAAGCAGGGCGCATGCGTTCGCCAACGTTGCACATGTGCAGAGATGTGCGAAAAATAAAGAAAAACCATATGTTGACACTGCGCCGCAGCTGCAGGCGACTACTTTAGCTTTTGCCACATGCGGCAAATGCTAGTGTTTCGCTAGTGTTTACTCTAGCCCACCGAGTGCTGTTCATTGACCTAGGGCAGGGCATTTAATATGCGCCCATGCCTTAATGGTAACGGAATGGGAACCGCCGTGTCCATAATGCAGGCAGGCAAAGCGGATGTATCGGCTTCCATTTGGGGCCTTTCCTTTTTCACCTTACCAGTTTGGCACCGCGAAAATGGGTCGAAGCCGAGAGAGAGAAGCGACTCATTCACTCAATTCTCGTTCGGCGAGTGCCAAGCAAAGCGGCTTGGAATTGAGTTGAGCTTGAGGTGCGGGTCTCAGTTGCACAGAGAAAAATATTAAACTGACTCATATTACTAAGACGTTTAGTTTAGTTTTATATTTAAAAGCTAAAGCTACAGAAACGATATATGATTTTTTATATTATATTTATATTTATATCTCCCATGCACAGTCACCCAAGAAACCCAATCAAATATTTGAGTTTTTCCTTGATGACAGGTCCCAGTGGCGTACAGTAGTGGGTGGCAGTAGCTAGAATTCATTATTCATATTTTACAATGGAGACTTTTAACAAAAACAGATGCTATCCAGTTTCCAGAAAACTCATAACTATCTTTATGGGGCCAGATAAAGGGAAAGCAAACACCGGAAAGCTCTTATCGGCACCCATCTTCCATCTTCGTCCGCAGTGCCCACTGTGCGCGCGTGGGGAAAACAATAAAGCCAAACAAAAACAGAAAGCCAGGCCAAGACGAGACGTCAGGTGAAACCGCGCCTGCAACTCCACTCGCTCGATTCCACTCAAAGGGGCCCGCAACGCAGTGCTGCCCACTCGGATCTGCAGTCGTAGATACAGAAACCAGATAACGACGAGCGCCCGGCGATCTCCACTCAGTCGATGGGGAAGAGTCGAAAGCTTGTACACGTAGTTTGGCATTCGCATTCGGCTGTTGGCTTTGGCGTTGGCGGTGTCGTCGTTGTCGTGGTTTGTGCTTGGTATTCTGGCTGATCTTCGTCGCGTTGCAGCTGTGTGAATTCGTGCCATATTCGTTTTGACCGCGAAATTTTCTGGGCTAAGAAAATCTACTTTATTGCCCCTGGTTTTCTGTGTTAGTGCACCCGTGAGTGGCAGAGATGGTGGAAACGGCAACCACTACGACCATAACGCGCTCCACCACAACGGCGCCGGCGGGATCGGTGACGGTGACAGGGCCCGCGTCCTCGGCCACGCCCACAGCGGCTCAGGCGGCCGCGCGGGCGCAACGTAATGATGAGACCACCCGAGCCATATTCAACCTGAAAGTGATCGTGTTCCTGCTCCTGCTGCCGCTGATTCTGTTCGCCGTTTTCCTCAAGCATCTGCTGGATTACCTCTTTGCATTGGGGCTCAAGGAGAAGGATGTCAGCGGCAAGGTGGCACTGGTAAGAAATGTTTTTGGATTAACTGCTAAGCCTTGTTATTGGAAGTCTCCTCTGGGGAAAGATAGTAAAAGATTGTGACTTAATTATGTTTGTTTTGTGCAAATATCTGTTTCCCAGACTTTTCTTTCAAAGGGGGAAATCATGAAAGTTTTGTAAACCAAAAAGTAGTTTTGACTTTTTAATGCTGTTTTCAATTCACATCCATTGAAGTCAGAGAATAACAAGTTTATATGGCTATTAATTAATAGCCAAGAGATCACAAAGGTCTCTGTGTATTTAGATACACATCTAACAAGAGTATCTGACAGATAAACGATCTGGAATCCAGCCAGGCAGCTAGGTAGAAGCCAAGCGAAACGCAACGTCACGCACTTTCCTTTTCCAGTGGCTGCACTTCCACTCCCACCTTTGGCCCACTCCAAGCTCCCCTCCAGCCGCCTTTCCCGCTTTTCTTTTATTTTTTATTCAGTTTTAAGCGATGTCTCCAGCTAGCTATTGGGTGCGGTCGCCGATTGTTGGGGCCTGAGTTATTAAAGTAAATATTTATGGTACTTTGGTGCCCAGCAGTGTTAGTTGGCCAACTGTTTGTGTTTATGCTTGCAATGCTTTCCTCGGTCAGCTAATGTGACATCATTTTCCATGTAAGCCAAGGGAAATCTGGAAACTCGACTGAATTTCGAAAAGCTTGCGGTGTTCCATATCGCGGTCCATTAATCGCATTTTTATTACACATTGACTTGTGGCGTCTTTTTATGGAAAAGTCAATTGGGGCGGACGCCACTGGTCAAGGTCAAGTGTGTAGGTGATGCTCTGGATCGTAAAGAACCCGATCGGGTTCGGAGACCATTAGCATTCCATTCTGGTCTCAGAACGTAGGCGTGTGCCGGCCATAAGCGTCTCACGTAGCGCATCGATGAATCATTGTGGCTCGATTTTTGTTTAGTCTCAGCTTTTCGAATTTCGATCGTTCCCTCAGATACAAAAAACGACTACAGATACAGATACAGATACGTCTTGCGGTTTGGACCTGACAGGGGTGAGCTGGTTGGAAGAGAGGGGCACCAGTCCCGTGCCAGCTGTGAGAAACGGTGTAATTAGTAGATCGACTTGGGAGATATATTTGTAAATAAATTCGGGTAATGTCAGCTCGAAAACCCCCATTTTCCGGCGCCCCTGCCCGGCTGCAAACTGGTTTTCTGTGTGTGTCGCCGCATTTTTAACAAGATGAAGCGAAAGAGAGAGCTCAAAAGTGCAAACCTCAGGAACTTCACTTCACTTTTGTTTTCAGCCCGAGCACAAGCGATGACGTTGGCCGAGTCGCGAGTAAACAAAAACAGAGAGCCCCGAGGCGAAGGGCAGAAGTTATATCTGGTATCTCTCGGATGCGTAGATAGAACTCAGCGCTGCTGTTAGTAACTGTTTCCGCAGTTAATTTGCATATGATATTGAAATTCTTCAGCAATGTTATAACCACAACAACAACTGCGCACTGCCATGTGCTGGCGACTTGTTATTGTTATTGCTTTTTCATTGTTTTTTGTTGTTGTTGTTGTGCACGAACGTGCCAAACTTTGGGGCTGCGACACGGTGACCCACCCTCAGCTGAGGAGGCACTGAGGTCACACAGTCAGTCGTCAGTTCGCTTTAATTACGGTCAAAAGTCACTCAATTGTTCCCGAGAGGGCCGGCCCACCGAGCGTATGTGTAATGCCATTCATAAGTCGCTGCTCTCTCGAATAATTGCCGGTAAATGGGGTTTTTGTTCAATGCAAAGTCGCATTAGCTCGACTTGATTGTTTGCAAATTAAGCTAATTAATTTGTTTAAGTATAATGAGAGTGAACCGCCCGAATCCATCTTTCCGTCGCACACAGGTGACCGGCGGTGGCAGTGGCCTGGGACGCGAGATTTGCCTGGAGCTGGCCCGGCGCGGCTGCAAGCTGGCAGTTGTGGATGTCAACTCCAAGGGCTGCTACGAGACGGTGGAGTTGCTCTCCAAGATCCCGCGATGCGTGGCCAAGGCCTACAAGGTAAGATTATCTCGTCATCATTGTGGCATCATAACATGTTGTTCCCCTTTCAGAATGATGTCTCCTCGCCACGCGAACTTCAGCTAATGGCCGCTAAGGTAGAGAAGGAGCTGGGTCCCGTGGACATACTGGTCAACAACGCCTCCCTCATGCCCATGACCTCGACGCCCTCGCTGAAAAGCGATGAAATCGACACGATTCTGCAGCTGAATTTGGGCTCTTACATAATGGTCAGTGTACAGACTTTATTCTTTATATTCTTTATATATTTTGGATATATTCCTTGCCAGACCACCAAGGAGTTTCTGCCCAAGATGATAACCCGCAAGTCTGGCCACCTCGTGGCAGTGAATGCCTTGGCGGGTAAGCTGTCTTCTCCTCGCTTAGGTCGAACCTTAAAATTAACTCTAATATCTCCTATGCAGGCCTGGTTCCTTTGCCCGGAGCCGGCATCTACACGGCCACCAAATATGGCATCGAGGGCTTCATGGAGTCTCTGCGCGCCGAGCTCCGCCTATCGGACTGCGACTATGTGCGTACCACCGTGGCCAATGCCTACTTGATGCGTACCAGCGGGGATCTGCCGCTGCTCAGCGATGCGGGGTGAGATTTCCTCGTTTCCCTTTGCCCGATTGCCTGATCCCAACTCTTCCCTTCAGCATTGCGCAGAGCTACCCCGGCCTGTCCACTCCCTACGTGGCGGAGAAGATTGTCAAGGGCGTGCTGCTGAACGAGCGCATGGTGTACGTGCCAAAAATATTCGCCCTCAGTGTGTGGCTGCTCAGGTGAGAATGAAATTAGCCCGGCGTGCGCTAACTATTTTTAACGATTATTGTCTCCGCTCCTTCCCAGACTGCTGCCCACCAAGTGGCAGGACTACATGCTGTTGCGCTTCTACCACTTCGACGTGCGCAGCGCCCACCTGTTCTACTGGAAGTGAACGAGAAGCATACCATCCCAAAAGCATTTACGCGGAAAGCTCGAAGCTTGTTGGTTTCCCATTCGCAGTTCTTAATTCAACTGTTGCTTACGCTAGGTTTACATGTTTAGCTATTTATACGAAACCTTAACTTAAATTAAATATATCTTCCTAACAGTGGCGCCAGCCTTATACCTTGGGCTTTGCCGGCTTCGTTGGCTTCCTTCTTCGCAGTTGCAGGGCCTCGGAGAAGCACTTCTTCTCGGATTGCTGCACGCAGGAGCTGCGTTCGTAGTGCCAGGTGTAGTTGAGCGGGCAACGATGGAGTAGCTTGTGACCACTGGAGCAGTAGTAGAAGTAGGCGCAGTTCAGGGGATGTGGCATAAAGCCATACACGCCCGACTGGCAGCTAGTGATAATGCCCGGCGACTGGCGGCGATTGCAGGACACCAGATGGGCGGGAGTGCAGGCTCTGGTCAGGCCTGCTCCTTCGTAGCACACCATGTAGGGATAGCAGGGTCCGGCGTTGGGCAATTCCTCCAGGGTGATGGTTAGCGGTTCCGTCTTCGGGGCCACTGTGGGTGGTGGTTGTTGCTTCATCGGTGGCGACTTAGTTGTGGTTACCAACGGTTGACATCTCTTAACCAGGTCCTCTTCCAGACATCGCTCCTGCTTCTCGTCGTAAAAGTGACCATCAAGGCACTCGGCCTCAAAGGAGCCAGGTCCGGCGCAGTAAATGTACTTCGAACAGTTACTGGAGCTGGCCACGTAAACTCCCATTTGTGGGGCACTTTCACACTCTGCGAACTCCAGGGCCAGGGTGCGGTGACCCAGCAAGGCCACCAGAACTATAGTTAACCAGGTTAGGGCTCTCATTTCACTACTGCCGGAGTGCGGCAAAGACATCTGACGACTGACTGACTTCAGACGCCCGAAATACCCGAAAACACCGATACCGGTTGAGAATATTTTTGCATGTGCCCGCCAACTGATAAGGGCGACAAGCATCCAGCCTCGATTATTACGTGGTTATCTCCGTGTTCCCGATAGTGCTAATGAGTTGGGGAGTTACTGCGCACCCGCCCTTGGCTTTTCGTTCCCGCCCAGGTGGCGTTTGCCATTTGTAGCCTACTTCCCAGCGAAGCCAGCCACAGATTTAATGACCGTGCCAGGCCGCAGCACAATGCATATGGCTCTCGGGGCTGGGCTCAATAAAAATTGAAAACGCACTCAATAAGCAATTAAGTGTCGCCACTTCCGACGGGACAAACGAACGCTACCACCGATACCATCCATTGGACGCGCACACAGACCACCGCCATTCATCGCCCTCGTCGCCATCAACAACATCATTGGCATCATCCCCATCATCATCATCAGCGCCGACATGGACGTGGTCGCGGCTTGTCGGAGTTAAGCGATTGCCATCGATTTAATATTCGATGAGATATTCATAACTTGCAATTAGGTTTGGCGGCGTTGCTTTCCCGGCTCTTCCAGCTCGCGATTTACGTAAATGATTGCGTTGCTGATTAATGAAGAATTACCAGGGCGCCGGAGGGCTGTGCAAATTGCAATTTCATTAATTGTTAATTGAACGCAGTCGAGTGCCAGTTGTCCCGGTAGCTTTGTGGCATATTTTCGGGCTCAATGCCGCGATGGGTTAACAGGTTATACCATCGTCTATATCCAACCTGCCAGATGCCGCTCTGCCGGCACTCGGAAAAGGACCCCATATGGTGAGGACGCGACTCAAGTGATTAAGTGCACGCTGAAATCTTCAAATGCCGAGCAACATGTGCACAAACACAAACAGAAACAACGCGACCCACTCCCTCCAGCGGCTGCCTTCCATAATGTAAAATCTAATTACGATTATGTGAGGAGACCCCCAGCACCTGATGCTCCTCAGTTCCCCAGCTCCTCAGCTTCCAGCTCCAGTGCCCCAGCACTCCCTGAACTCGTTGTTCGGTGCGCAGGCGCAGCGGCAACGCCGATCCATAAAAATAGCTCACTAATTATTTGTGTGCTAGGGTTACAGTTCTCATAAAAAACAAACAAACTGTCGGGCGTTTTATGGATCTTCTGCTTGTCTTAATGCCCCCGCAAAGTTTTTCCGATCCCAAATCCATTCGATTCGACACAGAGAAGGATTGATCAGTTTCAACTTGTAAGGCATTCCCGAATTTTTAAAATATACAAACCATATTCCATAGAAGAGTCAAATGCGGAGTGCTATTAGCCAGAACCTTGAATTGGCATTTATTTCCATATAATAATAATTGTCTGCCTATTCATCGGCACCAGGATCTCCGCAACCATCGCGAGCTCTTCGCACCTGGTTCTCTGTGCCGACCAACTGCCGCAGCTCCACGAGAACCCGATCAGTACGATCCTCCAGACGATCCAGGGCTGAGTTCAGGGCATTCAGTCTGCAGGTGACACTCTCCATCAGCTGTTCCGAGTTCCTGGTCATCTCCGCCAAGTCAGCCCACAGATCGCCGGACGGAATGGGATTCAGTACAGGCTGCAGTTGATTCTCTTCGTTTTCCATTTCGCTTTAAAGTCAGGCGAATATATTCCAAATGAACTTAAATTTGGTTCACCCTACACACTGAGGGACAGATGTGTATTTAAAGCTGGAAGTTCGGAAGTGTAACGCAAAGGTTCTTTGGTGCTTTGCTACATAATTCAACATATTTTTAGTTGTTTGGCTAAAACTTAATTGGTGCCGTTCAATGCAATTTTAGCCAATTGACTTTAGGCACTTTTGCTTTTAATAAATTAAATATTCAAAATTTACAGGGTATTTAATACAACGAGGGGTCTGTAACTCCGACAGTAAGGAGATTCTAGAGAAGGATCTTGGCATTAATCTAACCAGAAATGAAAGAAAATATTTGTGTTTGTTTTAAGTAGAAAACAACATATTAAAATTATTTAGTATTAATTTAATTTTATTTATAGAAAATTATAGGGTATCTTTATTTAGAATTACCCACTTAGCCGCTTGTTTAGTTTGCTGTATTTTTTTTTTGCCGTCGGCCTATTACAAAAGCTTCGCTCGTTCATTTCATTAAACCCATTTACAAAATGGCTTTGTCCATTATTTATACATATCAATTATAAATTGTACTCAGCGCCTGCAATATTCATATTCACTTGTCAAAATGTCAACTCAAAATAGAATATTTATGCATTTTTATGTGTGCGTATCGGAGCATGATTTGTTTGCTTTATGCTCTCTTTTCAAGAAACTCTATAGAGCAGAGGAAAGTGACAATACGGGCTATAAATACAAATGCTCGGCGGCAACCGAAGTTGAAATCAATTTTTTGTTTTGGCCCCATACTGCGGAGGTCGCGTTTCTCGCCTTCTGAATGTGGACCGGAGGGGTGCGGACGGAGTGCGACCATTTAGTTTGCGGCAGAACAAGGTGCCTCAATTTATTTTTAATTGGAGGCAAATTGAGCCAATCATCGTCGGTGGAAAGGAAATGCTTTGCTGCGGTTGTGGTCTTTTCTCGTTATTAACAGGATAAAGCTCCTGTCCATGTCCAGTTCCAGGCCCTGGCTTATGCATTGTCGCTTAATGAATTTTCATTCAGAGTGGCTGCAGCAAGGATGTGTGAACACTCTGAAGCTGACTTCCTGCCTTGCACAGGCCATTAACCGACCTGCTACTGGTCCTGAAAGGATGATTCTCCTGACGTCTTCTTTGCGGTTGGCAAATCTGTTATTATTGTCATTAAGCAGGCTTTTGTTGTCACCACCCGGAAAATGTACAATACATGCTCGTATGCAGATGCATTTTTCTAGCAAATGTCCTTCGGTGCGGTTAGAGCTGGTGGTGGCTTGTTGTTTGCCTGGTTATTCCGAGACTTTTGGGGATCTGTTCTTGAGGCTGTTCTCGCTCGGCTATTGAATTTTCAGCACGATGTACTTGGAACCCTCAGCCGGAGGCTCAACTGGTTGCCTCAAACACAAATTTCGATGCATTTCGGTTTGTGTTCGTCGTCATTAGTTGAAAGCGCTTAGTTTAGCTCGTTTGTTTGCTAAAAGTTTCATTGTTGTTCCAGGTCCTGCTCCTGTTTCTGTTTCGGTTCCTGTTTCTGTTGTTGCATTATACTGCCTGTTGTTGTCATCAAGTTGATGCTGGACAACAACATTGTTTCGCCTAAATAAAGGCATATAATTTATGTGTAGGGCCTGCAGGGGCTACGAGTATGTGGGCATCGTGCATACGCCACGTTGACCGCTGACCAGCTGACCGAGTCGAGCTGAATACTCGGTTAACTTTGTCACGGTGCTGAGCATGGTGCCCTCCTTGGGCGGGGGCATCCTGCCTGGAGCAGCATCGGAGGCGATTGCTCTGACGGGGCATACATACATATGTGTGTGTCCCGTCCCGTTGCCCGTTATTATTTTCCAACTTTTCACTTCGGTTATGAAACGTCCAAGCAGCGCAGTCACTTGCACGCTCATCGCCATCATTCCGCTGACCGCAATGGACAACGAGTACTTTTTGGCCGGGCTGGTCATGTTTCTATTCTGTTCTTATCCTCCACACAGATAGAAAAAGCTACCCAAAATCTAGATTTATTCGGGTCTTTAGAGTACTTTATTTATTCCATGTATAAAAGTATTCTTAGAAATATTTTTCAGACTTGTATAATTATATTTAAAATATTTTATCGCTGTCGGAGCTTTTTTTTAATTTTTAAAATAATAAAATTAATTAATTTGAAATCTACACTGATTTCTTCAGTGCAAGAACGTGTGTTTTTGTGCGAGCGTTGCTATGCTTATGTCCTGCGGCTTAGGCATTTGTTGTTTTACAACGTTTCAGTCTGTTTGCCAAGTAAATAAAAGCTGTTAACTAGTTTTCGCACACCAAGACGAAAAGGTGGATGGGCATGGGGTTTGGGGCTGCAACACGTGCTGGACAATTTTTTGCTCCGCTAGCTCTCGTCCTGCTCCTCCGGCTGCTTTTGTGCGTAGACACTCGTGTATGAGCAATTATTTAATGCCGTCCGCTCGTCCGTCCGTTTGTCATTGTTGTCTTCGGGTTATAGTTGTAGTTGTTGTTGCTGTAGTTTTAGGTGTACTTGTTGTTGCCGGTGCTAGTGGACTAGCCTTTGTCTTGGCCCCCGTCATCCAAGTCAGCTGCAGCCATCTTGTCTGCCCCTTTTGTGTCGCTCATTTATTTGTGTTTATCCTTTCGCTTTTAATTGCGGCTCCGTCCTGCTTCCATCTCCATCTTCCACCCCCTTTGTGTAATTACAAGTGTTTGTTGTGTAAATAATAGCGTTAGCCGCCTGGGCCGAGGACCATCGTTGACGCATCGTTTGCATGCTCAGTTAATGCCGTGCATCAGGACATCCTCCATTGTCCCGGTCTGAGTCTGTGTCTGTGGCGGTGTCGGTGCCAGTGCGCCACTGTCTGTGGCACGGAAAATTAATTACGAGCATTAAGCACAGCGCAACGCCCGATCTGTCGCATTGACACAGGTGTTGGCTGCTCGATGTAACGTATTTTCCTTAGATAATTCCCATAGAACTCGACAGCCATGTGCGCTGCGCCTTGAACTCGAACTTAAACGGAAAGGGCCACTGGTGCTGCAGAGAACAAAATTTGTGATAATTCCCTCAGTACTTTTATTTGTTTTTGTGTTTAAATGTACATTTTATTTACATAAAATACACCCGTTTGTAAACTGAATATTCATGTGGAAATTTAAATTCAGAATGCTGACAATTTTTGACTATTTTAAACCATGAATCAATTGTTTGGAATATAAACATACATACGACAAGCCCTTTTAGAAGATTTCTGAAATAAATGTTGGGTTGTGAATTTATTAAAAACAATCAAATTTAAAGGTGGGGTTGCTGTATTTTTCTTTTGTTATTTAAATAAATAAAGTTTATAACCCGAAATATCAAATATTGAACAAAACTATTCCTCTCCGTGTGAAACTCAACTGCAGTGCGGAGGCGGAGCCTTAATTCATTCACCTAGAGACACTTACATGTGGTGCCCATTAGCCCAGTGCCACGCCCCTCACGAAAGGCAAATGCCAGCGAACCATGCGACGCCAAAAATTTCCATTTCGTTGCTTGAACCGTGCATAAATATGTCAATAAGGATTATCCCATCGCAGGCGGCAATAAAATCTGTGGGGGCTATAAAAAAGAGGAATGTGGAGCGACCGTAGGCATGTAGGAAAACCCCAGCTAAACAAACAGCAGAGGGATCAGGATCAGAAACTGGAACAGGAGCAGAAACAGGAGCGGGAGATGCAACTTGATTATCCTGGCAACCTGCCGCGCATTTTCCGACTGTTAAATTATGACATGCAACTGTCAGAGCGGGTTCAAGTGGATTTCGGCTGCGTATGCTCCTGGCAGGCGTGAGAAACTGTTATCCTTGCACCTAAACAAACACATTGGAGCAATGCTGGGATGCAGTAGCTGCCAGTGTCCTGGCTGGTGTCGTATTGCAGAATGTGTTCGGTCCTCGAGAGCCTTGCGCATTACACGACCAGCTAATTTATTTACATTACTGGCCGTGTACTTGTTGCGTTGTAATAAACTGAAACACATGTGCAGGGATCGCAATCGAAATGGCCTGTTATCCGTGGCTGTCTCATTAGGTCCTGCTGCCGCTGCTGCTGCAGTAGCACTTCAGATTGGTGTTGACAGTTGCGCTGAGAAATTGCCTCGCCCTTTCCCTATACTTTATTTCTTTTTTGGGTAGCTCTTGTCTCTTACAAGACCCCTGAGCTCGGCTCTGAGTGCCGCTCGCCCGACATGCTAATGTGAAATATTAGAAAAGTAATGGAAAAAATGAAGAAGCAATCGAGATTAACGCGTTTGAGCACTCAAACTTTGCTCCACACTTTTTAGTTTTTCCCTTTTTCCCTGCCAGCTGCGGCAGGCCAACCCTTGCCTTCAGTTCGTCCTGTCCTTTGCCGTGGGAAGCCTTGGGAAATAGGTTTAACCACCTCTAATCCGCTACCTCCAGCACTCCTCGGCATTGCCGGATAAAATTCTCCATCAGCGTTGTTCGTTCAGCTATTTTAGGTTTACTGTAAAATATTTTAAAGGGCAGAAAACAATATGAAATATGAGGATTTTATAGATTTTTAAATGGTTTTTCTAGGATTATTTTCTAAATGATAAAAAACATGGTTAAATTCTAAAAAAAACTTGAAATATTTATAAATAAATATAACATAAATGTTAAATAAATCTAAATAATATAAATCTATATAATATGTAATGTTAAAGAGGTTACTTTACGAAATATTTTTATTTTCATTGAAAAGGTAAATATATTTTAGATATTAGTGTTATTGTACTTGCTATGGCTTTTCTTAATTATTATAAGTTTCCTAATTGGGCTAGCTTCCGTGGTCCCAGGCTGACAGCACTTCCCTTTACCCTTCACCAGTGCCAGTGTTCTTTGAGTGCCCTTTAAGTTGAAGTGTTGTTGGCGGGCGAGCACCGCTGAGTGGCACGGAGTTTTGACAATCAAGGGGGATAAGGCGGAATGTAAGAGTATCTGGATTAAGGATGTCCATGTGCCATGTGCTCCGGCTGCCCGCAAAATACGCAGACGCCGCCGAGTCCATAAATCATCGAAGCCACACATCAATAGCCACAAAAAACCGTCGCATGCAAAGCGACACCACGTGCACAAAGTGTGACCCGATTTTGGCGACATCCAAAACAAAATCGAATGTTCGCTTAAATAAATACGAAATGACATCACGTGCAGTGAGTACTCCTCAGCCAAGAAGTAGGACTCGCAATTGCGCCAAAATGCATGAAGGCGCAACGGGAGGAGGAGAATTCCAGGCTGCATATGGTTGGCCAAGGGCTTGAGCACCCGTTTTTAGTGTCGTTTTCATTTGCAGTGAACTGGGAAAATTAAGAGAGTTGAGCTTGAGGCCAGGGGAGAGCCCCAAGAGAGAACCTGTTCCGCTTGCCCCTTGACCGAACTAAAGCCCTATTAAAATGCCATTGCCAGAGCGGAAAAGAGCTTAGAAAGTGGTGTTAAGGGGTGAACCATAAGCATTTCTTTGTATAAAGCCAACTTGTGAATACACTCTTGAATAGTAAATACTTTAAAAATATCCTTCAAATGTATTGCACAAAATACTCCATCATTATCAAGGGAGGGGGATACCATAAATATTTTTGTCCTTACCCAATTACCCAATATATATAAATGGCAAACTTCATCGGGCAGCTGAAGCACCCTTGAAAAACCTAAAATGAAATATACATACATATTTCACGATTCTCGTTTTTGTCGCTCGCTTTGTTATTTTTAACTAAAACCACAGCCGGCAAGTGCTCCACCCCGCTCTATTCTCATCTGGCCTCCCATTCCACTGCAATATAAAATTATCCTTTGGCTGTCTCTATTTTCCATTCGCATATGTATGTGAGCTGGTGCTCTGATTTTTTTTTTGTCTTCTGTTCGTTTTCCTTTATGGATATCCACTTTATTGTCAGAAAATCATTTTTTCGTTGGCATCTCTCGATGTGTTTTTATTTTTCCTTCTTTTTTTTATTGAGCTGGAGCTCAGAGTGTTTGTGTTTATACGTGTATATGGGGTTGGATGTTCTTGTGTGCCTGTGTTGTACATTTGTAGTCACTGCGCTGCTTTTTGTAGTTCACAAAAAATTGCTTTTATTTATTACTAATGGCCATGCTCGGGTTTTGTAGTACCCATTACTGGTAGAGACGTTGGGTATATTGGATACTTTGCAGGAGTGGTAAAGGGTGAGATCAATATTCAATCTTTCTTTATGAAATGTACAGGGTAATAGGTATCTTGTTGTCGAGGCACCCTCTGGCAGTGCTCCCCCTTGTTGTTATTGGAATCGATGTTGCCGTTGCTGGTGTGTGCATATATCGAACATTACTTACCGCGCCGCGGCTGTCCCATCTGTGCAGGAGGTGACTTTTCTATTTATTTGCCGACAATGCCAGTCCAGATTTTTTATATGTTTTTTTTGGAAGCCTGTGGTAAATGGGCTCTCATTTGCAAACACTTGCCCCGCATTAGTATTGAATAAATCGAAGTCACTGCTAATTGCCGAGCTGTGCTGGCGCAGGGTAACCGCCGAATGGGGTGACTTTAATGCACTCTTGTCGACGGCAAGCCAGTTTCTCAGCTTCGCGAGTGGCAAGCGCGATCAGCGATCCGAATCCGCGATCGGCGATCAAAGCGTTTTAGCCACTCTCGCGACTCGGACGTGGCTCAAATCACGGAAAATGTCGCTGTGGAATGCTCTGGTCAAGGTGCAGGCGTATATATCACTGATCGGCTTGGTAGCGATCACTCCACTGCTCATCGTCGCCGCCGTGCTGAGGCAGTTGTTCGCGAATCTCTGCTGCTGGTGCTCATCCCCGAAGAGCATCGCCGGTGAAGTGGCCGTGGTGAGTTTTGGCCAAGCAGGCCACCACACACACTTGACACACTAATTTGCCAATATTGGCATTAAGCGCGGAACCGTAACAAACGAGATTGCACTTTTGCTCCAAAGTAATTTATTGTTGATCGTAATTTCTGGACCTTTTTAAAAAGCAAACCAAATTGTAACATTTAAATAAATATAACCTACAGGTTTTCATTTTAAAATATGAAAGCTGAAATAGGCACACCCCCAGAAACCAAAAATATTTTGTAAAAATCTTAAAATATATTTGATTCTAATACCTTAAAGACAAAACTTTATTTTCAAGGTTACCAATAATTAATTCGTTTTATTGGTTATTCAGTATATTTATGTAATTATACAGTTGAAAAAGGCCAGTTCAAAAAGGCCAAAGTTGAGATAAATAAATTACTGCAAGCTCTAATAAGTTTAGTCTTGTTAATAAATACATCAGCTTAAACATGAAAAAAATATATATAATTACAGACTTTAAACAATTAGCTGTAATAGTTAAAGTCCACAAGCTATGATAAAACTTTCAATAACCTTTAAATGTCTAAATGACACTCAAAAATAATAAGGAAAGGAGAAAACAAAATTTATAAAATTCCTTTATTATCATGTAAAGTAATCTTATAAAGCTTTTTATATTAAAAAAAAACATTATATATTTTTTAAGTGCTCAAAATAAAACTACATTTAATGGCAGGGTTAGACCTTTTACCAGAATTATTTTAGTTAGAGATGGCATATACTATTTACTATATACTAATGATAGCGATTGCTTTTTTTGTTTTCTCCAGGTTACTGGCGGCGGTCATGGTCTGGGACGCGCCATTTCCCTGGAGCTGGCCAAGAAGGGATGCCACATTGCTGTGGTGGATATCAACTTGTCCGGCGCCGAGAGAACGGTTAAGGAAATTAAGGAATGCTATGATGTTCGGGCTAAGGCTTACAAAGTAAGTAAAGCCAGTAAATTGCCAGAAAAACTGGTTTTGAACACAATCAACTTGTGTATGATATAAAAATATTTAATTTACTTGTAATTACCCTTTAACCGGTATATACATATTTAGGCAAACGTGACAAGTATTGGGGAACTCGCTGAGCTGAACAAAAAAGTGGTCGTTGATCTGGGACCGGTAACTGTTTTGGTTAACAATGCGGGAGTTTTGCTGCATAAAAATTGTGTAAACCCTGAACCCGCTGAAGTGCAGCTTATGATCGATGTTAACCTAACGGCACACTTCTGGGTGAGTTTAACTATTAAGATAATAATTAAAATTGCATTAAATTAAAACAAGGTTTAAAGTAAACAGGTTTATTGTAACCAATTGAAATAACCACAAGGCAGAACATATTATTATTATAGTTAATCTTTCCAGACCAAGTCCGTTTTCCTACCCAAAATGAAAGAGTTGCGCCGAGGCCATATTCTCACCATCAGTTCTCTGGCAGGTGAGTCCAGCCGCTAAAAAAAATGCTTTCGTTATCCTATAGCACAATATCCTTTGTCCTCCCGCCAGCCCTTTTTCCGCTGGCCTACAGTTCGACTTACTCAAGCACCAAGGCGGGGGTGGCTACCCATATGAGGGCCCTACGCATGGAGCTGTTTATGGAGAAGCAGAAGGACATCCACGTGACCACCGTATTTCCCGCGTTCCTGTCCACCAACGAAGAGGTGACGGAGATGACTGGCCAAATAGGAGTCGGTAACATATATCCGCTGATCAGTGGCCAAGAAGTGGCCCAGCGCATTGTGAACGGCATGGTGCGCGGCGAGCGGGAGATCATGCTGCCAGGCTTCGTTTCCCTGGTATATAGGCTGTTGAATCTCATGCCCTCTAGCTGGCAAATGCTTGGAATTTTACTGATCACTGGCACCACGTTCAGGAAGTTCCGAGATATACGTTCCTAAGCGTAAATATGTGACGTGATAATTAAAAGTATTCCAGGTTGCGGGCCAGAAAAATAACAACTTGTTCGTTTTGACCCGAGGATTCACAGGTGGGGCGTTGCTGCTGAAAAGCATTTCATTTAAATCCGATTAAAGATACTTTTTGCGGCTGGTCGGTCACGGACAACTGGCCACAGGCCACGGGCTCCGGCTTCGGCTCTGTCTACGGGTCGTGTGTTTCATGTGTTTTTCCTTTTTATTTAATTTCAGCCAGCAGGAACTGCTTTAATTTTGCAGCTCCGACAGTCTCGGGGTTGCGTCCAGGTCTGGGCCGCAGTCCGTGCATTGCCTCGGCGTCTGCATTTGTCAGATGGCGGAGAGGGTTGCAATCAACTTGTCAGCAGCCCAGACTTTTCCCTCCTTTGGCCGAATCTCATTATGCAACTTTCATGAGGTCATTGAGGCTGCCAGATTTATATATTTTGCCGAATTAAGCAAGCAAAGGGGGTCGGAGTTGAGTATATCGACCACAAAATACCTTTATTGAAGGATTAAGACAAATTATTGCCGAAGAAATGGCTGTTAGTTTGAAATCAATAGAGAAATCAAAGGATTGCACGTTTCTGAAATAAACTATTATTACTTGTTGTATTTTATTAGAGAACGTTTTCTTACGTGCTTAAAAAGTCACTAATTATGAACAAATGTTTAGTTTATTGTTTTCATTATCGCATAAATGAATATCCATCACCATTTCTGTGAACACCAGGTATAGACAGCTTAACAAAGAGTTTAAAATTGCATGATTTCGCTGGGGAATTTGTGCTGCATACTTGCAGGCGCTGTGGCATTAGGGGACTGGATGGCCTAAGGCCTCGCCTACATCTGTCCCCATTCGCTTGGTTTGACGAAAGTGCAGGTTTTTGCAGCTTCAAACGAAATAGTCCCTTAATAGGGTCGAGAGAGAGTGGCTTGACAGAAACTATTTTGGTTAAAGTGATCTCGCACAAAAAACGAGGAGGAAAAAATAAAAATACACACTTCTTTTTGTTCGCCATCATTGTGGAAGTGAAACTGCCTGACAGTTTTTCTTTGTTCCTTTATCTTTATGCTGGCAAAATTAATGCAACACATTAAGAGAAATATTGCAGCAGAGGCGGCGGCGGCGGCAATGGCGGTATATTCTCCATTTTTCTCATTTTTACACAGCTCGAGCTTTTCCCAGACATGCACTGAATTTCTTGCATATTTTCACGTTCTGCTCCGCACGCGCTTTTCCCATCGCCTTCGTCCTTTTATTTTATTTATGCTATCACTGCAACCTGAAATGCTTTAGCCACACACACACACACACTTATCCACTCACTGCAGGATACAGCCTTTATGTGAAATTTCTTTCCTGCTGCATCTGCTTTTTCCTTCACAGTTCAGTCGGGCCATAGGACATATGGATGAAGACTTTAGTAAAATTAAGAAAAATATAAAAAGACATTCCGGCAGAAGGAGCAGGAGTGGAGAGCGGCGTCCTACGAAAATGAAAAAATAATGCTGCCAAATGCAAAAATAATATAGGGAAATGAGTAAAAGGGTCCTCTGCCTCGGCTCTGTCACTTGGCTTTTTCGTTGGGAAAGCCCCTGAGAAAATATTATGTCAGCAAATCAAATCGATTGTGTGGGAAAGCATTAGCCAAACAGCCAAGGGATCCGCTTCGGAGCCAAGTCACTCCGGAGTAATTCCCAATTAAAAAGCCGTTAATGATGCGTGGCCCCAACACGACCATCGCAACCCCAAAGCCCCGCAACGTGGCTCCCGTAACGCCTCAATGGCAGCCTGATTGAAAACTCAAATGTGCGTCCCGGATCCGCCCTCGTCGTCTGGCTGCTGGGCCCGGAGTTTATTGTTTGTCTTTGACACTGACGTACTCTTTTTAATTTCGACGGATTGTCCGCAGACAAACGAGGCATTTCCGTGCCTGATTATCGCTTCTGGTTGGGAATCCACTGGGAGCCCGGCTAGCTGGGAACCCGAACTCCGCCGACTCGGGTTTAATTATGAGCTGCTAGGAAAATGCGTGGGAAATCGAATGAAGTTCCCGAAGGACCAGCTGGGGGTAACATGAGCAGTCACCTGTGGTTTCCGTCTGCCGATTTGCATTTACCTGTTTCACCAACAGACTCACAACTCACTCCTGACGCGGGCAATCGAGCAGTCACGTCATCGTTGGGGGCATTTCCATCGACTGCAAATCCGCGAAATGAATTTAATGAAGAGTTGTATGCCAGTGTCGGGATGCTCACAAAATATCATTTGCCATTGCCTTTGCGTTGCCATTTTCACATTTTCAGTTTCCATTTCCAATGGCCTTGGCCCAGCCAAATAGAGAAGAGCAGCCCACAGGAAAGACTTTGATAAAGTGCCAAAAAAAAAAAAAAATAATAAAAGCAAATTTTCAAATTGAAAACCTATAAAAATAATAATAATTTAGATAGTAATGTCTACAAATTAAATGTTAATAAATACAGTTGTTTAAGTGTTAAAAAAACATAATATATTTGTATTATTTACTTTAAATTTTGTACTAAACTAATTGGAACCGTTTAAACTCGCTCAGATCTGTCTGTAAAATCCACAAATGGCCAGCACTGCCGCCAACTGTCGACTGTCAAAAACTAATTAAAAATCTGACTGGTCCACGGCCATTGCCATGGCTAATGTGAACGTAACTAATTTTGATGGCCCATTGATTTGCTATGCAGATCACAAACTGCCAGCCGAGGCGAGTTGGACGGCTCTGAATTTCCGAGTCCTGCGGGGCCATTCGACTCCGTTCGAGTGCATAAATCACATGTTTAACTAATTAAACGAAACGACGAGTAACGGTGTATGCAGGGTCGGTCAGCTCCTTTTAATGAGTAGACAAAATGCCACCGTAAATGCGGGGCAGGAACGCCCACGAAAGGCGATCATAAAATCTACGCTGCTCTCCGGTTCCACATGCAGATGCAGTCCCCCCGGGGCAATAATCATAAAAATTGCATATTAAAATTCATTCGGGGGGCGTGAACAGCTTCAGTTTTCCTCTCCTTTCTTTTCCTTTTTTTTTTATTGTGCGACGCCTTTAAAATGTTTATAAATACAGTCAATTTGCCGTCAACTTTTGAACTTGCCACATGTGTTCGGCTTCGGCTTTCGAGCTGTAAAATGTCAAGGGGTCAACGGCAACGCGAACCATGATAGAATTATACAAGGTAGTCCACTCGGCAAAATCATAGTCCCCTGATGTAAGTGCGAGTGAAATAGCATTCAATAGTTAGTGTGAGTGAAATGGCAACATAGTGCTTCGATTAACCCGTACACGGTGCATGGGGCTAAAAGTTTCCTTAGTTATGACAAGAGTTGTATTGTTTATAATTTTATATTTATAAGTTTTGAATTTGACATAATTCTTTGTTTTTGTTGTTTAACAGCCATTCTCTTGTTTAAGCTCTTAATTCCAAAGTATATGCGTATCTTAAAATAAATAATAAATAATAATACATATAATAAAATAATAAATATAAATTCGAGTTGATTTATTTTGTTTTTAAATGTCGATGATGGTTTCATCAGACCTCCATGCGAAACCTCATCTACGTATGTAAATGTAATTTTTTTTCTTGGCCACTTAAGGGTTAAAGCTCTGAAAAAAAAACCGTCCACACACAACCTTTCAGTTCGACAAGCAGGCCATGCACTGACATTAATGGACCAAAACCCGAACGACTTCGGCAGTCGAGTGGACTACCTTGTATAATTCTATCATGACGCGAACGGGAACGGCTCATTATAATGCCGAATAGAGTGAGTGACACTTTTTCCAGAGAGCCCACAGATTTGTTCGAATTGGAATTATGTTTTATTTTTTTGCTGCACCATCGCTATCGCTGTGCTACATGCATGTCAACGCAATCATTTGACATTTTGACAGGAAATCGGGAAAGGGATCGGGATCGGGACCGAGGACGGGGACAAGGAGCAGGGATCTGAATCCAGGGAGCGTGAGTGCCGGAGGCTAGTTCAAGTTGAATGTCGCGCCTGCGTGGCTCAAATTACAAATTAAACAGCGACAAGGTCGAGGTTTTCCATTTCCCTTGGCTAAACAAAATCGAATTACCGCCTGACAAATTTACTTGTTGACTGCGATGAATGCGAGTGGGGGAAGAAATCTGCTTTTCCGACACCTCTGCCTCAGAAACTTTCCTCTTTTGCCGTTATTCAGTGAGAAGTGCAAAGATCTTTTGACTTATTGCCAATTTGGCAGAGCATAGAAGAAAGCATGAGTTCATTTGTAAAGCAAATGTTTTATTTGGCTGTCCCTTTGTTTTTCTTTCAGTCAACTGGAAAGCTAGCTTCAGGCAGAAAATAATGGTGAATTAATTTTAAATAGTTTGAATGCAAACAAATACAAGCAAACAAGCAAACAAGCTTGGCAATAATCCTGTTTTGACAGATAATCAGAGCTCCGTTCTCAACCCCTTCGAACTCTGTTTTATTTATTTATTTAAAGACAGTCCCAAATCACATTCGAGGCGTACACTTGATGTCTATGATTGGAAATAAACAAAAGCAATAACCATTTCTTTGCCGCTTGTTACCACAGCGAGAATTACCCCAGATAGATGGATGGATGTATATGTGCATCCCTAGGCCCAGCCCATCAGCAACTCACTCGATGGAGAATGTGGAGTAAATAAACGCGACCATTTGCAGCATTGTCAAGTGGAAAATCATTGACAAATTTATGAACCCACCCGACTGCGACACACACTCCATACCGATGTTTACAATATATCCCTGTCACGCCGAGAGCGGAAAGCATAAAGTTAAAAATTTCATTAACAAATCGACACCGCACCGTCCGTCTCATTATTCCGCAACAAATAAATTTTATTAAGTACGTATTTTCAGTGTGCTTTTCCCCCTCCACTCGGTTTATTTACGATTTTTCATTAAAGTCATTTGGCCGGCCGCACATAATCCCCGCCCTCCGCGCCGCAGAACTTATGAAGTTGACCAAACATTCGGCTCTCGAGCCTGTCCATTAATGTTGCGGCGTATTTGTTGCAGTTCGTTTGTAAAAAATAATAATACAATTTCACTGACAATTTTCCCTGCAGCATCGAATGCCAAAGACTAATTAATTGGTTGCGCTTTAAACAAGCAAACCCAACCGTTGGAAGTGCGATAGTGAGTCCGCGGGTAGTGAATCACTCGGGGATTTAATTGAAATTGAAACTTGTCCCAGACAAATCAAAATTCGGCGACAGCAGCGCTGCCCACGCACATGAGAAATTACCTTAAATCTCGCGAAAATTAATAATCACCCGGGGAGGAAAGCGTTCGACAGCGGAAATGGCCGAGTGTTTTCCCAAGAAACGTCGCCGCGCGTCATCGCCACTCTCATAAACATCAACTCGCATCGGCATCAGGCTGCTACCAGGTCTTTAGGTCTTGGCCAGGAATCACTTGCGCTACACTCGGCGAAATTTTAGATAATATGTAGACAATTTTTAAAGAATGTAGAAGCATCGGAAGTATGGGAACCAAGAAGAATCTGAATCAATCAAGGATTTCATAAATGCATTTAAATAAATGTATAAAAATATAGTAAGCAATATTAAGAGCTCATAGTTATTTATAAATTATTAACTATTAGGCCCTTTTATATTTTTATGGCTTATAAAATATTTTATTACCATTTCTATAGTATATAATATTAATTATAAACCAAAATTTAAGATAAAATTTCACTTCTAAGACAAAATATGGTGGTACTTCCCGTTTAAAAACAAACAAATCTAGAATATTATTACCTCTTTTTCCGCCCAGTGCACTGACGCCAAAAAGTATGGCCAAAATCGACTAATTTTAACAATGATGTAACTTGTCGCAATCGGGGCGACAACAAAGGCAGCGACCACACAGTTTTGGCCACGAGCCCAATCTTTTGGCCAGCCCTGCGACCGATTCGCAAATGACAAGCGCGCAAGTGGCAGGAATTGTGTGTTAAACGTTTCTGAATTGACGTGACGCGACCGGGCCGAGAGCAGAACCTCCTCCTCGACCAGCCGGCCACCCTCAGACCCATCCATCCATCCAATCCCAACCCATGCCATCCCATCCCATCCGGGCGAACGTGCGCCAAAGCGCGACGCTTGCCAAAAATCATAAAAAATATATGGCGATTATAGGGGAGAGATGGCATCATTTAATGATAAAGTACCGAGTGAGGCTGGAAAGGGAAGTGTACTATAGATGGAGATGGAAATGGAAAAGCGGCCACTGACTCATGCTCTGGAAATGTCACTATGGCCAGTGGCAAGGACCTAGGACAATGATCGCTTGGAGGAGGAAAGCAAATAGTTTCGCAATTGCACTTCTGTGGCGTAAATTAAAAACATATTGTCAGGCATTAGCGGTGATAAAAATAGCCCAAGAGAGCGTTATGCACTTTAAGATGCATTCTGGATGCTGGAGCGAGTGTGCCTGCCTATTTGTCGCAAATGGTAAATGACTTGCCTTAATAAATTTAGCCCATGCTCTCAGTACTTTCATATAGAGTACAGTACTTACGCCCGCCTGGTAGAGAAACAGAAGAAAAAAAAACACACAAAAAAAGGCTAAAAACAGGGAAAATGATGTGGCAATAAAAAATAGTGCTAAAACATTCGACAGGCCTAGCGGCAGCAAGCACAGCAGCATTGCAACGCATCGCACACTTGCACACCATGTGTGCACCGCCAAGATCGCTGGAAATGTGCGGGGAAGTGTAACTGGGCGGAGGCGGAGGATGAGGATACGAGATCAGATCGGATCTGGGCGGAGCAACGAGCAGCGACACTGCCACGGTCAAGTGCACTGTGGAAAATGCGAGGAGTGGTGACCAGCAAGATACCGAATTATGATGATTAATTCACTGAAAAGTTATTATTTTACATATTATTTCTAGTAACAGTATTAAATAAAATTATTAATAAATGATAAACAACAACAATAAATGAATTTCCAATAATATTGACCAAGATCAATAAGTCATTAAAAGTGTTTCAATACAATATATTGTACGTTTTTCTTTAAATTGAGTTCACATAAAATTGACTTCATAAAATTAAAGAAAAATCCATAGGTAAGACTTTCCTCGGTTCAACTCGACTTCTTTGAAAGACTCGTCGCATTTTCCACATGGCACTCGCGGCACCAGCTCACGCATAATTTCTATACACAAACATAAACCTAAAATAACAGTATTAACAAGAACAACAACAACCACATCAGCGGTACTGAGACAAAACGAAGAAAAGTACAACTAAAATATAGAGGGACGATCGGGAAGTTGGAGGGGGGGTGAGGAGGAGCGACGCCGACTGAGGCAGAAGCAGAAGCGGCAGCACATGTGCGTGCCAAAGGCAGGAAAATTGAGCAGCAGCCACGACATCAGAAGCCAGTGCTGAGAGTTTGTCCTTTTTAAAGTCTGATCTATAATTTGTTTTAAGGGAAATCAAGTAAAGTTTTGTATTATTTAAATCTAATACAAAATAAGGGGAAACCTCAATTAAAAATGGAAATACTTACAAGGTATTGCAAATAAATAAATAATAAATAAAATTAAATACTTTTAAAAAAATTTTAAAAAGTTTATCTTAGAATTGACATAGATTTAAATATATTTAGGAACCTTTCTTCAAAATTATTTGTTCGTATATATAACAAAACCGCATAAATTAAAGGAAATGGTAATTTAAAATAAATAATTTCTGTTAAAAAAAATCTAAAAAAAATCAAATTCAAGCATTTTTATTAAATGCTCCTATTATAAATTATTTCTGGGTATATAGTTTCTTTACTTAAATACTTTTTAGTCAGCACTGTTAGTTTCATCGACAGCAGCAGAGACAACACCGATCGCGACAGCGACGCTGGCAGAGTGTCGCAGCGGCAGAGACACCATCAGCATCAGCATCACCCTCAGCATTAGCATCGGCAGCAGGATCCAACGCTCCACTCTGCTCCCGTAGCCGTGGAATATCCGACGATCCCGTTCCGGACATTTAAATATCGTGCGGCGGCAGTGCTCCGGCTTATTGTCAGCTAGATCGCGGTGGCGTGAACATCGCAAGTGCCAGCCGCTAATGAGAACTGATTCACGTCGTCCGAGGTTTGAACTAGAATAATATAGAAAACTCTTCGTTTTCCGTGTGTGTTGCGATTCCCTGTGTGTGTTCCCTGGGATTTCCCGCGTTCAGTGGCCGTAAAAAAAGTTGGCAACCTTCCCAAAAAAAAACCTAGCGCTAGACAACTGCCGGAAATGCGAAAGTGAAAGCGGCCGGCCAAGAAGAACAGACAGCAAATCACCAGAGACCCATAACATGTCATCCACGCTGAAGAGCCTCGCCAGCCAGGGCGGCGGCGGCGGAATGTACGTCAAGACGCCGGATCTCGGCGGAATCTCGGGCAAGGAGCTCCCGGGCAGCTGCTACGGAGGAGGCTTCATGTCGCCCCCGCTTAGTGCAAAGATGACGACCGGCGACGCGGACCGGGACATTTTCCGTGTGCCGGCCAAGGTGGAATCTGGAGGACACAACAACTTCGCCGCCGGGGAGCTTCAGTTCCCAGACTTCTCACACCTGTGCTTTGCCGCCGAGACACCCAACTCGGTGTTCAGTGAATGCCACGCTTACTTGAGCCAGGATCAGCAGCGGGACTCGGACCAGGATCACGATCAGGACGACATAGTGTGCGCCGCTGCGGGAAATACGAGCATGCCATACCAGCAGGGTCAGTACACACAGCTTAACCGAGAGGATATCTTCCGCTTCGAGCCGGAGGACATAGCCCGGCTCACGGGAGAATCCGACCTGCCGGGTCTGCTGCAGCCACCGCAGACTCCGTACACACCGTACACCCCGTACACTCCGTACACGCCCTGCAGTGCCCAGAACAGTCAGCCGACGGCAAGCGACTCCGTCAATCTGGATATTGATTACTTTAATTATGATGAGATTAATTGCCAATCGAAAAACCAATCTCCGTGCTCATCACCGCCGCTAGATGCCTGGCTGAACTTCAATCTCGGCGAGATATCAGCGGCCGCGTCGGGTGCCTCGCCCAAGCTGGGCAACGTGTTTGAGGAGTTTGTCAAGGACGAGCAGGAGCCCTCACCCTCGCCCACCAAGTTGCCGTCGATGAACTCCACGTTCGGCACCCCCAAATGCATTCCCATGTGCGCCAGCAACTACGACGACTACTCCAACCTGTACCAGGGATCGGCCTACGCCGCCGAGAACTATCAGCATAATTTAGCGCAGGCCGTGGAGAAGCCCAACCGGGAGCACAAGGTAATTTGGACCATTGACGAGCTGGACGAACTAGTGCTGGGCGAACAGCAGCAATTCCATCAACATCAACTGCAGCAGCTGCAGCAGCAGCAGCAGCAACAGCAAAAGCAGCAGCAACATGAAGAACTTCAACAGCAATTGCAATGCCAAAAGATAAAAAATCTGGATCTGAATTACATGGAGGATGATTTAATCAAGGAGGAACAGTGTCGCAACTTGGACAGCGAAGATGAGGAAAACTACCTGGAAGAGGACGATGACTTGGACAACGAGGTGTTTGCTCTGCCGGCGGAAAGTGATCCCAAGCCGGATTCAGTTTGTTGCGATCCCGAAGCAGAGACGGAGGCCGAGCCTGTGCCTCTGATCTGCCGGTGGACGGGATGTGACGAGGAGTTCCCGCATCAGCAGGCCTTTGTGGAGCACATCGAAAAGTGTCACGTGGATGTGAGGAAGGGCGAGGACTTTTCCTGCTTCTGGCTGGATTGTCCCAGACGCTACAAGCCCTTCAATGCCCGTTACAAGCTGCTGATCCACATGCGAGTCCACAGTGGCGAGAAGCCCAACAAATGTCCGGTAAGAAATCTATATTTTACCTTGTCTATGTAGGATTATATATTGACTCAAGCTCTGATATTGAGAAAGAAATTGCCAGAAGTTTAGAAGTTTAGTAGAACTTATTATATTTCAACTTTAATATTAAAGTTCCAGGAAATATATTTAAAGCCTTGCCTGAACACATTAAAACATTGTCTTCGACTCCCTTTCTCTTTCTCTGTGGGCCAACCTTTCAAATCCCTCATAGAATATCATTTTTCAAAATCAAACAATAGATTTCGATTTGGCTTGCTGCTGGCCAACAGCTGCTACATTTGTTTATGTGGGGCGAGTTGTGCGTCCAAACAAGACTTTGGCCGTGGAGCACCGAACGGAGCCCATTTGGTGTTTTAGTTTCCCTTTTCTGTTTGTATCATGCACGTGTTGACATTTGATGCGGCATCGTTGGGATGATGAATTGTGCGGCGCAGGGCAATCACAGAAATTGACAGGACGAGAGCTGCGAGATGCGAGTGGAAAGTCCACTTGAAATAGAGTTGCTGGTAATGTTATTAAGGCACACACTATATCTTCTACATCTGCCGCCGGCCATCCCGCCATGCTCTTTCATTTTGATTTTTGAGTAATTGATGGATCCTTGCTTGTTTTTCCAATGGCAAAGACTCTCTCACTCCTCCGGCGGTGGCCGTGTCATCAGCTTGGCCCACTGCCTCTGCCATTACACTTGTTTCGTCTCTCTTGCAAAAGTGTAATTTGCCCTTTCAGGTGTCCGAATGGGGGCACGGGGTGTCCTGTGTGACACCTGCGGGCAGCGGGAGCATCTGCAACATCTGTTGCGAGGTCACAATTTTATGCGTCCTTCCAGCACTTCCTTTCGCAATTTCTCAGTTCCATCAGGCCCATCTACCCCATGGTAATTGCAATTTTCGATGACACCCCGTCTTTTTTTGTTTTCCCCTTACAGTTTCCCGGCTGCAATAAAGCATTTTCGCGTTTGGAAAATTTGAAAATTCATCAGCGCTCGCACACCGGAGAGCGGCCTTATGGCTGTCAGTATAAAGGCTGCCTCAAAGCGTTCAGCAATAGTTCGGATCGGGCGAAACATCAAAGGACGCACTACGACACGGTGAGTACCCGTCCTTATATTGGGGAGTGTGTGTGGGGTGTGCGTGGGTTGTGCGAGGTGTGCATGTGTGTGTGGGCCAAGCAATTTGCAATGCGTGTCAAAAGGAAATTGAAGAGCTCGCGGCTTCAGCGACGGCAGCGAAGGATGCCCAGCTGGGTCCTGGAAAGCGCAGAGCGGCTTTAAGATTTAATGGCTGCCAAGGCGCTTAGGGGCCCAGCTTGCAGTCGCTTGGAAAGACCAGGGATTTCTGCTGCTCCTGCAGCTCCGGCCACTGCTGCTGCTACGGCTGCCAGGATGACATGTGCACATTTCGCATTTCGCTGCCTGAGTGATTTATAGTTTTGCCTGTGTGCCGTATCTGTGTGAGCGGGGCCCGATGGCAGAAGTAAAAGCAACAGCAGCAGCAGGAGCAGCTAAAACAGCAGCCGCGTCAGTGCGTACAACAGACGGAAAAAAGGTCAAAACAGCTGGAAAGGCCAGCAATTCAGCCAGCAGCAATGGCAACGGCAACACAACGGCAACAGCAGCACAACCAGCAGCAGGCAAATCGAATAAACTAAACGAGTTACTTTCCTGGCCTCGCGGAAGGGGAGGCTGACAGGGGCTGGGAAATGGGGCGGGAGAGGGCAGCCAATCAGGATCACAAAGGATGCAATGTGTGCTAGCTTGGTGCTCCACCAACGCTACCATTGATGCACTTAAAAAAAATAGGATATATTTTGAGCTAAAAGTGGAAAGAAACTTTAAAAGAATTTTAATTAAATACGGAATACTTTATTTTACTTCTCGATTTATTTAAAAGGTTTTTAAGATAAAATCAATGGATTGTCAAAAATCCAATGCCTCTTAAGATGTACATATTTAATTTCTCATTTAAAAATACATTATTTAGAGGGAAATTTTTGAAACTCTGTTCATTATTTGTGCCAGTGCATGGCTTTTGCCGTTGTCGCTTTCGGCTCGCGGCTGCTGGCTGGCCAGAATAAACAAAATGCAACATGACATTTCAAAACGATTTGACTTGGCAAATACGCTGGCCCTCCGTTCCAGATGTTATGTGGGTGTGCGAGTGTGTGTCTGTGTGCGAGTTAGGACTCGCCTGCGGGGCGTGGGCGAAATCAATTGCATAGTTTTAGGCGGCGGCACTGAGCCGCTGCGGTTTCCATCGAAGCTGCGTCAATACTAATACATCGTTCTCCCCATTCTCTCCGCTCCATTGAAACAGAAACCCTATGCCTGCCAGCTGCCCGGCTGCACCAAACGCTACACGGATCCCTCCAGCCTACGCAAACATGTCAAGAACCACGCGCTGCGCAACGCCAACGGACAGCTGCGACGCAAGTCAGCCGGAGGAGCCACGATTTCGACCGCAGGCGCCAGCGGAAGGAGGACGGCCAAAACCCGTCGCCACTCGGAGTCGGCCCTGGCACAGGTGCAGGTTCAGGTGCAACAGACTGGAGCAGGTCAAGTAGCTCCAGGGGTGCCAAGTGCAACAGGGGAACAGCGCCAGCAGCGCAGCAATAGCTGCAGCGATGCTTTGCTGCAGACAGACCGCAATGGCTGCGGCACTGGAGTGCCAGCTAATAACAATTCAATGAACTTTAATGAGTTGTCAAATTGCATTGTCATCATTGAGCACAATCGGAATGGGCCAACAACAACGGCAACCGCAGCGACAGCAGCAGCATATGGCAACTACGACGGCAGCAACAACATGGCGTCCGCACCGGAAACGGATGCGCTGAGCGTTTGCAGCAGCGGCAGCCACAACAATTACAATGGCTACGACGGCCATGGAAATATTAATCAATTAAGCGAGCTCGAACAATTGCTGACGACGCCAAATGGCGTCTGCAAGCAGATTCCGGCTGCTAATGGGATTAGCTCCGCCACCGTCACCGCCGGCAACTGCAACTCCAACTCCGGCAGCAACGGCAACAGCAAATGCCAATTGAACGAGTTTGTGTCGTTCGAGTACGTGACGAAATATCTCGCGGATGTGTACGAGCCGCCATCCGGCGCACAGCGGCCCAAGAGCCCCAGTCCCGCGGCTAATTTCCATTTGCATCCCGAGTTCGACAACAACTTCGACATGCTGGACTTCCAGCAGTTCATATGAATTGACCTATTTTAGTATCTAGTTTAAGCGAGAGAAAGCCCACCAAGGAGAGCCAGTGAATTCAGCAAGTCCAAAGATCTCAGTGCCTGAGCCCTTATAAGAATGCCTACCATTAAGTAAGACATCGCCTGTAAATAGCAAATTACTTCGTAGGAGCCCTAGGTTAAGTGTTTGAAAGAAACGTTCCTGAATTTCAATTTGATCCAGTGATTAGCCGTGTCTTCCACCAGCCCACCCTTCCTGCCACGAAAAGTGAATCATTAACATAGTTAGAATAGACTCGGTTAAGTGCTATCTGTAATTGCTTCGTTAAAGTTGTCAGCATAGCGCATTGACCATAATAAATAATTGTATTTGCATAATTTCTTCTTAAAAAACAGCATTTGAATATTTAATTTGAATTAAATATTTATATTAATTACTTGCCATGCGGAGCGCAGAAAAAAGGTAATGAAAAGATTGCGGGCAAAGTTAATGAATTGAATTAATAAAGATTTAATGTAACGTCATAAAAATGGAAGGTGTTGCATTGCAGCCACAATTATATATCTATTGGACATTTTCAAAAGCAAACCGCTTCTTAGGAAATGTAAGCTTAATGGTTTTTTGAAATTTGTATTCAAACTGTGGATTTCAATGCCCAGATTTATCCCCTTAAGACGCAATGAGTATGAAAATCAGATATAATTCCCCGTTGAATACATAATGCCCGGTAATGCATTCTTTTTCGATTAAATACCTCACACCTGGCCCTGTCCGCGGGACTCGATGCCGAGGGACGTGGACAACATGCTGGGATTTCCGTTTCATGTTTGGTCATCTGACTTCACTTAATTGCTGTGCATTCAAAAAATAATTTACAGCGCTTACAACGGACGCGATGGCTGCGCATATTTACATAGTTAATTTATTATTCGCATTTAACACATTCTCAGTTCTCCATTTATTTGTTTACATATATCGAATTAATTTGCGCCGCATATAAAATTCATAAAAATCGGCTTATGTCTTAAATTAATTTGAGTTCATGTCGCTCACTGATTTCGCCCTTTGCTAATTTGATTTAAGGGAACACAGAGGTTCTCCCTGCTCAATGATGGCCAAATTAAGCGTTAAACCTTGACAAACCTGCCGGACCATCTGTGCAGCACTGCCGATGCAATTTTAGTGACTTAATAAGGCCCGAATGGCCTCTTTCGTTAACTGGCTGGAAATGGCTATGGTCATGGCACACAGCGGGCTGTTAATGTGTAAACAACTGCCAACATATCAATGGGTAGGGGAGGATGCGAAATGCACGGGCAACGGCAGAGGCTGGGAGTCAGACTCCGCGGCGGAGGCGGAGGCAGTCAGGCAAAAATAAAGTGGCCAGAAGCATAACCCCGTTAAATGAGCAGTTAACATTGCCCGTTATGAACTTTAATATTAATAACCATTTATGCTTATGACAGACAATGAAAGCGTAGCCAGCCCCCGTGCTGCTCTCCCCGCTTCCCGCGTTTCTGTTTTCGCTGTTAAACTACAGCCCTAAAATGCTTAGGGCGGGTTTGGGGTTTTGGGAGGTGCTTCTCTGGCCGGCCGGGGTATGCACATGCATTTAAAAATGCTGCAAGTACGCCAGTTAATATGCAGCCCGACATGGTCTTCATTACAGCCCGCAAACACAGACAGGGAAACGCACATACATACAAGCGGCACAACAGGGACAGCAGCAGCGTCAACAAAATAAACAACAAAAATGTAAAGCAATTAAAAGCAGCCTGGCAGAACACAACGGAATATCCCACATAAAACATGAGCAAAGGCATGATTTTGACTTTTTTGCTTGCTTACTTTCTAGTCTTCCGCCCCGACTCCCAAATAATTTGGGATATCCTCCAGGGATCGCATGTAAAATACCCTTTCCTTGCATCCAAGGAACTATATATTTAAAATCATTATTATAGCTAAATAAATATTTAAAATTGTATTCAACAGTTTATTTTAAAGGGAAATATATTACATTTTTCAAAAAGACCTTGAAACCCGCATATCCTTTGGTTTGCCCTATTAATGGGCATCTGAATGAGTGCAGACTGCCTGCTGAGGGCTACAAGTGGTCATTGGCTCTCTCGGTCCGGTTTTCAGTCGGTTCCAAAATGCATTTTTTGCTTTTGGGATTAAAGGGCAGGGCTGAAATTGTGCGGCCAGTACACGCTAAATATTTACAAGCTCAACGAAAACATCGGCAAACAAAAAGCACAGACAGAGATCGGCGGGGGCGTTGGAGTTTTATGAAAATGGCCATTGCCGAGCCCGCATGCGGTGGAGTAATTGTTATGCCAAAGTCGGGCTTACAATTTATTTTTGTTAATCAGCAAACGCCCCATTCCGGGCGGGAGCCACGCCCCCAATGCAGCACTACGCGTGGCAAGTGGCAACAATTCGACAATTATGTGGCATTGCCATTGCAGCCTTTGCGCTGCCGTTCGTTTTTATTTTAATTAAAAACTCCCCCCGGCACAGAGAGGGATGCAAAAAGCGAACAGGTTCGCAGGTTCCCACACCTGCAGGCAGCCCATGAGCAGGAGCAGGAGCAGGGACAGGACCAGGACCAGGTTCCCCAACCATGTGTTAGAATTTTTGATATTTATGGGCCACCGCGCGCGCCGCGTTGGTTGCGGGGCAGGAGGACATGGCCAAAGGCCAGTGCAAAGTTACAGCCCGATAAGCATCTGCACCCTCCCAGATTTTCGGTGCGTTGCGACGGTTTTTAGCTCGGTTCGCTTTGGCTCGCAATTATGCAAATCGAAAGATCGCCACACAGCGATATCCTAAAATTCCATGCATTTACAATTTTCTAATCAATGGAATTTTAATTTTAATTTCCAAGGCTGCTGCCCCGCGAACTGCGGTGCGATGGCGATGGTGTGGCAATGTATCTTTGCGGCCTGCAAATTACTGGCTCCGAAAATGGTTTCATTCGGCGTCGCGGCTCGCAGAGCAGAATTTCAAGGGTAAATCTTTCGAATGGGTTTTCGATTAAGGCCTCTCTGTTCGATGTTTCAATTAAATCAATCCCAGTGTGAAATGTGTCACTCACATGTCGCCAGCGAATCGCTTTGTTGCCTATTTACAGGCGCTGCCCACGCGAGTGCAACTGCGACTGCGAATGCAATTCATATTCATTTTAATTTAATCAGGCTCTTGCGATGTCGCTCAACCATAATTAAGTTTCTTTCCAGGGGCCAGAAGCTCTGCGTGCGCGCGAGAATAAAATCAAAAAATATTTATAATGGGAAAAAATTGAATAAATCAGAGGGATGTGCACCATATTTTACAGTGCGCCTCCGCAGTGCGACTAATGCAATAAAAGACGGCTGCAGCACGTTTTTAAATATTCAATTAAATAAATAATTTTCATTTCAAAAACCCCGCGTCCGCTGGCGAATGCGATTTTAAATATGGAAATACTTTGCACGCAGAGTGGCTGCATATTGCAGGCGGCATTTAACGCCGGGATGGCTCCGGCCGGGGCTTGGCTCGTCAAAGTTTCCAGTCATCTGGTGCGGCACGAGAGATGCACACACATGAATCATGGCCTGGTTGCCGAAAGTTTTCCCTCGGAGTAATTAGAGGACTTAGTCCCTTGCCAGGGGGACTCTGTCTGACTGCTTAAAATGCTCTTTTGGCGTTAAATTTATGACAACCGCACATGTTGTTTGCAGCTAGAAACAATAACAGCCACCAAGGGCGTGCAGCAACAAAAAGGCTGCGGCTCGAGTCCTCGAGGCTCCGCCTTGCCTTGCAAAATGCTCGTTAGAAAGTTTCTAAGGTTGCGGCCGCACACGGAACAGCTGCGCCGCCAAAAAGGGAAGGATTCTCCAAATTGTTGCACGCTTTCCTTCGCTTTGGGGCGGTCACATTGTTGCTAAGCTATACACACACACACATAGACACGTGTAAGGACTGCTCCTGCGACCGGCTGATAAGCTACACTGGGAGAAATACGCTATTAAAGTGAGTAAATGAGTTTATTTTTATTTATTTTTCGAAATTATTTATATAGATTTACCCAATGGATTTTTTAAATATAATACATTCAAAGATTCAATTTTTTATTTATTTATTTACACTTAAGTGTCCTTTAATTTAAGATGCCATCGTCATTACTTTTCTTTCACTGTCCTTCGGTGCACACTCATACGCCGTGTGGTACACTGACGTGACCTCCGCTGGTGCGGCAACTGCTCGACTGGCAAGTGGGCGTGGCAGCGAAATTCGGTCCAAAGTGAATTTATTGTTTTGGCCATTACCACTTAGCCGGGCCCGAAAACTTGCCCCAAAGTGCCGTTTATTCTGATGCAAGCCGAGAACTTAAACTGGCGCTGCCCCAGGATGCAAATTGAAAACTCACAATCATGAGGAGCGCTGCTTTAACGTTTGAAGTCCCGTGTTTATCCAAGGTAAATTGCACTCGATAATGAGTGCTTCACATTAATTAAACAACCAAAGGATCGGTCCGGGTTTCGCCGCTCGGCGAATTATGCAGGCAACTACACTTGTCGCGGTTCTCGCAACGATTTCTTTTCCCAGCGACAGCGTAATTAATTGCAATGCGCCACGGCGCGTTTCACGTGGAGGAGCACTTGTTACGGCTGCCATTAGTGGTGCCATCATCGACCCTCGAAATCGCTGTAATTTCCAATAGATAATGAAATGCAATTAGAAAGTGTGTGGCCCACACAAGGCTCCGGCAAGACGGGCGTAAAGTGCAACAATAACAGCAATTTAAACTGGTTTCCCAGCAGCCGCCGACTGCATAATGGCGCATAGAAGTTTGTAATTAAAGTTTGCCGAGGCAGTCAGGTGACGGCGCCACGGGACACCGAGCACAATGCAGCAGGAGCAGCACCAGCAGCAGGAGCAGCCGAAGCAGCAGTGGCAGCAGCAAATCAATTTCCGCATCGGGCTCGCAACCGGACCTAGTCCGGATACGGACTTGGTCTTCGCCCGGACTAGCTCTTTGTCCGAACGATCAACAATGCAGAAAATAAAATTCAATTAACGCGCTTAAATTAAACTGCCACTTCCTGTTTTGATGACATTTTCCTAGCAGCCTGCCGGAGCAGCAGGGGGCATCTGCTGGGATAAGAATGCCCTGCGGTTGGTCATCCGAAGGAGGAGAAGAAGGCCAGAGGAGCTGGGGGAGCTTCGGCTAACGCCTGTTGCTGGCGTTGTTTACTTCCAGCTTGCATCAATATTAAATGGTAAATGGCCTCCATAATGGCCGTCCGACTGCGGCTGTCATTATGGTTGCCGTAGCTTGCCAGGATCCGAGCCCGTTCCAGGCCCCGTAAGGAGTCCAGGCCGTCAGGATGACAAATAAAGCTCATTACGCGCCTGTCCAGCAACCTTCACTTTGATTGACCCTTAGCTGCGGTTGGCATCTGCAACTGCAGTCATAACCGGGCTTGGTGCACTGGAAAATCAGTCAAGCGAATCCCAAAACTGGGAATTACTTTTAAAGACTATAATTTTATATACTAGTCCATTTTTATTCCAAGTCGTTATGCTTAAATTTTCTCTCGTAAATGAATAGATTTTCCCAAGCATTCTTATCTAAAGCAAAGATGCTTATTATTTTTGTCTGTGTGAGTCTAAAACATGCATCTATCAAATAGCTCTGACATTGCGGACTCCCCGGGTTCATTATCGAGGAGTCCAAGTTTGACGCCAAATGACACAAAGTCATTGAAGCGTTCAGGAGTGATTAAATTAAAACTTAACTCGGCTTCCCGGGAGGAACTCTTGGCTGCAGTTCACTGAGTGACAGAGTGCACCAGCTCCGGACGAACTTCTTTGCATCTCCATCTCGGCCTTTGTCCGGGGCCGACAGCCATTCAATTCCTTTGCGCAGTTCGTTTCTTCGCGCGATAAGCAACTTTGGCAAAGGAACTGGCATTTCATTTAATTAGTAAGGGCCCCCAGCAGGAGTGGGAGTATAAGTAGGACGAGTAGGAGGAGCCGGCGGAGGCTCAGGGGCTCCTGCTGTAAAGGGAATGCCGCTGATTGAGATGCTGAAGCTCAAAGCAAACGGAAAGCGGATTTGTAGCAGTAGTTCTGGTGCAGCGTCTGACCCTCGCCCCGTGGTTCCATATCGCAGGGACAGCGGCAGAGCGCGGACACCGAGGCCGGCTTAGCCTGGACAGCATCAACATGCTCCGGCAGGTCTGGGCAAGGAGTGACAGGCGGTGCGGACTGTTCGCTGACAGGCGGAGGCGGCTGCTCCTCCATGGCAGAGCTGTGACTGCTGTCCGATTCCGATTGCGAGACCTCGTCAACGCCCTTGGCTCTTGGTTCAACTCCTTCGCGCTGTAAATCATTCGCAGACTCCGCATTCCCGTCAGGCGGGGCGTCCATAGTTGTCGCTCGGATTCCGCTGGAGTGCCTGCGGCTATCCCTGGTAGTGGTCCGTAGCAGGGTGGCCGCGTTCGAGGGCGAGAGGTTGTCCATGGAGTAGGCGCAACCCTCGAGCAGCTTGGTCAGGAATCTGTTCGTTGGCAAAACCGGCTTGCGCTTCCGCCAAGTGTCCTGCCCCGTAAGCCGGGCTGTTCTTTCCGCCAGCGTGGGGCCGGGTATAGGTCGCGTGATCCCCGCAAAGAGTTTCTGTCGCAGCTTATCCTCCTGGCGGCACATCTCGAATGCGTTGACAATGGTCAGGTAAATCTGCTCCGCCAACAGGGCCCGGCTTGGCGTATAGAAGTCCCGGCAGACCGGACAGCGCTCTGAGCGTATGCGACAGTCCACGCAGACCAGGTGCCCGTTCTGGCACTGCATTGCAGGCGGAGCGATGGTGATGCTGCATACAGGACACTCAATCAGCCGCAGGATGCTTTCCAGGACGAGGGAGAGGCGGCGCAGGCTGGTGGGCATGGGGGCGCAGCAGATGCTCTGGGAATCAAAAGGTAATCCCAAGGGGTTTTTGTTTGCAGGCATTAATAGTAGGTTTATTTTCTTACGTTCTTATCGCAGTCCTTTTCACAGTTGCTGCTCCAGCAGAGCAATGTTACGGCATCCTCCTGGCTCTTCACAATTCGGGCGACTTCAGCTACTCTCAAGCCCAGTACATCAGTGCCATTGACCTGTAATTAAAGTTTTAATGATTTTTTATGAGTAAGTTGGATACTAAAACGTAGTTTATTAAACGGTAAACTCGCGAGTTCAGCTCTGTTTACTCACAGCAACCTTAACGTACTTATTTAAACCCTTAAAAATGACGAAAAACACTAAAAACATAAATGCTCAGAAACATTTTTATACCCTTGCAAGGGTATTATAATTTCAGCCAGAAGTTTGCAAGGCAGTGAACGAGACTCATCCGGCCCTATCAAGCAAATATATTCTTGATCAGCATCAACAGCCGAGTCGATTTAGCCATGTCCATCTGTCTGTTTCTACGCAAACTAGTCCCTGAATTTTAAAGCTATCTGAATGAAACTTGGCATATAGTCTTCTATATACTCTCACTGCTATATATGTCGAAACGGGCGGATCAGAAGACTATATCTTATAGCTGCCATAGAAACAATCGGTAGATGTAGAGCTGGGAATGCAAAACTCAAACTGTCAAACTGTAAACATAAAAAATAATATCTGCAAGGGTATACAAATTTCCGAGTGCCGAAATTAGCTTCCTTTCTTGTTAAACTTCAAACACTGCTTGGCATGACTGCTTGCTAGGCGTCTCCACTGCTTACAGATTTTAAGCCCTGTTAACCGCTGAAGCTGTTAACAGCAGATACTGATAACCGGCAGCAAGTCGCTTGCTTTTGTTTATTTTAATTGTTTACTTAGCGCTAATTAATCTTTTCCTCGACTTCGACTCTTTGCCAACTACACTAGAGTATTGTCATTAGTGCTGGGCTCGACTAGGTCGGGCTCTGCCAGCGCCAACTGTTTATAATTCCGCAACATGTGTTCTACCCCACTCATCGCCCGCGAAAAGCACTGAATAAAGACGATTGGAAGCAATTAAGTTTGCCGCATTGCTATTTTAAGCAGGCTATATCCACTAAGAACAACAAAAGCTAATCTGGCAAAGTCCGAGCCTGATCTATAGTTCAACTTCCATAGCTCCACCTCTGCTAAGGCAGCATTATTCGTAACTCGAACTTGACAAATTTTGGATATCCATAAAACTTGTTTTTCCATAGTTTAAACAATCACCATTTAACAATTCATTTTGAGCTCGATTATTTATTTTCACCAAAGAATATAGTCTTAATATTTAGTTAAAACTTGAATAAGTGTATCTCAAAGTCTAGAGTTTCAGAATATTCAAAATTTAAGAATTTTTGAATAAATTTTGATAAAGTTTAAATTCAGTTATGCTTGAATAGTTTTTCCTGTAACTCAATCCCAAATATTATGCATAGCTTAGAGTTATGGCTAAAAGTTAAATGCATTATGCATATTCTGGCACCTAGGAATTCGAACGCTTGTCCAAGTGTATTCAGTACGCGGTACTCACCTCCAGAACACAGTCGCCGGGCCTGAGGCCGCAGAGTGCGGCAGGTGTGCCAGCTGCCACATCGCATACCTGTCAGTGGTGTGGGATATCGCATTAGCGGGGCGGGGGCAACAAGCCGGCTACTTTGTTACCCAGGGATAGGGGTCCCACTTGCTGCGGGTCAAATGGAATCCGTAGTGGTCGATGCCAGGCGCCGCCCTGGGGATCCTTAGCAGGCGTACCGAGGAGGTGGCTTCTTCTCCTTTTCCATCTTCAGCTTCTCTGGATTCGCATTCGGCGGACCGCGCTGCCTGAAATCCTCTCGATGATTTTCTCATTGTGAGTTGGAAAAACTCGTGGATAGGAACCGAAAAAATTAAACACCGCTGGCAAGAAACGTGCTCCACGGGCGCTCTCGCTTGGCAAACTGTTTTCGTGTGTGTTTTATTTTCGAGTTGCCTCGCAGCTCAGTCACTTTGTGTGAAAAGTTGCCGAGCGCCGATAGCGAAGCTCAGCGCTTTGGGCCGACGCAATAGGCAACGACAAACATTTTGGCCTCAGCTTTTGGCCGCGTTTACAGCTCGCAGCCTCACCTATCGACCCCGCTCCCCTCGGCCACATTGGGCCATCCGCTGTCCGGTATCCGCGATCTGTCTTGATCTGAGCTGTGTTGTAAGTTGTCGGCGCCAAAATGTGGCTACGATCAGGGCCAGATTCGGGGCTGTGCTGACAGCCAGTTGCGGGCATGGAACTCTGGCAAAAGCGCTCGCTAAGTAAATATTTGAACTCTGCCTCGGAGTGGGTTCCGTCACTGGCTTTTTGGGTGCGCTATAAAGTCACAGGTCTTAGTCAGTAAAAGAAACACAAAACCCCGTAAATAATTTTGTATACTTGACTGCAAAAATATAAAGTACATTTGGAAAATATTATTCAAAAATGTTAGTAAATGGGTAAAGAAAAATACTGCTAATATTTGTTACAAGTTTCCGTCATTTAAAAGTTGGACCAAGGTGATCAGGTCACCAATTTTTATACCCTTGCAGGGTATTATAATTTCAGTCAGAAGTTTGCAACGCAGTGAAGGAGACCTTTCCGACCCTATAAAGTATATATATTATTGATCAGAATCAACAGCCGAGTCGATCTAGCCATGTCCGTCTGTCCGTCCGTCTGTCCGTCTGTCCGTCCGTCTGTCCGTCTGTCCGTTTCTACGCAAACTAGTCCCTCAGTTTTAAAGCTATCTGAATGAAACTTTGCACATAGTCTTCTATATACTCTCACTGCTATATATGTCGGAACGGGCCGGATCGGACGACTATATCATATAGCTGCTATACAAATGTTCGATAAATTTTTAGAAAAAAAATTATAACTTGGCTGTTTTTCAACATTTTTGCACCATTTTTTAGATATGGCTATTTTATATTATTCCAGAATTTTGGTAAAAATTTCATGAAAATCAGACGACTATATCTTATAGCTGCCATAGGAACGATCCGGAAATTAATAGGAAAAAAATTATAACTTCGTTGTTTTTCAACGTATTTGCATCTACTCTGAGATATAAGCTTATTTTATTATTCTAGAATTTTGGTATAAATTTCATAAAAATCGGACAACTATATCATATAGCTGCCATAGAAACGATCGGTAGATATAGAGAAAATGTAAAGCTGGGAATGCAAAACTGTAACTGTCAAACTGTAAACATAATAAGTATAGGTAAAATGTAAGGAAACTCTGTTTTGTGAGTGTTTTCAGCATTTAAATCTATAATATAAACATCGAAACCAATCTGCAAGGGTATACAAACTTCGGCGTGCCGAAGTTAGCTTCCTTTCTTGTTTTAACCAAATTTTGTTATCTTTGTAGTCAAAATTGGGAAATACATATTTATATTCTTATTTTTCAAATGAAAGATTTTAAAAACAATAATAATTTAGACTAAATCTTAATTTTATAACCGCAAAAGTTATTTGAAAAAGGAAAATTAAATTAAAATTATTATTTTATTTACAAATTGTAACTATTAAGGTGTATTTAATACAAGCTACTTTGTAATGATTTACCACATATTGAAGAACAAATAAAGTTTCCCAAAACTATTTGTCACCAAAATCGTAAAAATTTACTTTATATTTAAGCTATTACGGCCAACCTAAACAGTTTTAAATCAGATAAAACCGCACCACTTAGCTTTCGATGTACATTAATGGAACTTAATCAGTTTAATTCCGCTTTATTTATTTTAAAAGTTTTCCGACTCTGTAATTAAATTTCAAAATAAACAGCATTATTTTTCAGCTTAATTGCGTGTGGCCACTGCCAAATGGCAGTGCATTGTCAATGGCCGGCAAACAGCAGTGAAGCAAAATATTATTATTTGAAATACCGAAGAAATTAAACCAACAAACGTGGCACTGCATGAAGGTGTCGGACCGCGATAAACACAAACAATGGGGCCCTAAATAAATACCGGGCCTAAACCAGCTCGTCCGTTAACCCTAACAATGATAACTGATGGAAATTGGCAGCTGACAAATGGATTTGGCATTGCTATAGCTACCAAACCTCGTTGGCCCATTTGACTTTCGCTTTTTTGTTGTTTCCTCCATTGAGGAGGTAATTTCTGTTTCCAGCGCCGGTTGCTGCCGAAATAGCATTGAAATTGGTAATTTCATTAAATTTTGCGCCCAGCTAACTGACCCTGGGCAGCACGGCTGTGTGTGATTTCGTTTTGGCTTTTCAATTTGCGAGTTCAATTAGATTTGGCTGAATTTATTTGTGCAATTGGTTGCGAGTGCGGCCGGCGGTTGGCATAAAGTGGCCGACGGAAGCGGACGGCAGCCGACAGCCGTCAGCGGTGTCAAAATTACCAAATACTTACGCAGCCAATAACATCAAATTTCATGTTTCTCCAGCGCCCACGCCCCCTTGAACCTCCGGCCACCGACCACCGAGGCAATTGACTTTTATTAATCGGTCAGCAATTAGGCCTGGCCCAAAGGCAAATGGCCAAATTCAAGTGCAATCACGCAAGCGATTCCGCTTGCTCTTCATAACAGCTTAAGTACTGTGTAAACTCTCCAGCGGGAGCTTTTAAACATCCATTTCATACATGCAATTTGAACATTGAAATTGGGTATTTAGTAGACTCATTGTTCGTTCTATGTACTATGTGCCAGCGGATGCTTCGATTTGCTAAACATTTTAAGCTAAAGGAAAAGCAGCTTATGATAATTCTACGCAACTCAGAGTTTGAAAACGTCTTGTATAGGTATTGGTTGCAGATTTATTGAATGCCTAAAGCACACCTCAAAATATTAGGTAGTTTTTCAGCTTAAAACTTACACGTTGAAGCTGTGTAACATAAACATTCGTGTGCAGTTCTAACAAATATTTCCCATGGTGTTCGGTTTAAGCGGTGCTTAAAAGGCCCCACAATTGTTTATAACCAAATAATAGTTTAAAAAACCGTTCGAAAGCTCGCTCCCACTGAGTTCCAAGCTTCGTCAAAAGGGGGCGCTCTGTCTTAGCCAGTTTAAGCCAAGTTTAGGTCTGCTGGTCAGCTGTGCAGACGCCGAGCCGCAGTTTCTTAGCAGCTCGCAGACAGTGCGCAAGCGCCGCAAGTTCCGCAAACAGTCGCGAAGTGCGTTGCGCCGGCGCCGAGGAAAAGCCTTTGGATTGAGTTATTTCGCTAACGTGCCAAGAGCGGCCAAGCGGAGCGGAGAGTTGTGAAAATTGATTTCCCAGCGAGTCAAAACCCAAAAACGGTGTGTAATTGTTAACAAACCGTGCGAGGCCTAAATGGCTCTAATGGCCCAAACGACCTTACGCTCACCCAGAGCCCTCAGTTGGCTCAGTTGGTATTGTCCAAGCCAAGTTGGTTAACGTTGGCTTAGGTCAAGGTGGTTGCCACCGCGCATTAGCCTCACTCAAAATAGAAAAAGTACAACAACAAAAAACCAACAGATAAATGAAAACCAAAAAAACGCGGAAGTGTAACGCACAATTATAAACGCATTTGCTGGATATTCGCGTAATTAAGACCGCAAAACGAGTTTGTTTCTAGCTGAATTATCGTTTCCTATGCTGTCAGCCAAACAAACGGGTCGAAATTCAATTAGAAATGCGCCAAGAGCAGTGCACATACATATTCAGCCCGTAAATCATACGCATGCGCAACGCTTGCGAAATGAAAACAGAGGCGAAATAAAAACTGGAGACTCACGTTCGACTCGGAATTTACACGGCAGCGTCAGCTCTCAGGCTGCTAATTGTGTGGTACTAGTGCCCAGAGAGTGTGGGACGGGGACGGAGCTGGCTGCAGCGGGACGAGCGCTTCAATGGCGCATGCGCAACAGTTTGCCCGCTTTGGGGTTTCTGGGTCTCTGTCTCTGTCCCCGTTTGCGTCTCCGTCTCCATGCGATTCGCTTGCGGTTTCTTTCGTGTAATTGTGACGCAATTCCGTGTGAGTTTGTTTTTTAGCCAAGCTTCGTTTTAGCCAGCTCTCCTGCGTATACTGAAAACGAAAGCGGGCCAGTGGCTTTCTGGTTGCTGCACCCGCTCGAGTGCAGTCAGTTGCAATTCACACGCGCCTAAGCTCGGTTGGCTTCCGATCGAGAAACAGTTTCTGATAGAGTTAAAACAATTACGGTATAAATATTGCAGCAGGCCTTAAAGAGTCGGGCCTTAATTGGAGCGTTACCCCAGGGGCAGCCCTCTGTTGGTTTTCGTTTCGTAATTGTTTGCCAAGTGCCGCGCTTCATTGACTTTGGCCAAAACAATGGTCCGCAAATTGTTCCTGTGCGCCGCCGCTGCTGCGGTTGGTGGTTTTCCGTCTCTTGGTTATTTATTTTTTTTAATTTTATTAGTGGGTGCAGCAGCTTTAACTAATTTGTGCGGCTTTGAAAAATAATTAAATCGGCCTTTTAATTGCCCTTACAAGGGAGATGCTTGAAAAAAAAATATAAGGCCTTAAAAACGAGGCATAATTAAATGATGGCCAGTCGAGTATCAATCGATTTTAATTGCCGCGGCAGCCCTAGTTTGAATTATTGTTCAATAACTTATTTACTTTCCGCTGTGCCCACTTCACTTGGCCGACGTCACAGCGATTTCATGGCCAATGTCAGCCAGAAGTGAAGTGAAGTGAAGTGATTTGAACAAGTTTGCCGTACTCGCACTCGCACTCGCATTCGTACTCGTATCTGTATCCGCGTGCGTAGACAGCAATGGGTTCTCCATCTACTCGAGGTTTGGCGCGTAAGCAACATAATCAATTTCCCGGCTGAGAAGAATCTTCTAAGCTGACAGCCCCAAGAATCTGACGCAATCCATTGGCTTCAACATCGACTTGGATTGGGAATGACAGTGCCAGTGACTAAGCGAAAGACTCCAGTTGCCAGAACAGCTGGGCTCTCGGTTCTCTCAGCTAAAGCTAAAGCTAAAGCTGGTTATATATGGTACTCAATACTCGATACCGAGTTCCGGCTGGGGCTGCATAATTGATTTTGGCTAGTGCTAAAAACTTTTCAAGAAACCCTTTTTTCCTGCGAGAATGAAGCTGGGAGGCACAAACTTTTGATTTATGTGTGCGAATTTTACGCCCGGCGAACGTGGCGTATGCGTAATTACGACCACTTGGCGCAAAACTTTCTGGGCCCAGCAACTGGCTAATTAATTGAGCTTCAAGGCACCCTCGGCACCTGCCGAAAGGTAAAAGAATAGCCCTCGAAAGGTGCAAATGAGTCAAGTGCCGAAATCTGGGGACAGCGGTTGCCCCAATCACACACTCACGCATAATAGATGCGAGTGGCTACGTGATGGGCATGCCAAGTCAAGTCTGCGGAGCAGGCCAAATAAAACAGTTTGCCACCATTTTTCACAGTCCCTCTCCCTCCATCGTAGAATGTGTGAGTGTGTGCGTTAGGCCAGGTAATTAGATGTGTCTGGCAGACGCCTCAAGTGTTGAAAATTGGCCAAATTTATGTTGGCCAACGCCGGGTGCGTGTGTGTGACATAAATTGCATGAAATGCCGGCGACGTGCGGCCTTGAAGATGTGCTTGATTTAATCTGTATGCCTTGCCTCTCCTTGTAGCCATCATGCTCCAGCTGTGCACTATCTACGCCTGCGCCAACGGGACTCTAGGCCTGAACTTGAGTCGCGCCCCCTGGGACCCCTATCCGTGGGTCAGCGGGGTGCAGTCGAAGTCGAATGCGGAGCGCGGCGGAGTCCGGCTGGGCGACACACTGCTGGAGCTCAATGGAGCCGATGTCCTGGGATTAAGGATCAGCGAGCTGGCCGGCCGGCTGCAGGAGCACTGGCAGAGCGGCGCCGAGCACGTGACCCTGATGATGTGGCGCCAGCAGGCGAGCATCGCCCCGAATGAGGATCCCGCGGAGGCAGCCCACGCTGTGGTGAGTCATTGCCATAAAACTTAACTAGGTATTATTCTTGAAATGAGAATGAAATTATATACTTTGTATAGTTTATAGAGATTAGATATATATAAGTTGCTAGAAAGAATCGATTCATTATGTGCAAAATCCCCAAGCTGTGCTCCTATTCTGGGTTTCTGGCTTAAGACAGCCGCCTAATTGGTTCGCAGTGCTCGGAATGATGGCTAAATGGGCCATTGTCACACATGAATGTGCGGCACAACACCGTTGTTCGTGTGCCGCTGAGCGTTACATAATGCTGATTGGCTTAATGGCAGCTGCTGCTGCTGCCAGTAATTAGACGCTGCAGCCCGGTCCACTGGCTTTGTGGGCTCACCACTGCACCAACTATAGTTTCTCAGCGCCAAGGTTTCTCGCAAGAAAAACGCAAAATTAGTCTTTAGCTACTAATTCATCCATAACCACACGTAATCCATTGAATGGCCATCAAATGCTATTTACGTAAGCTGAATTGCGAACATTTGGAGGTGGCTGTGCGATTTATTTCAGTCTGAGTGGACCCTTATTAATTAATTAAATCTTTTTTTTGAAAAAAAAAACACTTAATTCAGTAAAAACAATAAAATTAAAATGAATTCCTGTAGATTTTAATTTTGATTTTTCGTCTCTAATTTTAAGATCCAATATTATTTTTAAAGAAATAACAGTGTTATGTAGAAGATTAATCACCTTCATCCACACATGTAATTTAATGTAAATATAAATTAAGTATTGGCCATGAATTTATCAAACACTAAGGTCCACCTCAATGTCCCGTTGAGCTAAATTAAGCCCTGAAGCTTAGCTCGAGGTGTTCTTCCGTGCTGATGTCAATACAGGGCGTCGTGGTAAATTGTTTATCTGCCGACCTAGGAGCTGTTTATTTTATTAAATTCAATTGAATCGAACTAACGTAATTCCGTTCTTGACACATTATGTGTACTTTATTACAATTCAATTGACCCAAATGTCCTTGCAGTGGCAGAGTCGAAAATTTAAGCAGGACACACACGCGGAGCAATGGACTTACGGACACTCGGACACCTGGCACAGGTGGTTGGCATGGAAAGTCCATTTCAATCAATGCCGAAGGCTGTGCATCACAGAGTGTGTTGTGCCACTCGGTATGTGTGGGTCTGTGTGTGCTCGGTCAGGAACGTTAAACAGATTAAACTTGCAACCGCAATCAGGCATAGAACGTAATGTGTCTTCCGAATGCAGGCCACCCTTTCGATGGAATTTTGAACATATTATATTACTCGGCGCACGCTCGGCTCGTTTTGATAATCGAATGCAAATTAAATGGAAATCGGCTTAAGTCCGGGAGCTTTCATGGACACTCTTGTGTGAATTATTTACGACGCAGCAGCGAAAGTGTGGCTCCCCAAAAATGTAAATACAATTAAGTGTAGGCGTCAGATTTAATTGATTGAATCCCCGAGAAGTGCCATTTAACCTTGAACAGAAACCAGAAACCCTCAAATTAACCAGCGCTTTCCCGTTCTGTCTTTGTATTTGCAGCAGCATGGAATTAATCAACAATCGCTGCAAAAGTTTGCAACATGCCTGCAACATATTTCCCAATTACTGGAGTGTCCTGTGTGCCTTGAGGTGAGTGGACGATGCGGGACGGACTGCTGTTGCGATGGTCCTTGGAATGTCGGGTAGTGGGCGACTGAGATGGGTCGCCTGCATGTGCATTGCATATCGATGAGGCTGGTCGGCTTTAGTTTTAGTTCGTCATTATCTAACTCGGCTGGGCCCCGAACTCGTCCAAAAACTTAGTTGGCCAGTTGGTCGTTTGTTTGCCTTCGCCAGCCGCTGCTTTCAATCTCACATAAAGAGAGATTCCACTGAGGCATTTAGTAGTTGGGGAACTTTAAATATTATAGTCATAATATCACCAGGTTTCGATCTAAATCAAATCTAACATAAATGAGAAAGACTGCTCAAAATGAAGGTAGTATTTTATTTGCTATTTAATCAGTTTCAAGATCTCAATTATTTCTCTCCGTGCAGTGGAAGTTACAGTCCCAGTCGCAGCGCCATCCTCTTCCCGATCTGAGTTGATTTTGCTGCGCAAGTTTGTTGCTAATCACTTGACTTTGCTCTACAAGTATATATTTATATATACATATATATACATACTAGATATATAGAAAGTTTGGAGCACCGGGCTGCCAGTGATTGCGTGCCCTCGTCAGGACATCCTCTCCTTGCTGCTCCTCGCCTTCGTGGGGGCAGGTACGACGGCCTTGTTGACTCAATTACTCAAACGACGCACATGTCCCGATCCGGCCAGCTTTCCATGCTGCCAGTTAATAGCCGTCGGTTATGTTCCTTTTTTCTCCTTTTTATTTTTTTCAGCCTGCTGCCAGTTTTATTTTGTCCTATATTTCGAGTAGGTTTTTGATAAATGTTTGCTCTGGCATGTGATTTGATTAGTTTTGCAAAATATATACACATAGCACGGGCAGTGTGATTGATTATGTCGTTTAAAAATCAAATATTGACGATTAGAGTGTGCGGCAGCGGAAGTCAGTGTGAATAATCGTGTCAATCGCCTGCGGGCAGCTTCTGTTTTTGCTGTTGCGATGCTCTCCATGCTAGCCCCCGAGCTCGTTGTGCATTTAAATTGAAGTCGGTGACGAGGGCCGGGCTTTAAATTTATTTATGCCCGGCTTGTCAGCAAAAACATAAATTTAATTAATTAGACAAGATAAAGAAGAGTGAGCGGACAGTGCCGGACCGAGTCGGGCTGGGGCCAACCTCCATTCAAAATGCAGAGCTACGAGTATTTTCAAATGAAATTCTCGCCTGGAGCAGCAGCAGCAGCAGCAGATCTCGTTGAAGTAGGAGTGTCGGTGTGTAACCATAAATTAAGCATGTGCAGGCGGCAGCAGCAAGGGCAAGGACATGCCTGATTCCGGAGATATTTCAGATACGGCCACGCTGCAACGCCTTCAGAGCTGGGAGCTGGCAGCTGGCCACAGAGCAGCTTGCACTCCTTTTGCAGCTGCACTGAATAATTTGTTTATTAACCCGAAATCAGTTTATGCCGGATACTCTCGGTCTCGTTCCCAGTCTTACCGCCCTGCGGCTTAGTTGCCAGAGAGTCCTTATGATTTTGCCATTATTACTGTGGCACGGAGACGGCATTATATTGTATTATGAGCGTATTCTGGTGTGTTGCCCCTGTCTTTTCTCATATATGTGTTTGCCAACACACACACAAGTCCATTAAGTTATTAAGGGATTTTGTTTTGCCGGACTTTTAATAGTTGCGCATCCCGATTCCCTTGAATGCTAATCGCCTGCATTAGGCTCCATCCGTTCGGATAAGGATTTGCCAGTGCTTTTCCTTGTTTGACATTAAATCGGGCATGAGCTTGTTTTTGTTTCATTTAAATATGCATAAATTTGCGAGCCATTTAATTTTCATAAATTCAGCAAACAAACGGCTCGCTAAGGCAGGCAAGGATTTGGCCAGCACAATATGATTAATTCATTTTGATTGCACTCGATCGGCCTTGGCCTGGCGGGCTTTTCTTTAATATAAACTGGCAGGCGGACTTTGGCAATCGAATTAATTCGATATGGTTGCCATCGAACGGAAAGATATTTTACAATATGCCTAAAAGCATGCTATGGTGCCTTCGATTTTGGAGCGACAGCTGCTGCTCGGAAGTGGGGCATCCACACTCGTCTTTGGCCATTTCCGCTTCCTCTGCCAGTTCCATTTCCACTTCCACCTTCATTTCTCACTCCCCCACCAGCTCCACTTTGTTTTCGCTCAGCTGCATTTAATTGATTTCTATCACTAATTGGAGTCTTTGTTTATGCATGCAATGGTATTAAAATTAAAAGCATTTGCTCATGCCATTTAAGCCAATTAAAAACAATAAAAGACGAATAACATTTAGAACGCTTGCCACACGTGCACGACGCTTAAATCCCTGCCTTATTTCCCACGTAAATCTATTACATACATATAAATATATATGCTAGAAAGTGAGGGCATATGTATTTTCGATTTTCCATCGTGGTCAGAGTTCTTTATCTTGGTATTTTTTTTTTCGTTTGGTCAGATTGCCATCGAATCGTTTTACATTTGTAATACTTCGATTGCAGTTCTGCCAAATCGTAGCAAAAAGTATGAATTCTGCCGACCAGAAATTGTTTCTTTATTCTGAATGGAGCAAATTTATGTTTGTCTGCACATCGATTGAGGAGAGACAAAAAGCATCAGCCAAATTTCGATGCATATTCCCCCCAGTCCGTCAGTCTATCCGATTGCGAGTGTTTTTCGTGTTCACATTTTTATATTTCTGTATTTCTTTATTTCAGTATTTCAGTATTTCAGCATTTTGCGTTTGTGTTTTTGGCCCAGTTTTGTGCTTTTGTAAGGGCCAGCTTCAAATTCGCAAAAGTATTTGGGCGCGCATCAAACACAGTTGTATTATTTTAAATCCGCTTGCAATATTTTCAATTTGATTTTCAATTTAAATGGAAAGCTTGCTGCGCACAGCGCTGCCAATATAATGCATTTTTTATATGCATCTATGTACACTCGAGAGCAGCAATAGAAGCAGCAGCTAGACGCAAGGAGAGCCAGCTCTTCCCAGAGGAAAAGCCATTGAGACTTGGGCAAAGGAGAGCCCAATGTGAGGAATAATCAAATTTAGTTGCCATTTGTACATTACTTACGACAAGGACTGCAATTGGTTTTTGTTTAAATCCAATTCGAGCAATAATAATAACGAGCAATCAGGGGGATCCCGTCTCTGTGGCCCCTGTGGCCGGGTTCGATGGTCACGATATGTATAATTAATTGAAATGATTCCCTCTCTGAATAATTACACGCACTCTTCGCCCCCTTCCCGCGGATCCTCTCACCGGGCCAACGAACTGGAAATCAGGTCATCAAGCCACCTGGCTGGCAGTGCTGCAACGGACACGTGCTCTGCAATAATTGCCGCAGCCGCTCCGTGAAGTGTCCGGTGTGCCGGGTTCCTCTGGGACCGCGAGGTCGCTGTCTACTGTCGGACAAATTATTCACCCTGCTGGCGGAGAGCTTTCCCTGCGACGGCGGTAAGTGCACCCAATCTGCAAGTACATGTAGCGACTTTTATCTATCCAATCCAGGCGAAACGAAACCCGAATTAGCAGTGTCATTAGGCGCCAGCTGGCTGTTTCTGTCAGATTCTGGCAGTTGTCTAGGTTCATCTTAACCCAGGAGGGGCTTAAGTGAATGTAGAAAAATATTTTAAAAATTAATATTGAAGTTATTATTATTGTAGGACTTGTATATTCCTAGACATTTAAATTTTAATTATAAGTTGAGCTAAGAATTTAATATTCATATTGATTGTTATTTCTCAATGAAAAAACATGCTCCGTAACAAGATTGATTAAAAGTATTTCAAGCTATGAATTTATTTTATTATGAATTACATAATATAACAATATTTAGTTACAAGCCTCCCCCCTGAAATATCATATGCTTCGCCCCTGCTCTCCATTGGCAACATTCTGGGTCTGGGCTCAGGGCTCCGAGACGTCATTTACTTGGGCCAAAAAGTTTTCGGCAGCGGCAAGTGTCAATGTTTCACTTAAATCTCAACCGAGAGGCGGCGCAAATGAAAGAAAAATGCGAGCAGAAAGCGGAGCCGAGTCAAGAGTGCTTGAAATTGAGCGCAATGGCTCATCTTCCCTTGTTGTTCTTTTTATAGCATAATTATGTAACATAAATTGCTAAAGTTTTTCGCGCTTTATGCTGTTGCCATCTTGCCGGCATTGCGTTACATGGCCGCTCGCCTGCTTGCTGCTCTCTGCTCGGAGCCTCGTTTAAAGTTTAGCCGCCTCGTTGCCATTTTCAATCTGTGTCCGCCAACTTAACTTGGAGTGAAGTTTACAGCGTAGGTAACAAGCAGCAGAAGCAAGCTCAAGAATTTCCGCGTTGTCTGCATTTGTTTTTACTTGTTGGTCTTCATTTTTTGCCACTTTACCCGCACTTCGGGGGATTCTTCTTTCTTTGTTTCCCCTAGCTTATTCCGTGCTTAGTAGGTTTTTATTGCTTCCACATTAAGTGTGCATTCTTTATGTTTTGCTGAGATTTCTTAGCTCATATTTATATATAGTATATGTATGTCTGTAGGTGTGTACTTGAGGAATTATTTAGTTTTTTCTATTTTCATTTGCCACTTGAACTTCTGCCGAGTTACTTGTCAAGGGGGCAAATGCTCTAACGAGCGAAAATGGACATTTTCAGCGGCAGGGAAACTTGCGAAACTACGGCCATCAAGAATAGTGCGTACTGCACTTAAATAAAAAATATTTACTGTATATTAAAGGCTTCTAAATTTATTTACAATAATTTATTGATATTTACACTAGCTTCTTAGCAAATACTTCTCGTAAACTGTTTTAAAATAAAAGTAGGAAATTTCCAAGTAAAATATATTTAATTTTTAAAACATATTTACAATGATTTTAAATTATTCTGATTTTATTTTATTTGCATCATTGTTTAAAGAAATGGAAATTATTATTTTCCTAAATTTGGTTTAGTGCAGCAAGACGGGAAAATCTTAAGTGCATTTATTATATTTACATTTTGAAATGCATTCCTGCGGAATTCTCATCGTTCTTGTTTGCTTACAGGGAAAACCAGCAAGGTGACTGCGGCCCAGGGCTATGAAAAACTGAGCAGCGTCAACAAGTGCACAAATGAATATCATAATCAACCGAAAATGGCGTTGGCCAAGTCGAATTCCGGCAAGAAGCAGGGCAAGCAGATCTCCAGGCAACTGTCGGTCCTGCCGGTTGTGGCGGAGCCAATGCCAAAGGGACCTGCTCCGGCGGAAAGTGCTCAAGCTCCGAGTGATGTCGCCCACGAATCCGGTGGCAGCCGGGGCACGGAGCACTGCTCGCTGATAAAAGTGCAGCAGCACCAGCCGGAGACTTTCGAGGAAGGTCACAACAATATGCTCGTTAAACCAAAGTTAAAGTTTGGCAAGAAAAGTTGGCGGATTGCGGGGCCAGATGAAGACGGATTGCGCTGCGATGGAGTTGCCACCACGAATAATGGACAGCGCATCGCCGACGAGCAGGTGGAGAGCGAGTCTCAGAATTATCATTGCCCCACTGGGAAATCATGCAGCAACCACCAGCAGCCGCTGGCCAACAAATTGTCAACAGTCGCGTTGCAGTTGGGACAGACTTCCGCAGGATCAGGATCTGGAGTGGGAGCTGAGACCGGCGCCTTATCAGCGGGGAGCCATAAACAGGCGGCAGCATCCGGCATAAATCAGGGGCTAGATGCAGTGCACCAGGAGTGGCAGCTGCTGCGCCACCTCAGCGGAGAGCACCGCCTGGCTGTGGTCCAGTTCTGCGGCACGTTTGGCCGGAGGCTGCACGTGAGGCCCCCGCCACCGCAGGAGGGCGTGGTCTGTTTGAAGATGAGCGAGGACCTGGAAATGAACACAGACCCGAACCTGGTGCATCCATTTTTCTTGGCTGTCATACCGATCGGCGGCAACGAGCACGCCGTCTTCCTGTGGCACCTGGACCAGGCGCCGCTAGGAGGACCCGTCGGGCGGTCCAACTTTGAGGCTGTTATCGAGGCTCAGGGCGAGGGCGTCAAGTGGTTTGGTCCAGTTCAGTCGCTCCGACGCAGTTGGCCCGAGATTAGGGCGTCCGGGGAGTTCCTCAGCTGCCGCAACTTGGGCGCCAACTTTGAGGTGACAATCAAGAGCAGGTAAAACTGTGCCCACCCCGCCGCAAGACTGGCCCCCAAAGTATTGTTTAGCGTTAGTGTTAGTTATCCTTAACAGCTTTAAGCAAAATAAGACTACTTCTAGTTTTAGTGATTGCCTGGCTCTGGACGAGCGGCGATAGAGCAAACCAAAATGTAGCAAAAATAAAAGGAGAATAAAAAGTGAAATCGAAAGCCACTGACGGCTTCTGTATGCTTTTGTAAATTATATTTACATTTTTTTTCACAGATGCGTATTTATCGGAAAAATGCAAAACGCAATTTGGAAATGTGTTTAATTTGCAATATTTTTAATTAATAAAAACATTTTGAAATGTGCTGACCAGTCAGTTTGAAAGGCCTCTCGTCTAATGAGTCATTTAATACCCTGTTAAGAGGGAAATTGTATTATTACGGGTGGAATATTATTTGCATTCCGATTTTAGAAAGTTGCCTACTATTTTGGGTAGTATTTTTCATTACAATACAATTTTAAATATTATTAAAATTAAATGGAAAAAGCATAGAAAATATAAATGGGAATTATATTTGGTTGATAGAATAGTTTGCAGATTTATTTAGAATTGATGACCAAAAAGAGTACCCTCAAATAAGTATTTCCCTTAATTTTTGTTTTCCTGTTTGGCTGTTTAAGAGCGTTTCCTTTGTGGGGCAAAAAAAAAAAACTGGAATGTTGTTACCTGACTGTTGGGTGCCTCCTGATAATTGACTTGCATGCAAATTAATGTTTTTTGCGCCACACTCCAACGCCGGAGCTGGCTGTCTGACAAACAGTAAACACGGACAATGCATCGAGTCATTTTCATCAGCGCCGTGCTATACATAAATCCGTGCACCATCCATGTTTACTATATTTAAGGAAAAAACTCCAATTTGATGCAACAAAAATCACGGGGCTCTGGCAAATAAAGAAACATTTGTGTCAGCTTTCCACTCTTTTATTATTCCTCTTTTTTTTTCGCATTTTCCCGCTCTCAGTTTGCTTTTGTGGCCTTTCCACGCTATCGCCTGTTTGTTTTTGATGAGCCATCATCATCAGTGCATCTTATGCACTGCGCGGCACTCAACACTGCAAACAATTAAAAAATTGAAAAAGTGTGCGTAGTTAAAATAAATTAAATATTTTCGCTCACGACACTTTTTGCACGTGCGGCTGATGAGGAGATGATCTGACTGCGACAAGGATAATGGCGGTGACGTCGCAGCGATTGGTCATGTTTCGCGCGCTGTCCATCAGGTAAATTAAAAACGTTGCTACGGCAGAGCAATTAAATTAAGGCCTGGCTGGCGGTGAAAGCCAACCAAAATTTGATGAGCCAGTCAAAATGCAAATTTTTTGAAAAAACAATTTACAAGACAAACGCATCGTTTTTAATGAACGCGCGGGAAATAAAGGATGTCTGTTAAAGATACAAAGTAAATAGATTTATATTACCTTTTATACGATTTTTTTTAATTTTTTTTATATTTAAATATGTAGATTTTAAGGAAATTAAATAGATATCTATTCACCTTTACATCTGTTAAAAGGTATACATTTTGACATGTTCTACAAGCACTCGGCATTCTCCTATATAAAACACAGAAAATAAGGTAGGTCGCGGATCGAGAACCACATAGCTCCCCTCCTTGCACACCCACAATGAGCTGTGAATAGATGGCTAATAATAATCGAGCCATTCACTTCCTTATCGCATTCTGATAAATTACGTCCATATTTCATTAATTTATCAGCTAATTGGCCTGCTACTGCCAAGTGTTGGGAGTATTGAATCGAAGTTAAGTCTACTTCATCGACGCCAAGTTCCCTACACGTCTATATGGTATCATGCTCTCACCGCTCTCTCCCCCGATTCGCTAACATATAATCTCTTGTTGCTCAGTTTTTCTGCTGCAAAGGGAGGCACCGCGTTCGGTTTGCTTTGCGCCGCTTGTTTGTTTGCCAATTAGTTTTAATCGAAGAGCGCTCGCTGGCTCTCCGCTGGCCGGCGATTGTTTAAATTGCTTTTCTAATTAATGCGTCGGGCAAATATTTGTCAGTGCATGCGTTGCGATAAAAAGAAGCTCCGTGCTGAGGGTTGGGAGTCCAAGTTCTTGGCCCGCCTTGGCCACTGGGAATCTGATTCCTTGCCTTTCCGGCGGCGACGACGCGTGTTTTCCATTCGCTGTATTCCCTCGATTCGCGTGGTCGATTGCTTATAGCCGTATACAAGTATACACTTTTCTCTTTTTCGAGCTGTCACGTTTCTCTTCTTTGGCCGTCACTTTGACTCGAAACCGGGTGGCTACGTCATCATAGAGTTGCGTCACCAATCGCTCTTTATCGCCTCTCTTTGTCATCGGCTATTTGGCAGTCAGTTTCGTTTTGCTCCGCTCTTTGGACATGAGCGCCGACTTGGGTAAGCTCAATTTCGGGGTTTATTTTATTTTGAACTTGGCACTTAGCACTGGCAGTTTTCCAGTCTCACATTAGCCGCTAATTTACGAGTTTATGGTTAATCAATTAAATGCCACTTTCTGCTGAAGTGCCAATAAATAAGAATCGTGTGCGCATACCAGCGAACTGCCATAGCTCGAAAAGATTCCACAAAAAATATGTGATTTATACACATATTGGATTGCTGAACAAAATGAGTTTTTCAACGAAAACAAGAAAAAAATTAAATAAATATAAACTGCAATATGGATATTTTATGCTTTTCAGTGAGTTGATTGACATTCTCAAGCTTTGCCTTATTTTTAGGCTGAAATAAACAAAAATATTTAGTGAAGAGTATATTATATATTATTTATTAAAATAAACATTTTCTATGCTTGCTGATTTATTGCTGAATTTTCATTTAAGCTCGGGATCACAATAATGTTTCTATATTAGTTTTCGTACATTCTCAAAGGATGTTTTCAAATTAATAATATATTTCTGGCGTCCATTTCTCTTGAATGTAAAGAAAAAATAGCATTAGCCAATATAATAAATGCAGTAATTTCTGAGATAGTTTTCGCTTTTAACTCCCTCATAAAGTTACAGAGCTACTCCACAGATAAGAAAGAGACATAAACTTTTCGTAATGAAAACTTAAAGTTAATTCACGCTGTGCAAAGTGCAGAAGTTGGACTTGTGCAAATTAGCGCTAGGGCTGATTGGCTAACTAACGAGTACCCTTCCCACAGATATCCTGGACGTGGTGGCCGGCAGCGAGGGTCCGCCCTTACAGGCCTTTCGCAACAGCAACCCCTTCGACGAGTCCTTTCAGACTCCGGCTCAGCACGACTTGGATCTGGAGCGGGACAGAGGCCGGGATGCCAATCACACACCGCTGCAGCTACTGCGGCGGGCAAGCGAAACGGTTACCGCCAGCATTCTCGAGCCGGAGAAGGAGCACCTGCTGGGCGAGCGGCCGCAACCCCCACCTCGCTCCCACGGCACCCCGATGCCAATGTCGGGCGGCACGGAAGGTAAGTGATAAGTCTAATTGTGCGCCGTCGTCATGGTGAAGCGCAGAGATTTGTTCCGGAAATTCTTTCTATTTTCCTCCATCCTCTGACGCACACATTCCGCAAACCGGGACAGGGACAAAGCAAGCAGTATGAGGAGAATAGATGGAAAGCTGGAAAAAGACATCCGGCGGTACAGACAGTCAGCGCTTTGCGGGTCGGCCAAGCGAAGTGGCTGCGAAGTGCATACTTAATATATGTATTCGAGCATATATTCATAGTTTTTATATTCTAAGTTTGTTTCTATGCTGCCTGTTCTCTGAGCTGCTTTGATCTGATTGAGGCATTTGGCTTTTGAGTGAACGCACAAGCGGCGAAGGAACAAAGGCCAGCGAGTACTGGGCGTATACGTAATATTTTCTCATATTGAAGCCACTGGGGCTGTGATTGGAGTGGCCCTTGGTTCGCTGCTTCTGGAATTATTCAACATGGAGAGTCAGAAGTCATAGAGGTTATTAGTTTCGCTTGGGTCGAGTCCCTGCGAATGTTTTCGCAGGTGGTCGGTAGGGCTCTGTTTTTTCCCCGGTTATTATTGTTAAAGTCGCCGGAGCTGCAATTGTTTTGCATGTGTCTAAATATGAGTTTCTGCGCTGCATTACTGATTTTTTGGATGCCTAGCAGGATTCGTCTCTGGGCTATGGCCGCCATGGAATTTTCACACGAATAATGAGCCATTTTAGTTGCGCCCAAATACCCACAATCAGACAACTAACACAAATGCCAAATGCCCGGGGCTTTCGGGAAAGTATGTTTCCATGAATATGCATTAGCCCGGGCTCATTTCCTGTGCATTCATTTCGCTTTGCACTCGAGTTTCGCCCTCAGTGATTCTGACTCCGAATGAAACTCCCGCTGTAACTCCTATTTGGCTTTCTGGAAGTCATATTTAAATATTTGTGCTCTCCCGTTGCAGGCTGCAGCGGCTCGTTTATATTAAATAAATTCCATTTAAATGCAGCGTCTCGGGCGATTTCTCAAGCTCAACCTTGAATGGATGCTCACCCTTCACTCGGCTGCCAGCGACCACTTTTCATGTGTCGCTTCTGCTCCGGAGGACAGGCAGCGACATTTCTGTTAACTAAAGCCAGCATGATATACGTTTGGCACACAAGCATTCTCGGCTATTGACAAATGCAGGGCGTGTGTGCCATGAGTATTCTCAGTAGAAGCAGCTGAATTCGTATTCGCATTGCGCATTCGCCCCATGCGCCCGCCGAGCCGTGCTCAAGTCAGTTCATTACGTATACGCAGCGGGTGACATTTATAAATGCCAGCGCCGCCGTGAGTCAGCATAATGATTGCCAAATGAATGGGAAAATTTTAACTTGCACTCACTCCCGACGTCATTTGCATTGACGTTGATGAGTTTTGCCCAACAGCATTTCGCAGCTCGACGACAGTTCCTTTGACTGCAGGCAACTCAACTCTGAAGGATGTCGCACTTGCACTTGCTCCGTAGCTAATTACTAAAACTGCGCTTAATCGGAGCTCTGCATTCCGCCTTTGACCGTCTGTCAGACTGATATACTGGGGATTTGTTTATATGGCTTTTCATGTTCTTTGCCATTTTCAATTTGTCGTTTTATTTGCCAAGCGATGAATGCAGCTTGCTGAGCGCACGCTGACCTGCTTTCGACTTTTTCTATCTGCTCGGGCCCGGAACCCGGGGCCCGGGGCCCAAAGAGATTGCCAGTTTTCCCTGATTTGCGATGTATGAGCACTAAATTAGACGTGAATCGCTGGGGCGTGAGTTCGTCTTTGGGCAGGAAGTGCGTGACAACGGAATGAAATCTTAGCCAGCCAGCAGCTCACCCACTTTGCGCGGAAAGAAATTATTTTTTGAATTCAGTGCCATGCACTGGTTAACAGGAAAGCTGCAACTTGCAACTCGCAGCGCAATCCTGCCGAGCACACACGAGAAGGATGCGAAAAGCGGGCACGCTTTAGTAAACATAAATAAAATAAATGTGTGTTAGGTATGGGAAAAGTGAATTGATATTCGCAGCAGACACAGACAGGGACTCAGACTCTCAGACCCAGACAGGCGGAGAGCCGGGGAGCTTGAAACTCTTTGGTAGCAATAAAAAAATATATATAATAAGTAAATAAATAAATGAAGGAAACGCTGGGAGCAAAAGTCATCACCGTGTGCAATTTAGCGTTTAAACATATTGAAAAAGCAACTGACGTTCGCCTGTAAATAATGAATAGTTGAAGAACTGAAATAAATCACTGGAAGTACACACAAGCCGCCAGTGTAGTACATACCTCCCTCGAAGTGCATTCAAATAAAACCAATTTATGGCACTTTTTGCAGCAGTTCCACGCTGTAATAACAATCTAAATGTTAAGTGACAGTGAAAAACTTTTTCAACTTTGAGAAGTACAATAAATTCTCCATTGGACCCCAAAGAAGTTTCGCATGAAAACGGCAAATGTCTTGCCTGTCTCTCAGACTCTCCGAGCCTCGAACTTGTTTAGTTTTTGCGACAGCCTCGTCCGGAGTAGTCTTTGCCTCGATTCCAATTAACACCTCGGATTCGCACCCGTACGCAACTCATTTCCCGGGTCCTCCTCATATGACAACCGAGTGACAAAAACTTTTGTCCAGCTGCAGCCAGGATCTTTACTTGGGTATCCATGCCCACTATTTTTTTCGCACTACGTGGGAGCGGGTAGCCCAGTACCAGTGCCATAATTTGTGTGGAAACTTCTGCAGCAATTGAAAAGCGAATTTCTGGCCACCCAAGGAGCTGGCTGGCTGGCTGGGAAAAAACTTTTGCATTATTTTCGTGCCTGGTCACTTGAAAGTTGCAGAAAATATGACAAGATAAAATGCCAAAAAGTGCCACCAGCGATAGGAGGCGGAGCCAAGGCCGAGGGAGATGGAGGAGGAGCAGGACCAGGAGCAGGAGCAGAAGAATGGGGCAACTGCCAAAGGTAATAATCAATGGGGCGAGCTGCAGGTCCCGGCCAAAGGCAGTTCCAATGGCAGCAGCAAAGAAGCCTTAATGACCTGGCCAACTTGCAGTTCAAGTTGGCTCAACGCCGCTCCGCTGAGTGCAGCGCATGAATATGAAATATGAAATATCACAAAGAACAGGAGTGGAGTGGACTGGAGTGGAGGATAGTGGGAGGCCACCTTCGTGAAAGCGCCTTCTTACAATACTCGCCGTGGAGCGCTATCTCTGCCGACACCTTTGCACAATTTATGCACAATTTTTTCATTGCAGCGGCGGGAGCTGACAAAAAATAAAAGTGAGTTCCGCAAAAACTTTTAAATGAGGCACATAATTCAAAAATGTGGAGATGCAGCCGAAGAAATCTCGCTTCGCTTATCATTCCAGCCCGCCCATTCGCCCATCCTGAGCCTGGCAAGTTTCCTACGGCGGAGATATTTTAAATTAATTAGCAAAACTTAAATATTTGTTGTAGTTCAAACGCGAACTTCGCATTGAACTTGTAAATATTCAATAAGCTGGGAGCCATAATGAATTCATCTCAACTGAACCGCATCGAACCGAACCGAGCCGAGGGTTTGGCCCCGCTGAAATGGCAAATATTTGCCGGGCGTACATAAGTTTCTTGTTGGTTATGGCTAATTAATTGATAAGCAAATGCTCGTAATCATAATTGCGCCGCGGGCCAAACAAGTGTTTATGTTGGAAAACCCCGTGGGTCTGCGCTTCCCCAACTATTGCCGGAACCCAGGGATTCCTTGAATTACATTTCATTCAGCCGGTGGGAAGATTAATTGGGCATTTCTGAAGAAATGACAAAGAAGTCAGGCTTTAAAGGGAATATAGGCTTGTCTTAATTTTGTTGTCCAGACATTATTAAAAAACTATGATGTTTAAGTAAAACTAATTAAACCTATAAATATTATTCGTTGTGATTATCCATTAAATATACAAAGGCCTTTGGAAATTCCCATGTGGTTCTGAGTTTCAACAGTTAGCTCTGGAAGTATATATTTATTGTTAATATCTTGATCGGTCTCTGACAGCTCTTCGGATTAGCACCTCGAACGCGTCCGATTTTCAGTGCCAATTGTTGCTAATAATCCAATCATTTCCCAACGCCTTACATTAGCTCTCACTTTGCTCTCGCATCGGCTGTTCTCCAATTCGCCTGCTAATTTTAAATTATTAAACAAATATTTTATGTGTTTCGCTCGCGTGCCCACGAGAGATTCTCCGGCTGCCTACTAGATGTATGTTTTTTATTAGCATAAGATAAAAAATATAGATGCCGGAGCTTTCCGCGGAAAGTACTGGGAGCGTTGGGATCTCAGTAGGCCGCGGCCAGCGAATGCGATTAGTTCGTCATTAAATTTGTGCGGTTCGGTGCGGTAGGTCGCTGATAGAACGAATTCTGAAGATTATAATCATCTCTGAACGGAATATGCAACTCCAGTGTTGAGGTTTACGAGTGCTGTGGCTAACAAACTGATTAATTTATCCTCTGTCCAGGTAAAATTAAATTCCCCAACTCCAGTCTTAGTTCGCATTGTTCATTTCATTAGTGCTTAAACAATTTCGTTATTGTTTTAAAAGTAATAAGTAAAATATTTTGTTATAGCTGATTATTTTATATTTTCATTGCAATTTATATTGAAATGTAAATAAATGTATACTCTCAGTACCGACACAGCTTTTCTGTGTCCGTAAATATTTTGTTTGCCGGTTTTTTCAATAGCTTTTTTTTATAGCGTTATCTCTCTCAGACAGAGAATACGTATACACGAATCAGCTGTAGTTTTATTATTTTTATATATTTTGATGCCTGAGAAGGTCACATACATCAACGAATGGGTGTGTGAGCATGCTTGTCAATAGAAACATTTTCATTAAAGATGTGTGTATGGTATAAGCTTTTAATTTTGAAATGATTTTTAACTGGATATTGGGTATATTATTAGGCATAAAATTAAATAGTTAAGCAATATAATAAAGTTTTTACTGAAAAGGTTTTTTAATCAATAATAAAAGTGAAGTATTCCTGTTTCAGAATGTTATCTACCATACAATGTTCAAAATTAAATACCTAACAAATAAATTAAAGAGTTGTTTAAATATTATGAATTAAAATTATTTTATTATATTTACTACATTTGAAACGTAACGCAAAAACAAGATTGTTTTTCAATTCTTGAACCTTTTATTGTTGCAAGGATTACCAATAACAAAAACGTATAACTTAGCCAAAATAGTAATATAATTTATTTCACAATCTAATACAATTTTACAAGCATATTAAATTCTTCTTGAGGCTGTAATCTAGATATTTTTAGACTAGATTACGCACTGCCTGAGCTTCTTGGGCTGTGACAAAGCCCAGCAATTAGCATCGCCAATCAATTTGGGCGTGTGTGTCAAAGAGTCGCATGACGCTCTGAATCGCAATCACAATCGACACGTGATCGATGGACAGATACGCAAACAGGCAAGCTGGAACTAGAGTTCGAGCCGCAGCGGCGAGAATTGGCGCTAAATATTTGCGCACAATTAACACGTAGCCGGCGCAGCGGAGTGGTGACAAATGACAAGCAGATAGTCTTCTAAAATCGAATACAAACACGCCTGGCAGCTGGTAAAATAAAAAGAACCTATAGGCTTCCAAATCCCAATCCAATCGAATCAAATCAAGTGTTGATTGCACGGGCCACTCTGCATAATAATCGCAAGGTTGCGAGGAGATTGTGGATTGTCGTTATTAGAACGGCGCTTCATATGCAAATCGTAGTCTCCCCTCCAATTAGCCCCTCCAGTGGGAGGCGTCAATTGCCCAGAATGGCATGGTTCGCAACAAACCGGCATTAAGTGCGCTAATTATAAATGGAAATATTTATGTATTTCCTACTGTCTAGCAGCTCTAGCAATTTACCCCCGCCTTGCCCCGGTGACAAAAGTGTGAAGTTGTCGCGGCAACAATGAAGCCAATTATGGAGGCGACTGCCGGATCACGAGCACCTGTCGTCTGGAGGACCTCGTCCTGGCCCAGGCGCAAACATCTTCCTGCCGGCAGGCATCGGTGTCCTCGCCCTCGTCCTCGCCACGTCTTCCTCGACCTCTCCGCGCTCGTTCTGTGCAATCAACGGTTGTCAATCTTTGTTGCAATCTTCATTTCGCCAGCGTCGTCGACAGCGCCTTGAGTTCAGGGTGTGCAAGTGTCTCCGCTGCACTTAGCCGTTTAAACGATCCAACTGCTGTGCTGCGCCGGGCCTTCGTTATGCATGAGCTGCAAAAGTGGCGGACGGGATGGCTTATAAGCCCCGGGAAGACCTTGTTCATTTTGTTTTCATTTTTGGTGCACAGCCAAAATACAGGGCAGGGATTTTTTACAAGCAAAAATATCTTTAAAAGATTAATTAATTTTTAGATAGGTTAAGAAATATTGGTTAAGTATCTGTAAGCTCATATTTTAAAATTCTAAAAATGACCTTTATCTATTCCCCTTTTAGAAGAACTTCTCTGACTTACTTTTAGACTAAAAGTATACCTTTTTCGAATACCTTTTCCTCAGTGAACCTGACTCTGACATATCTATTAAGACATTTAAATCTGTTCGCCACTTACAGCTAAGCGCGGCAGACAGCAGCCAAATCAGAGGCAGCTGCAGCAGCAGCAGCAGCAACAGCAATTCAACAGCAGAGCTCTGGCGCCAGGTGACAGGATGACGCAAGGAGCTGGCAACGGCAACGGGAGCAGTGTGCCGCAGGGAACACAATCGCATGGCGACAACCTGCCCACTCCTCCGCTGCATACCAAATTAGACATACAGAGGATCCCGGAGGACGCAGGCGGCGGAGATGCTACACAAAACGCTGCAACAATAATTTTAACGCCGACATCATTAAATTTAACAAATACAACACAAAACGTTGCCGCCAACAATGCGGGCTCCGGCAACGGCTCCGGCTTGCCAACTCCGGGCGGAGTTCATGGCGACGAGTACAAAGGACCCCAGTGGTAAGTGAAAAGCTCATGTGGCCAGAACTCCGGCTCGATGGCATTGTGCGGATTTGTGCTTAACCCTTTGAATGCACTTCCGGCGGGACAGCAGCGCCGCCATTCACACTTGCATTGCACGCGTTTTTCGCATATCCGCTCGCCGCCTTTCGTTTTGTATTTTTGTATTTTGTATTTCTTTTGTGCGCCAACAATGTCCTTCTGGAAGTTGCCGCTGCACTAGGCAGCCGCGCGTGCTTCCGTTAGCGACGGGGCTGTGTTCGGTCCTGCTCCCAGCCAAATCCCATGTCCTCATGTCCCCTATCCCCCGACGTCTAGTCAGCAGTCGAGCCTGATTTCCCGTTTTTTATTTCTCTCTTCTTTTTTGTTTTGCTCATTTTTGGCTGCGACACTTACTTTAATAGCTGGCGAAATGCCTTTCTGGCTGCAGGCGTTTATTCTCGTTGTTTACAACCACGCGGCGTATGAGTTACAGTGTTACGTATCCGACCCGTGGGTGTTTCCATTGTGCTCCTTCAGCGGGTAGATGCCTTCCTTACTTGGATATCTTCAGCAGCAGGGCGAAGAAACTGTAGGCATTGTTGATAGTCTGCCAAAAATAAGTTCATAAGTTAGTGTGCGAGCACAATTTAAATATCTTAAATGCTTGTATTTAAGTTTTTAAAAGTTATCTTTCAATTTGATTCAAAGTTCGAAATTATAATAAGGACTAAAAATTCAATAACAACCTGATAAGAGAGCTGACTAAATCATTTATAACGTTCACCTTTACGAAGATGGGCAATCCGATTTCGAAGAAGACCCCTGCCCGCACCTTTACCGGTCGCTTGAGGAACTCCATGTAGCAGTTGAGCAGCTTGCGAGTGCCCACGGAGTACTCCAGCCAGTTGGTGCCGAAGACGCTGTTGGTCAGGGCGTTGGCATGGAAGGTCAGCTCGTTGCCGTAGTAGCAGGGCAGGAAGATCTGGACGATCATCACGGCCACGAACTGCACGGTGGTGAGGAAGAGCCCAGGGCGTTGCTTGAAGCCCATGTGCACCAGCCGATAGGCGCTGAAGCAGATGATGAAGGCGCTTAAAACCACCTGCGACAGGACGTATGGGGAAACCAGCAGCTCGCACTCTCTAGTCAGCCGGCGGACCTTGGCGTGCATCCGAAAGAGTCGGTGCAGCTCCGGTTTGGCCTGCTGCTCGGGGACATCTTGCAGGGCCTGCAGCCGGAGGCTCATCAGACGGAAGAGCGAGGCGATCTGAAACATGAAGTAGCAGCCGAGGGTGTCGAGGAGACTGTTGGACAGGCAGCAGAGTGTCATGGCCACCACGTTGTAGCCCCAGGCGTACATGTAACGCTCCTCATTGCGCCACTCGAAGGGCACGTAATAGGCGAAGGGAAGCTCGTATTCTTCCTGGAAGAACACGCTGACATAACCCATTACGGCCACAAAGAGACTGCCTCCGATAAAGCCGTAGAATATGCGCTGAAAATCCTTTTGGTTCCGCTGCCAGAATTGGATTTCTTCGGAATTACGCAGACTGTAGGCAGCATCATTCTGTAGTTCATCCAAAAAGTGAGCTGCCTTATCGCGTCGGTACCAAATGTTCAAGAGCTTGGTGACCAGTGCCAGCTCGGTTATGGACATATACAGAACCTGGCCGGCCTCCTCAAAGTCCGCGGAGGTAATGGCCTCGTACCACATCAGGGCAATATACGTAAACGTCAGCGGCAGGTGCAGTACAAAGGGATAAATGCGCATTATCCAGGACAAAAGGCCACCTCCCTGCTCGCTTTTCCACTTAATGAGTCCCGTCCAGCGCTGGACCACAATTAGGAAGTTGATTGCAGATAGGCGATCCGTAGACTCCATTTCAGTAACTCAAATTTACTTTACTTTACAAAGGAAAAACCCAGAGTTTTCCGGCTTATATAACCCCTGGGGATTTCAAAGTATTCGTAGGTCACCTTGGGGACACGCCTCTGATTGAGGCTGAACTAGGGCCGTGTTATTTCACCTCTTTCCAGTGGAACTTACAATTTCAGTTCTAGTTCATGGATATCACAGGAAGAATGAGCTAGTGATATATCCTTCATTGGGAAAGTAAGGCATAAATGTAAGTGATTTCCTTGACTTTTGTGGAACCGGTTCTTTTTGTGAGCTTAGTTCCTGCGCTTTTCCGTCCCTGATTGGTTTCGGTAATCAGTCAAAATATTTATACAATTAATGAGTAGGAGCAATTACAATAATTAGCTTGCTGACATAAGTATCCTGTTAATTGCTGGCCCTCTCTAAAAGTGTAAGTCACGCAATTGAAAACGGAGATGACTGGGGGAAATAATCCCATACCAGACTTCAAGTTTGGGATTTTCAAGTCAGTGCATCGAGAGCTGTGCAGCAGTGAACAGGTTTGTATTTAAGAATTCCCAGAAAAGGTGCTTAAATTATTTTTTGTAGGACCCTTTTCGAGTTTGGAATTCATCCTTACATTCAGATTCTAATATGAATCGCACTAAACTGCAAATGAATTCACAATGCAAAGAGTTTAGAAATTATTTTTTGGGCTTACATTAAAAATTATATCAAGGATACAAAAGACTCTTTTGAATTACTAAAATATATACTAAAAAATAGTAATATAATTGAAAAAGAAAGGAAGCTGGCTTTGGTAAGCCGGTCCATGGGTTTGCACTGGAAATTAATATTAACTAAGCCAAAAATGTATTCATTTGAAATCGGAAAACTTTACAGTGTAAATTGGCAATACATTTTGTTGATATTTTAAAAGCAACCTATTGAATTAAAAGTTTTTAGGCTTTGCATTGCTTAGGTTTAAAAAAAGGTAGCCTTGTCATATGATTCCGATAAGTATAGTTTAAATTAATTAAATAAAAATTAAAATAAATTAAGTTATGCATATAAATATATTCAAATAAAATGTCATATTAAAAACATAGTTTTTCGGACAAAAGTAATTGCATTTAAAAGTAGTTATCGATGTTTTATTTATTACAAAATGTATTATTTTTTTTAATAATTTATTAAATAATTCAAGTGATCTGCCTGGCTCACTTCGAGACATTGAGTAGCAGGGCAAAGAAACTGTAGGCATTGTTGATGGTCTGCAGGTAAAAAAAAATGTAATAACAATAATCATCACAGCAAGAATACAAAAACAGAAACCTTGACGAAAATAGGCAATCCAACGGCAAAGAAGTTTCCGGCTCGGATGGTTACCGGCCTTTTTAGGTGCTCCATGTAGGCATTCAGCAGCTTGCGAATCGGTACTCCACACTGCAGCCAGTTGGTGTGATAGACCTCGTTGGTCAGCTGGTGGGCATGGACGGTTATTTCATTTCCATAATAGCAAGGTAGATAAATCTGTAGGATCATCACGCTGAGGAACTGCAGCATGGCCACGAACTGGCCGGGATTGTCCCGGATTCCCACGTGCTGTAGACGATATCCACTAAAGCAGATTATCAGAGCACTTAGAATGATCTGTGACAGAATGTAGGGTGACACTATTTTCTGGCAGATCACGGTTAGCCTATAAAGATTAGAACAAGTTAAGTTAAGGAAAAATCCTTGTTAAATTATGAATTAACCTTCGCATACTCTGATGCAGCCTAAAGATGCAACGCAACTCGCGTCCAAAACAAGCCTCATCCTTTATATTATTAAGAGCTCTCAATCGTAGACCCAGCAGGCGGTACAATAGGGATATGTGGAACAGGAAGTAGCAGCCCAGTGTGTCCAGGGTTATGTTGGAGATACAGGTGAGGGTCATGCCCGCCATGTCGTAACCATAGGCGAACCAATAACCCTTTTCGTTCCGCCACTCGAAGGGCACGTAGTAGGCGAAGGGCAGCTCGTACTCCTTGAGGAACAGTACCCCCGCGCAAGCACTGTAGACCACTCCCAGGCTAATCAGTATGTAGATGTAGAAAAACCACTTGAAATAGCGCTGCTCCCGTCGCCAGAAATCCAGCTCCTCCTTCCCGCGAAGTTGATAGTCCGGGCCGTGTTTGAGCTCTTGCATTAGCTGCCAAGCCTCAGAGCGGTGGTGCCATATGCTCAGGATCTTCACCACCAGCGCCATTTCCGTGATGGACATGTAGAGCACCTGACCGGCCTGCTCCAGGTTGCTGGAGATGAAGGCCTCTAGCCACATGAGTCCGATGAAGGTGAAGGTTATGGGCAGATGCAGCAGGAAGCGGTAGTTGCGCTTCACGAAACCCGAGATGGTCCATTGCTCTCCTTCTCTCAGCGACCAGGGCCAGAGGCCGAATAGCTGCATGACCCTGAGAATCAGGTGCATAGACTCGGTCCGATCCTTGTGGCTTTCCATTGGTCCTCTTCCTGGTTGAGTTTCCTCTGTTCAGGCTGCTTTTATACCTTCAAGTGGGCTTCGTAATTATCGGCAATTATGTGTGCATAACTTAGACACACGAAACTCTTGCTATAATCGTTCTGGCCATAATACTTTTCAGTTTATTCACCATCTCGTGGTCAGTTGGTCAACTGTATTCTACTTCTTTCAGGTGGCGTTACTTGGTTCGGCACTGGGTGAACACTTCTGAGCATGTGGCTCTGCTGGCCATTTTCCTGGGACTCTGGGCCATGGCCTGGGTCCTGCTGCCGGACTTCTCAGAGCCGCAGACAGTCATCATGCGCATTGCATTCCTCTTCGTGGGCGCCCAGATCTCTGGCATCCTGGTGACCTTCATCCACCTGCCCGACATGCTGGGCATGCTCTTCTTCGGAGTCCTCTACACCAATCTGGGCTTCGCCAATTTCCAGGGCTATCAGCGCTTTGAGCTGTTTTTGAGGTAAGAAGAAGGAGTATTTAATGAAGAGACTGGTAATTCAATTTTCCCTAATTAACAGGGAAATGGCCCTGATCAACATCATGCTCCTGGCTGGTCTGGGACTGGACGGGGACGCCTTTAAGCGTCTGTGGTTCATGATACTCCGCCTGACCCTGCTGCCCACAATAGTCGAGGTGGCGGTCATTGCCGGACTGGCCTACCTCACCCTCTCAATGCCCTGGCTGTGGGGCATAGCTTTGGGGTGAGTGAAGATAATATATTTTAGCAAGGACCTGGTGCAATGTTAACTTTACAGTCTGGTCATAACCGCCGTCTCCCCGAATGTGGTCGTCACCGTAATGCTCAAGTTGAAGGAGGATCGCCTGGGCCTCAACAGCGGCATCCACACGCTCATCTACGCCATGACCACATGCAACGATGTGGTGGCCATCTTCATGTTCGGCGTGATAATCAGCGTAATATTTTCCACGAGTGCGTGCCACCCGCCGCGCCTTGAAAGCAGACTTGACTAAGCCCCATCCCAATCCCTTCGATTTCCACTCTGTCTTGCAGCCTCGCTCACACAACAAGTGCTGCAGGGACCCATTGGCATCGGGATTGGACTCGTTTTTGGCTATCTCTACGGCACTATGCTCAAAAATTTAACAAAACCGCGCCCGGGGGGTTTGTCTTTTTTATTTTGTTTTTTTTTTTTTTTTGGTGGGGGGTTTGGTGTAGTTTTTTTTTTTGTTTTTTTATGATTTTAAAAATTTAAATAAAAAAATTTTATAATTGGTAGTTTGGGTTAAAGTAGTATTAAAATAAATAAAATATATGAAATGAAGTTTAGGTAAATATGATGTTGTTATATATTTTGCCCTCACCAAAAACCTCAAACCCTTCCAAGCCTATTCCCTCATTCAACCTAAAACCTCAAAATCCCATAAATCCACCTAAATAATTTAAAATTATTTAATTTATTTATTTTTTTAATTTATTTAATTTTTATTTTTAATAAAAAATTAAATAATTTTAATTAATTTTTTTTTTTTTTTTTTTTTTTTTTTTTTTTTAATTTTTTTTTTTTTTTTTTTTTTTTTTATTTTATTAAAAAAAAAAATTTAAATAATATTTTATAAAAAAATATTTTTTTTTTTTTTTTTATTTAATTTATATTTTTTTTTTTAATTTTTTTTTTTAAAAAATTTTTTTATAATTATTTTTTTTAATTTTTTTTTTTTTTTTTATGTTTTTTTTTTTTTTTTTTTTTTTTTTTTTTTTTTTTTTTTTTTGTTTTTTTTTTTTTTTTTTGTTTTTTGGGTGTGGGTTTTTGTTTTTTTGGTTTTTTGTTTTTTGAGTTATTTGGGTTTTAAAAGGTTTTAAAAAGTAAAAAAATTTACCAAAAAAACCTAAAAAAATTTCAAACTATTATTAAAAAAAGTTTTTAAAAAAGAATAAATTCTTTAATCTAAATTTTTTTTATATAATTAATTTTATTTTTTTTATTTTTTTTTTTTTTTATTTTTTGGGGGAGGTTGGTGGGGAGGTGTTAATCCCCAAATTATTTAGTTGTTTTTGTTTATTTCCGGTTGTGTGGTTCCCGAATTTTGAGAAGGGGGGTGGGCGGTGTTCCGGGGGGGGGGCCGGGGGCGGAGGGAGGGGGGCGCGCAAAGGGGGGAGGCCGCCAGGGGTGGGTGGAGGCAAAAGAGCAGAACGGGGGGGCAAAAAAGGAAGGTGGGAAAACCGCAAAAAGCCAAAAAACGACCAAAAAGGAAAGGGGGGGTGAGGGGTTAGGGAAGGAATTTTTGTATGTTTGTGGGGGGGGGGGGGGGGGGGTGGGGTATATGGGGGGGGCGGGGGGGGGGAGATTGGGCGAAAGCGAAACGAAAAAGTAAAAAAAAGCAAGATTTTGGGCCACCGCAAAGGGGAACCCAGCCCCGGCGGAGCCCGGGGCGGCCCCCTGTGCTTTTGGTTGTTGTTCCTTTGATGCCGTTTGGCATCTACCCAGCTAAGAACCCAAACATCAAACAAGACCCCCGGGAAAGGGCGGCGACATTAGTAGGGTAATGGGCACCAGACCGCCTTTCGTTTGCTGGCTTTTCTTTTTTTAAAAGGTTAAAATTGTTAAAATTAATAATCACTAACTTTCCATTTTACATTAAACCAAACAATTTTAATAAATAAATTTATTTAATATTTTTATTATTTAATTTGGGATTTATTTTATTTTTTAAATTTTGGTTTCTCTTTTAGTTTTATCGAAATATAGTCTACACAAAGTTAGGAGAATTTGGAAAGGGGGGGGTGGAAAGGAGGGGGGGGTGGGGAGTTTTTCTTTTGTTTTTTTTTTTTGGTTTTTTTTTTTTTTTGTTTTTTTTTTGTTTTTTTTTTTTTGTAGGGTATTTTATCTATCTGGCTTTTTTTTTTTAAATTTTGGGCAATAATAATAAATTTGTGGCCTTTTTTTTTTTTCCCCCACCCACACATTTTTTTTTTTTTGCCCCTGTTATTAAAAAAAAAAATTTTAAAAAAAAGTTAATAAAAAAAAATAATCTTATCTTGAAATCTTAATAGTTCCTTTTTTTTCTTTTTTTTTTTTTTTTGTAAGGTTAAAAAATTATTTTCTTCTTTCATTCCTGGCTTTATATAGCTCCAAGGTCGATTTTTTATTCAATAAAATTTTTAACTAAGTAGCAAATTAATTTTTTTTTATTTTTCTTTTTTACCACAACATAGGAATGGTTTTTTTTGTTTTTTTTTTTTTTTTTTTTTTTGTTTTTTTATTTTTCTTTTTTTTTTTTTTTTTTTTTTTTAATATTTTTTTTTTATTCTTTTTTTTTTTGGGTTTTTTCCCCGCCTACTTCAGGTTTTTTTTTTAGTTTAAGTTGGTGGTGTTTGTAGTGGTGAATTTGAGGGGTGGTAAACAAAACAAAAAATGAAAGGGAGAGAAACATAGGGATGGGTGAATCGAGTAAAGAAGAGAGGTGTTGGTTCTAGAGAGAAATGTGTCCCATTCGCGTTGGTCGGTGCGAATATATGCTCTTAAAGCAGCATTGATTGAACGGTTGACTCTCTCAGCACTGTTGGATTGTGGAGCATAGGCACCAGTAAACATATGACGAACGCCATATTTCGAAAGGAAGTCAGAGAAATCACGGCTTTTAAATTGAGTTCCGTTATCACTGACGACTGTTTCGGGTACACCAAAGCATGAAAATATTTCATCGCGCAATATATTGATGACCACTTTAGCCGTAAACTTTTCACTGCTTTTAGAAAGGTGAATTTGGAAAAGTGATCAAGAATAATCAATATTCCAATATTGCCGGAATTGGAGCGCGGAAATGGCCCTATAAAATCGAGATAAAGTCTTTGGAATATCCTTTCACTTTGCACTTGTGCTCCCATTGGTGGTTTTAAAGAATGGGTAGGATATTTTGTGGTCTGGCATGTTTCGCAATTTCGAATGTAATCACGAACGTTGATAACCATGTTTGGCCAATAGAAACGTCGTCTGATACGCTCTAGGCATTTGGCCATTCCACAATGAGCAGATGTTGGTTGGTCGTGAGCCGAACTAATTACACTTTGACGCAACGACTCAGGAACGAAAAGTTTCCAGCAATCGTCTGGTGAAACGTCATAAGAATTGGGGAACGTTGCACGATGATAGATGAACTCATCTATGACTTTGAAATCCGGTGATTTCAGAGATTTGAATTTGTCTCTGAGAGCGGAGTACTCTTCCGATTGAAAAGCGCTTGATGATAGGTCAATTTCGGGATAAATTTCAAGGTCTATTGCAGAGATGTCAATCTCTTCGAACGATCGAGACAAAGCATCTGCCACCACATTTTCGGTTCCTTTGCGATGTTCGATTTGGAAAGAAAAACCCCTGTAGCTTGATAGCCCATCTTGCCAATCTACCGCTTAGATCCGATTGGTTCATTAGCCATCGAAGACTTGAGTGATCGGTTACTACCTTAAAGCTATGACCGTCAATGTACATTCAATGCCCTGGCTGTGGGGCATAGCTTTGGGGTGAGTGAAGATAATATATTTTAGCAAGGACCTGGTGCAATGTTAACTTTACAGTCTGGTCATAACCGCCGTCTCCCCGAATGTGGTCGTCACCGTAATGCTCAAGTTGAAGGAGGATCGCCTGGGCCTCAACAGCGGCATCCACACGCTCATCTACGCCATGACCACATGCAACGATGTGGTGGCCATCTTCATGTTCGGCGTGATAATCAGCGTAATATTTTCCACGAGTGCGTGCCACCCCGCCGCGCCTTGAAAGCAGACTTGACTAAGCCCCATCCCAATCCCTTCGATTTCCACTCTGTCTTGCAGCCTCGCTCACACAACAAGTGCTGCAGGGACCCATTGGCATCGGGATTGGACTCGTTTTTGGCTATCTCTACGGCACTATGCTCCAGTACTTGCCGTCCCGCAACGCGGTAAGCATTCCGGCCAGACAAAGGCGCGGACCCAGACGCAGCTCGTCCTCGTTCGCGTCGTGGAGCTGCACTTAAAATGCACATTCAGTGAACACTTAGACACTCAATCAGCGCATTTAATGATGCAAAACGCGCGCAAGTCCCAAGTGGCAGGAGGGTGGTGGCGGGCGGTGCTCTGTGCCATATGTACAGGCCGCAGTAGACGACTGCACTGAGCAAAAATGTCCTCAAAAATCAGGAATATTTTACAGAATCGTATATGGTTCATAAAAGAAATAGGATTTTTTGTTATAAATACAAAATAAATAGGGTTTAGTTTATTGCAAGTTAAAGAACATAGAGGTAAAGAATTTCTTTAGAGCAAAGATTTCATAATTTAGATGTTAGTTTTTCGCCAAGTGTCGCATCCCTTCTCTCCAGGCCGTCCAAGCGATTGTTTGTGTGGGTGCATTTTGCATAAAAAGACACTTACATGCACAACGACTACAACGACGACGGAGCTGGCGACATTTGCGACGACAGTTACTGCCAGCATCTATGTGAAGTTATGCCGGGACGACGGGATGCCAGGATGCCAGGATGCCGGGGACATCGAGGCAGTGCAGCCGCAGCGAGAGCCACAAAACTCATTGCCGCAACTTACACCGCTAATGGCGCGCATAATCAAACGCCATGGGTGGTGCACTGAATGCGCTGCAGTGCCACCCACCACCCACCACCCACCACCCACCAGGCACCAGCTACCATTACTCCCCCTCACACACACATCGGCTTCTCATAACTTTTGTTTTCTGCAAGTCGCGCTCGCCTTTGCCATCGTCAAGTGGCATCCACATCCGCATCCACGCATGTACAAAAATTTCACGCTGAGCGTCGTTGAAGTTGCGCCACTTGCATCCAGCCCTGGCCTTCCCAAAACCACCCCGTGTAAGACACACACACAGTCACAGCTTGGGGCTATTCACAGTGCGCTGTCAGCATCAAAGGGGGGCGCTGTCATCAGGCCTCGTTTCGGGCCGCAGCTTCTTTTCGCATGTCATTGCAACCGCCTTTATTTTATTATTATTACGCAGTCTCTTGTAATTTTGCATTCAGCGTCACCTTCGCCACTTATTTCACTGGCGCTCGCTAACAGTATTTTTCAATAAGATATTCGCGGAAAACTTTGCTAGGCTCCGACAACGGAACTTATCGCTAGAAAAGTGGAAAATTAAAAGTCCTAGCGAGACGGAAAAGTTCAGGTTCCCCTTAAATAAAGACCGGTCAACTAATGAAGCTAAATCGAAACCAATTTTATGCAATTTTATTGAGAGCAGCAGCTTCAACTTAACACAAAACCCCTCGACAAAGGACAGAGCGTAAACTGAAGCAATTTGCGGTGCTGCTAGGTAACTAAGGAAATCACCGGGAAAATTAAAAGATCTCAATCAGAAATTCAACACCAGCCACAAGAACTGACAGCTTGACACTGCAGCCGGTTAGTTACAAAATATCTAAATATTCCCGTGAGAGAAAACATTGTCGCAAGCCAGATTTATCAGATCTAAATCGGTGTAGATAGAAGTCATTTTGGTAAAATTTTTGAGCTCGGAAAAAATTTTGGTAAGCAAACAAAAGCAGACCGACAGGACGACAGCTTTTCTTCTTTTTTTTTGTGAACAGACTGCAGCCCACGTTGCGTATACGCAACCTGACCACACCAAACACAAACAATGGACGGAGACGGGATAAAAAAGCGAACCAGTTTCCATCACAGTTTTGTAAAGTGATTTTGTTTTTTTTCCCCTCCTTTTTTCATGTTGTTTTTTTCCGACTACATGCCTAACTCACCTGTTATGGCATTCACTCTCTTCATATCTGTCTTGTGCTCATCCTTGCAGACCTACGCCAATGGGCTGCGCTTCGTCCTGACCATCTTGGGAGGCACCATAGCCGTGATGGGCAGCCGCGTCATTGGCTATACGTCGGCCGGCGCCCTGGGTTGCGTAACGACAGCCTTTATTGCAAGGATTGGCTGGAGGCGGGAGGAGAGCAAGCTGACACCACAGCAGCTGCAGGCCCAGCAAATTGTAAGTATTCAAGCACTGCTAAAAATAATGCAATAAATTTCATTCTTCTGGCTTTAAACTAGACTTCTGTATATATTATTTTGTAGTTGTTTTTAGAAGTCGTAATCTTCAGTTACTCTGATTACTGATGCATTAGTTAACTCAGTTAAAGGGGGACATAATTATTTTTTCCCGTGAACAGCAGTGCGTTGAATTTGCCTTCACCTTGGCGTTTCTGAGTGCTTTTGGGGCATTGAGCCCACCCGCTCTTTTTCTGACTTGTTTGGGTTTGGGTCAAGAAAAATGCTCACTGGCAATAGTACCATTTTTTATGTCTGCTTTTCTTTGGAGCGGCTGCAGCTATAAAAAGCGCCTGTATGTGCGGGATTTTTGCTAGGTAATTTGTGACATCACGTCCTTGTCCCATGTCAGAGTCGACTGCTGGTCCTCGATTTGTTTCGAGCAAGTGTTTTTCTTTGGCTCTCTCCATTTACCGTTTACCTTTTACCTTAAACTTTTAACCCAGATGCTGGGCGAGCACTCGATTTCCAAGGCAACGCTCCGCACCGAAAGCCGATTGGCGAATTGGCTTTCTGGGCAGCTCTTGCGCTGTGTCTTGGCCAGTTGATTTAAATGGTCCTTGGGCGGTGGAAGCTGAGGAAAACATGACGAGAACGCACGGATCTAATAACAAACCATTGATTTCTCTTGCAGGCAAGTGTGCCCAAGCGCCTGGACCTCCTGTGGAAGTTCCTCAAGCCCGTCTCCTTCGCCCTCATCGGCAAGGAAATTAATTTCAACGTGCTGGAGGGCCATGTAATCGGTTATGGGGCCTTGTTGGTGCTCGTCGGAAGTTTGGTAATTAAAATGGCCGCCGGAGTCGGGCGCCTGCAACCGGAGGTGGTGCAGCGCTCGCCCGGCCACTTATTTAATTTCTTTCGGTTCCCATTCAGTTTGTGTCGGGAATACTCCGCCAAGCCACGGGTCCCCAAGGCTCTGAGCCAGCCCTTGCCGATCCCCTCCCAGTCCCGTTCTATGGAAACAAAGAGCGAGTACAAAATCCGGGAGTGGCTGAGGAAGGGGATGGGAATGGGGCCAAAACCGAAATGAAAATGTTCTGGCACCGCAATGCAAATGTTACCTGCACACACAACTGAATACGGAAAACCGAGGGGCAGAAAAAAAAGCAGCAGCCCGAGATGACCACTTTCTTGTTCTTGTTTTCAGTTTCGCTTGGCTTTTGCATATTTATCCACATATGGCGGAAATCTGTCGAGAAAGGAACGTGCCTACATTACAATTTCCGGTTTTCCCAAAGCAACTGTCCAAGTAAGTTTCCCGTTCCGCGTGTCATGTTGTTGCGGTTGTCCCGTGCCCCCGCTCCTGCCTCGCTCCCTCAATTTTCCCTTGCTATTTCCCATTTCCCATCCTTTGTCTCCTGGCCTGGTGGCGCTTTTTATTTCATTGCCGGCCATTTCACTCTCTTGCCACTGGCAGCCTGGCAACCCGGCAGCCCTGCAGCTCGGCCGTCCGTCGTCCTGGCCGCTGTCCTGGTGTTTTCCATGCTTAAGTTATACACGTATTTGCAGGTCATGTTCTCTTGGCCAGAGTCATCGCCGCCGAAGCTGCCACTGCTGCAGTTGGCATGGCATCCCTTTTGTTTGCAGTTTAACCGCAAACGGACATTTTGTTTATGTCGCCTGGCCAGGAGTGTGTGAGCGCCTGGCGAGTGTGTCGGTGTGCGTCTGTGGTTGCCAGAAATTTAAATGTTCCGCTGGCTTACTTATTCGCCATCCTGTCTTGTTGCCCAGGGGAAAAAAAAGAGAATACTGTGGCGGAGGTCACATGTGTGGCTGCTAAACTTTTCCCTAATATGCGCCGCATATTTCATTGTCCCCTTTTTGTACTGATTTAATTAAAATTGTACAGCACAAACCGTGCATAAGCTGGTCTTTGCGCATATCACTCATACGCAGCGGTGACCGGCGCTTTATATGAGCCATCTAACCGGAGCAACTCCCATCTTTTCAGGCTGCCCTCGGCCCGGTGGCTTTGGACTTGGCCCGAGCTGCTACCACGGCCAACAACGATCAGCTGGCACTGGCCAGCAATGTCCTCATCATCTCGGTGCTGGCGATTATCTTCACAGCTCCATTGGGCGCCATACTCATGCTACGCCTCGCTCCTCACTGGCTCAAGCACGGCGATGCCGTGGAAGCAGTGGACTCCCCGACCACGCCCACGCCAACGGCCACGGGCCAGGTTAGCGCATTCAAGAGGACATAGCAGCTGGAGGAGTGACCCTAAGGATCTGGTGCTGACCCTTCGTCGAAAGTTGTAATCCAAATGTGCCGATGCCGCACTTAGCTAGCAATCCTCTCAGTACTTATACTTATGTGTACTTAGTCGCATTCGGTAAAACGCAGTGCAAATAAAAGTAACTGCTTAAAGTTACCAGCTTTTGTTTCGTTTTACTGGAAGCAGACACCGAATAGGTGCTACAATTTAAGGTAATTTGGGCAAAGAAACTCTATACATTTTTTGCATGAATATACATTTTTCAAAAACTAGCACAGAGATGCTTTCCGAATTAAATTTGAAGCTTTCTTGCTCGAGTTAAAATATTTTTAAACTTTGATGTAATATAGAAAAATATCGATTTAAGGACAGCCGATTCCCCATTAAAATCCCAACATATTTATATTAAATTATTTAGTATTTTATGATACATTTTTAATATTTTTGTCGGCTTTTAAATCCAATTACAAACGTTAGGGGTATATAAACTTCGGCTTAGCGAAGTTGGCTTTTTAAAATGAGGTAAGGTCTTAAATTTCTTTTCCATTCCAGCCATACCCGAGGTACCTTTTTTATTGGGCTAATTTCTCAGTTATTTGCTTACTTGTCCCCCAATTTCGGCGAATTAACAAAGTTTAGTCTTAATCCTGAAGGACTAGCACCCCAAAAGGCCAACTTGAAAAAGTGTCCCGCAATCTGAGCGAGGGATTTTATTGTTTTTCCCTGACACTTTTGGAAAAGAAAAGCTTTTTCGGCACCTAATTATGACGGGATCTGTGTTAATCCCAGGCTGGAGCCTTTGCTAATTGATTTTATAATTAATTTTGGGGGCTTTAAACGCCGGAGTCGGATTCTTGCGTCATGTCAAATCAATCCGAATTAATGATTGACAATTGAACAAGCTGTTACTGCGAGTTAGGGCCACTCAAAGGCTTTCATCCACCATTCGGCAAGTTGGTCAAGTATATAAATGAAGCCGAAATGATTTTGTTATTTTCAAAGAGCTCCATAGTCTTCCTTTTCCCATTTTCGAACTCTCTCTCTCTCTTTGACGTATTTTTACGCCTGCTGCTTTTGTGGCAGGAGGAGAGCTTCGCTTCGAGCTGGAAAAAAACATGACCTAGAGCAAAAACACAAAATAATGGCTAAGAGAAGAATGTCATTTAATTGAAAAGTGATTGTGGGGCCAACCAAGGAGTTTTTCACCATCCTACTACCAACGTTGTTGCCGAGCAGCTGCAGCATTTGCAATGCAAAAGGCTTAGAATGAACTTGATGTCCTGGCTGGTCGCCTTTGATGCTCTCGTTGCCTTGGTTCCTCCTGCTCGCATGACAGTCGTTGGTGCAGTGAAAAGCGTGATATGTTAATTACTGATTGGAGAGGGTTTTTATTAAAAAATATGTAACCTTTAATGGTAAAGATTGGTAAGAAAAAACGAGAAACTCGTGTCAAAATTATTTAAAAACCATGACTATTACATCATTCTATAGCCTAGCTATTTATACAAATTACTTACAGTGATGGGTGGGCATTAAATAAATTCTATTTATATCTTTTAATTATGTTGCTGATTATCAGCTCTAAAAGTTCTACGGTATTTCGCCCTGTGTAATAGCTAAGCTTCATCTGTGGCCCGGTTGAGTGAATGCTGAAAGGAATGAAATTAATAGACGGCAAAAGCGGACAGAGAGCGAAGAGAAAAACTTATCATTTTTATTATCTGGCAGCTGCGCATATTTATACCCTGCATGCTCCCTCTCTTTCCCAATCCCTGATCCCGGCTCTGTGGCCTTTCTGCCGCTCAGAAAAGAGTTGAAATTGAAGGTAAATTAGTGTTATTAAAATGGCTGCACAAAAATAATTGCGCAACTAAATGAAAATTTTAATGAAAATTCTTTGGTTTATTTTCTATTTGCCTTTACCCGCAACCTACTCTTTTTTTTGTCTCATTTTTTATTTGTACCTTTGCCTTTTCATTTGCATTTGCCCGAGCTCTCTGTTATTAGTTGCATTGTTTTCGCAGTTGATGTCCGTGCAATTAGCATAATGCAAAAAGCATCTGCGCTGCCAGGAACGGAGGACGGAGAACGGCAACGGATTTTAACTTGACCTGGAAGCCGCAAGAGAAATATAATGAAGTGCGTAGCCGGATTTCCATTTCGCAAATACCCAGCGATTGAGTTATGTTCGCATCGCATGCGGCCTGGCGCATCAATTATGCTGCCACCGGCATAATCCTTCAAAACTCATTGCTCTTATCGGGGCCATTGAAATGCCAGCGGCCATAGATCAACCTTATCAGCGCAGCCAAAGCATTTTCCTGTGCCAAATAAATTCCAGCAGTTTATTATTCTAATTCGCATGCCGAATTCCGGCAGAAAAAGAACGCCAGGCACGTCACCACCTGGCCACCCAGCTTGCCACCCACACACGAAAAATACGGAGAAACCACCCACAGACAGCCAACCGATACGGCGAGCAAGGAGTTGTGCGAGTGGGAAACGAAACGAAATCAAATCAAAAAGTTCGCAAAAATGCCAAACCAACAGAAATTAAGTTATAAAATTTTAAGGACTATGCGCAGTTTAATTTCCAAATGCCATGCCACCACCCATTGCCCCACTGCCCAAAGACACACAGGTGGATGACTCTCCCCGGGCTCACTGGGACTAGCAGCTCGAGGACTCGAGGGCTGGCTGGGCGAAAGCGTATTGTGGTTTTTGTTATGCGCCGATTACCATAAAAACAAGCTAAAGAAAGTTGCGTCCTCCTCGCCAGGCATCGCATTGCCTTTTGCCTTTCCCTTGACGTCGCGTCGTCGGAAACGGAAATCAAGAAAACAAAAAGAATGAACCCAAATGAAGTCAAACCTGGCGCCCGCTCCTTCAGTTAATAAAGTTAGTTGCGTTTGCCTTGACGGCGAAAGTTTTGAGTTATAAGCGCGCAAATTATGGCTTACAACAAAGCCAGCCAGCCATCCAGCCAGCCGGCAAAAAACAGCCAACAATGCCGAACAAAGGAAAACAATTAACATGACGAAGACACATAAAATTTCCACTTCCAGTCCTGCCTCAGTTGTAGTTGTTGGGTGCGTCGAATTAGCAGTTGTATTTGCTGGCTCGAAATGTGCGTCAATCACGTGATGGGACCCGCCCTCAGTCCTCGGAAAATCCCCGAAAATTTCCACCTCCCAAGCGACTCTTGTCTGCGTCTTGTTGTTTTGTTAATTTTAATACATGTACTTTTTATCGCTCGGCATTCCGCGGCAAGCTGCTGGCTGAATTAAGCCATTTGTTAGCTGTATCTGTGGCTAAGCTCTGGCAGCTCCGCCCTCCCTCTCACCTAGAGGAGGAGGAGGACGAGGCTATCAATGCCAGTGCCGGGTTTCGGGCTACAGGTCACAGCACATCACAGTTATTTTCGTGTAAATGGCATATTTTTTATGGCTTGTCGCTGGCGTCTTGTTCCTCGCGCTGTAATTAGACAAAATTGTTGGCTGCCACGACTCCGCCCAACTCCACGCCCACCAAAAAGTAACCCCAGCTCCCATTTCACCAGTTCACGATTGTTCATTCAGTCCTCGATTCCGCCACTCGCTGTGGAGTCTCTGGGCCGCCGTTGCACAGTGGTTGCGCCCATAGGCCAAAAATAAAAAAATTTATTACAACAAAAATGTACGAAAAGTAAACAGATCGTCTCTTAAATATCCAAACTTCTTTGTGGCATACCAGATTTTTTTTTAAATCTAACAGGACTTTCTAAAAATTAAATTAAAGATGTGAAGATGTATTCATTTGCAAGGCGTAGCTACGCGCATCGCGAGTGTTTCACAACCAAACCGAACTTTGAAGTGGTCCGAATTAATATTACGTGTCCAAATTAATATTTTTTGTAATGGATTTTGAAGTTCAAGGTATTTTCTATAAAATGAGATATAATTTAATATATTAAAAATAATTATTGTTTTCATTATATTCATGTGAAATAATCATGTTTCTGGCCTATATTTTAAACGTATTTTTTATGTTTAGCTAAAGTTATAGTTGTGACCCCACAATAATCTACAGTTCATATTTATGCCAATGTGTTTGTCGCGCTTTTAAGATGACAAATCGTAAAAAAAAATTTTGCCGAAATTTGCCTATGTGCCTATAATCTTAAAAATACTAACACAGGTTAGGGTAAGGTTTTTAAATTTTTTTTTGGTATTTTTTTTTTTTTTTTTTTAAATAATGGTTTAATATCCTTAAAATATTGTGTAAAAGTTTTACATCGATTATTACAACATTGACGAAGTTATGGGTAGTTGAACGGAAGTCGTTTGGTGTTCGATGTATGAAAATCACAAAGTTTAAAGCGTTCTCCTGAAAAATGCCATTTTGAAAATCGGTGTACTCTATAACTCAAAAACTACTTAACCAATCGGTTTGAAATTTTGAACATAACTTTGAAATTTAATTGTACAGGTACTCAAGTAAAGCTTTTTTAAATTTTTAATGTTAATATATATATTTTTTTAAATTAACTTATTTTTTTAGTCGAAAATCGGGGTTTTGACTTCCAATTTTGATAAAAAATCGGGAAAAATTTTTAAAAATAAAAACGTCTCTTAAGTACCTTGGGGCACTAATTCTTTAAGGAATGCAATACATTTTTTTGATATCGGACGTTTTTGTGGACAGTTAGGATGTACACCGGAAACCAACTTTTATCTGTGGGGACTCAGGAGATTAGCAATATAGCGTGGGCCTGTAAATATTTTTTAATACAAAAATTAAAAAAAAAAAGCTCAAATGTTTTGTTAATTTATGGTATTTAAATCATTAAGTTAACTTTAGACGTTTCGCCAAAACATTTTTTTGAACAGTGGGCAGTTTTGCACCAAATTAGCCTTACCCCCCTTAAGCTGTGTGCATTTGTTGCTAAACAAATAAAATACACAATATATAAGTTAATAATTTTTTTTTACTTTTGGACACTTATATTTCACCAACATTCTCATTAAGAGATAAAAAATTAATTTTAGCTCTTGGAAAAAAATAATTTTATAAAAATTTTGTATGGGAGCTATAAGATATAGACATCCGATTTTAACCAAATTTGGTAATAATGCATAAACCTGTTTCAAACATATTATCTGTGAAATTGGTTAAGA